GGAACCCAGGCTGGGGCAAGGGATGCTCTGTAGTCTTGGTGCTTGGGGGGGGGCAACAGTGGGAGGGGGGGGCAGTGGGAGGGGCTTCTAGTGTCCTGGCCCCACTGCTGGACCTCCTGATGGCACCTGGCATTTTTGGCCACAGTGTGACACAGAGTGTTGGACTGGAGGGGCCATTGGCCTGATCCAACATTGGCTTCTCTTATGTTCTCATATCAATAAAGTATGGAGTGGTGTAGTAGATTCTGTATCTTTTAGAGAACAAGGACAAAGTCTTTCTGCATTAGGTATCTGGCGGCAGGGGTCGTTTTGTAGAAAAAGAACCCCCCCCCCCCCCCCATTTCAGGTTCCTTTGATAGATGCAGGAGGGATCACAAACTCACTGCTATTTAACATCAGTTTCCCAAAGAGCTGTGGGGAGGTATCATGATGTGCTGTCCGAGTAATGTCCTTACTACAGACTTCACAATCAACCATTTTAACAGCAGGAAATTCACAATGTTGCCATTTAAATTATCCTGACAGGAGTCCAGTTCAAGATTCTGCTCTTATGAACAAGTGTGTTGGCAAAAAAAAAACCAGTTTGTAAGGATCATAAATAGGGGCAGCTATCCTTATTTCAGTGCCACCCACATTTCAGTGCCACAATTGCTTTGCACCCAACTGCTATGTCAAACTTGCAAATTAAGCCTAATTAAAAAATAAATCCTGCACTTGAGCAACACACATTTTCATGCCAAGAAAAACACAATTCCGCAACCTGAACTAAGAATGTAAATTCACTGATATAAATTTATGTAATGGCCATTTTCCTGCAAAATGAACATGGATTTTTTCCCTATTGGGCATAATTTGTTTTGCATCTCAAATCACTAGATTAGGCAAGAAACCATGCAAAACACTGTCCGCCACCCCCAACCAGTAAAAATTGTGTCAGCCACATCTGTGAGATTGGCACAGGCATACTTACAAGCCCATCACTTAAGAATGTAAGGGCCTGGCTGAATTAGGTGAAGGAACCATCTAATGCAATCCTGTTTTCCACAGTTCAACCAATTGCCCCTAGGCAGCCCTCCGCATGAAGGCAAGATTCCTCCCATGTTGCTTACCCATGAAGAATTGCACGGAGAGGGTGCGATTTGAAAAACCCACTCACTTCTCTAAACCTCTAGGATTCTGCAAGCTCTCAGGGGCTAGGGTCAGCTGATTTCCCTCCCTACCTTCCCATTTAATGGCGTCTCGACATTCTGGAGCATATTCAGTCTTCAGTGGGCCTTTTAAAAGGGGGGGTCCCTTTTGGTTAATTTACAAAGTCGTTTGGGGGGCATATCTGGGGACTGTTGCCTTGTCTGTGGTTGGCCGGGTGTTGTGTCTTCCACCCTCCGTACAGGGGCCAGCCAGTTCACTATTAGACATACTGATGATGATATGAAGCAATGGGGGAGGGGGAGGTCTAATAATTAAATTAAACTTGCAGATGACAAAAGATAAGTATTTCCCGCATTCTTGAGCAAAAAGGTACCCTTGCTGGCTTTGATTATTCTGTTATTTGCTCCCTTTCTTGGGCGACATAAGGGTTCCTCTTTTTCCTCCGTTAGCTGTGGAAGCACATTGATGTACTTTTCAGATTGGAACCAGTTTATGACACAAAACTTAAAGGAGTGCCTGCCATAGGGTGCTCCTGCCACCTACTGGGAAATCGATCTATTTACAGCCTGGTGTGGGGACAGGAGCACTTCATCAGAGGGTCAGATGGTTTATTTCCAGAGTGACCGGCCTGGTCTTCCAGTTATTAAACTTACCAATGGATCCCAGGGCAGAAGGGGTGATCTCTGTTCTCTGGAACATCTCCCCTCATTAATTTCTGTTTTGCTTAACAGCAAAGATTGTTGGAAGTGAAGGACTTTACGCTGTCTCCTAGCCTCAGCCTACAAAGGAGGACTATTATGAGAGTCAGAGCGATAGATAGGCTAGGACACTGAGCATCCTTTCCTTCTCTCCTCATATGCTATCCCTTTGATGTGTAGATTGCTGCTCTTAGGGAAACGTCCTTCCTTCCTTCCTTCCTTCCTTCCTTCCTTCCTTCCTTCCTTCCTTCCTTCCTTCCTTCCTTCCTTCCACTCTCTCTCTTTCCACACAATGCCAGACTTCTCCATCTTGGCAGCATGACAGCAGGACATGCCTCCTGTATCTCTGGACTTTTTGGCTTCATGTTGATCATCTATGTGATACACCACTTTAAAAGGTTCTTCTTCTGCAAAGTTGCTTGTAAACACTGGAAGCCAAGAAGGACACAAATCACAACTTAAACTATTAGATGCGAAAGAATCAGCGTATTTTCATAAGCTGGCAGTGGGTGTCTTTCAGTGACACAAAGGTCAAGTATTAACACAGCATGTTAAATAAATATTTACACCAGCATAGAATATAAACTATACACAGCACTATAGTTCACATTTCTGAAACAGTTTGTTACAGTACTGCCCCTATTACTTGTGTACAAAGCCCTCTTGAATAATTCAGTTTTGCATAGTTCACAGAAAACCAAGAGAGAGAGGGAATCTTCCTGACCTCCTCGGGCAAATCTATTCCATAAGCCGGGGGCCACATTGGTTTCTCATTCTTGTCTTTTTCTTACCATACAGTTTATGGTGAATGTTTGCACCCAAGGTGTTCTCTGAATATACACTTTAATTAAAAGAGTGTTAAAGGGACTGCATAAGAAAGCTGGAGAACAGGGAGCAGCCTGTCTGGGGTCGGGGCTGGGCGCCACTTCAACAGGGGAAGTCCCTGTCTGTGGCCCGGTGATCCAGGAGAGCCTGGGTGCTCACCCACCCTCCCTCCATCGCCTGAGGATACCTCCAACACCCGGACCTCCCAGCAGGAACTCACCCAGGAGGCTGGTGGAGGAGCAGAGATCAGTGGTGGAGAAGGGGGGCAGCTGAAGCGGTCAGCAGCAGCACGGAGGAGACAGCCATGGCGAGCTGTACAGCGGCAGCAAGGCCACAGTCATGGGCCGTGGCAGCAGTACAGCAGCTAAGCCCACCCCAGGAGCCCAGGGCAGGGGAGGCAGCGCCAGCAGCGAAGGAGGCCACACCAGCCTGGGGACCACGTGGGTTTGGCATCCTCTGGCCAGGAAGTGGAGGAAGTGGATGCTTTGGAGGGTGGCATCTATGGCACTGTACCCCACTGAGGTTCCAGTCCTCCCCAGGCTCCACCCTCCAGAAGTCCCCCAACCTGGAGCTGGCAAGCCTACCCCTCACCAAAGTTCCCTCTAAGCTGTGGAGTCTTGTGAGCAAAAATTCTGCTTTGTGAGTTCCTGGCATTAAAGTTGTGAGCAAGCAATTTGGCTGCTGCATAAATCAGTTTGCTCTGGAGCCCTCCTTCCTGAGCTAAGACAAAAGTGTGTGAGTCGGAGGCTAAAAAACTGTGAGCTAGCTCACACTAACTCAGCTTAGAGGGAACAGTGCCCCTCACACACTGGCAGCTGGGGGGAGACCTGGCAACCCTTACCTACATTTCAAAAAATAAGGCCTGCAACAACAGCTTAAAGCCACCTCACAATATGAAAACTCAAACGAGATCAAGAATAGCTGCGTAACAAAACAAACAAAGCCCAACGCGAAGGCAACCTCCTATGATTCAACCCTCTTCAAAGGCTCTGTAGAAAAGAAGTGTCTTCACTATCCTCAAGATCGCCAGCAATAAGGGGGCTGTCTGATCTCTACAGGCGGAGGATTCTAGGGCTTGGGAGCAGTGACGGCCCCAGGTTTTTTCACCCACTAGGCGAGGATACATTCTGCCCCCCCCCATGTGAGGCGGGGGCCGTAGCCGCAGCAGGCGGGCCAAATGCATGCGGGGGAGCGGGATCACACGAGAGGAGGGGGCCTGTGCCAGGCTGCAAAAGGAGCTCCAAAGAGGGCAGCAGAGGGTGAGCGGCACTTTCCTGTTGTCCCGGGCTGTTCCCCGTGCCTGTCCCCCCCTCCTTCTCTTTCTGTCTGGGGGGCTGCAAAGAGGGACAGGGACGGAGCAAGAAGCCAGCAAGGGAGGCTTCCTGTGCAGGGCAAGGAGAGGACGAGGCCAGCCAGAATGGCACCCTTGTTGAGCCATCGCCCTAGGTGACGGTCTAAAATTTAACAATAATGGGCCGGCCCTGCTTGGGAGCCACATCCAAAAAGGCCCCGTCCCACATGCTCCCCAGCCATGCTCACGAGGCTGCATTGGAAGCATTGATGGCTGGCCACAGGCTGCCAATGACAATACAACTGCTCCACTGGAATGTGCTGACATGATAGAGACCCAATGAACAGGCCAGGAATATAGCCAATCCTTCCCCAGCCATGAGTAGAAGGAGGAGGAGGAGCCACTGTAGTCTGAAGATCAGCTGTAATTCTGGGGGATTTCCAGGTCACCTGTTCCGGTTTTGCTGATTTTAGGCTTGTTTTTAAGATGATGTTGCTTTTTACAACTTTGCTTCATATTTTAAAATTAAGCCACCCTAATTACTCCATAGAAGAGCAGGTGATTCTGATGCGACCTCTCAACCCCCGTGCTTTTGCGGATGCAATTTAGGCTTGTCTCCATTTTGGGTTGCAGTGAGAGCCTGTGTAAGAATCAGCCTCCCTCCCCACCCCCGCCTTTGGCATCCCTACTGTGAAAAGTGTGGAAGAGGCAGTGTTCCCTCTAAGCGGGGCCAGTGTGAACTAGCTCACATTTTTTTTAGTCTCTGGCTCACTCATTTGTGTCTTAGCTCAGGAAGGACGGCTCCACAGTAAACTAATTTATGCAGTAGCCAGGTCGCTCGCTCACAGCTTTAATGCCAGTAGCTCACAAAACAGAATTTTTGCTCCCACAACTTAGAGGGAACATTGGTCAGCAGGAGAAAGCGCGCTCCCCGGCTTGCAGTGCCTGGCACTGAACACAGGAGGCTGCTGTTGCGTTCCAAGCGAGGATTTGCGGGCCCTCGGAAGTGTTGCGGAGCTGACCCTGGAAGCGAACGGGGAGGGAGCCAGGAGAGCGCGGGCGTCCTCTGGGCTGGGAGACTTCCCTCCATGTGGGGTGTTTGGTGGAGCAATCCGGCATGGCTGAGGCGCAGCAGGTCCGGGTGCAAGAGGCCATCGACGGCATGGTGCAGGGTCTAGAAAGAGAGACCATCCGGAAGATGCAGGTCAGGACGGGGAGACTGCTTGTCTGCACGCACGTGGGAAGGACTCAGTGAATGAATGAATGAATGAATCCGTGTAGACACGGTTCTCACGTCTTCCTACTTCATCTGTGAGCTCCAGCGGAGGCGAGACACAATGGCCAGTAGTTTCTCAGTGTAGACACGGTTCTCACGTCTTCCTCCTTCATCTGTTGACTCCAGGGGAGGCGAGACACAATGGCCAGTAGTTTCTGCTGGTCTAGTAGCTGTGCCTGCGAGACCTGGATTCAAATCCTTCTCCCAGAGCAGAGGACATAATGGGGTAATCTCGTATATGTAGCCCCTCACGGGGTGTGTGTGTTAAAATATGGTAAATAACAAAAACATTGAATCTTCCTGTTTTGTATAAGGAAGACGAAAGTGCCATAAGCAATCAATTTGTTTTAGTTACCCTCCTTCTTGTAATACTAGGTCATTCATGCTCTGCTGGTCTCCATAGGTGGCAGGCACTAATTTAGAATTCAGTGTGCAGTTTTAGCAACAGAGAACCAAAACTGGGCTATTGAATAGTAAATTGGAATTGATCTCTCCTTCTGCTGGAGGCAGAGACAGCCTCCTGGGAAACAGGTTTATTGCCCATGTTAACTTCATTAGCCAGTTGGGACCTTCATCTACAGGGGCCCAACCTCTCGATACCTGTTGCAGGAGACAGGCAACTGTGGAGGGCTGTTGGCTTCAAGCTCAGATGTGTGGGCTGCCAGGAGGTATCCAGCACACCATGGTTGGAAAATGGAAGGGACCAGACGGGCCTGTGGTTTTTCTGGATATGTCCTCTTACTGACATCCAGCTCTTTGCAGGGAATCATGTTCAGGTGCAGTGCTGCGTGTTGTGAGAACCCCAAGGCCTCCATGCAGCAGGTCCATCAGTGCATCGAGCGCTGTCACACGCCCCTGGCACAAGCACAAGCCATTGTCACCCAGGAGCTGGAGAGATTTCAGGTGAGGAGAACAAAAACCGCGCAGATCTGTGTTTGTCCTTTAACCTAGCTAGAATTGCCGTATTTCCCTGGGTGGAGTCTGATCTTTTCAATGGGACCAAAGTCTGAATGGAGCAAGGATCAAAGAGCCAGCAGCACTGATTCACTTCACACACATGCAAAGAGCTCTTTCACTCCCTCTCCCCTAGTGTCAATAGTGACAGAAGCAAAGGCTGTGTTAACTCAACTGTTGAGGCTGGAGAAGGAAAGGCTGCTTGTGCGTCAGCTTCTGCAGAAATATTGGGAAGGGTGGTGTTATCCCTTGGGATCAGGAGTTATGGTGGCATTCGGGTGTAGGGGATTTTCCCCCCTTTTGAGTTACCTATTAAAACTGGGCTTTAATTGTAACAAAGGATGATATGCTTTGTATACTGGTACTTTAAAAGGACCTTTGCTTAAACAGATAAACATCTTGTGAGATTATTAGATGTCTCATTATCTTGCACTCACTTCAGTTGTTCAGAAAAGGCACTGATGTGTGTGTGTGTTTTTTTAAAATTTAACTTTAGGCTTGATATACTGCCCTAACATCCCCAAGGGGGGGTCTCTGGGCGGTTCACATATTTTTGCATTCTAAGAACTTGTACTCCTAACTTGTGCCACATCTAATGTTTGGGAGTGGGACTGCCTACCAGCACCCTGGTGGTGGGATCCTTGATGGTCTCTGTCTGCTGGCTCGGCTTCAGCATCTATTTGTTTCATTGATTAATAAATTACTGTGGATGAAGAAGGGAGGTTCTTCATACCATACTCTTTTCTGGTCCCCACAGTTGCAAGATACCACTGTTGTAGAACCATCAAATCTGCCATCCTTTCCAGTAGGGTGTCTATTCCAGATCCAGGCCTTTTCTGAACTACTGAAGTGAGTGCAAGATAATGAGACAACTAATACTCTCACAAGATGTTTCCAGGAGGGAAATTAGCTGCAATTTTATTGCTCAGCTGCCTGTTGTCCTCTTAGAGAAAGAGACCATATATCTACAACCAGTGTTCCCTCTAAGCTGAGTTAGTGTGAGCTAGCTCACACTAACTCAGCTTAGAGGGAACATTGTCTACAACAGCTTTTGGTAGGCGGTGATAGTTAAATAAAACCTCTGTGTTCCAAGGCACTATACCTATGAATATGAGATGGGGTTAAGCAGTAGAGGAAGGATGCCAGATAATTAAAAATTCTATACTGAGTTCATGTTTCTTCTTGCTAGGACAACAGTTTATTTTATGCTTTTTTTGGCAACAAAGTTATTACACATGATCATACAGTAACAGAACACAACAAAGAAATAAAAAGCCCCCATACCCAAAAAGGGAAATGCAAAACAACAAAGAAAGTTAACAAACAACAAATAAAAATAAAATGTTTACAGTTATTGCCATACATTTGGTTTTACAGCTTCAACAAGATGTAACAGTTTGTAAGCCTTTCTTGTCAGCCACTGAATTTGATCAGTGCAATGGATTCTCACTTGAGGTCCTGTCAGCCACTCATGGCCGTGTGTTCTCCATCCACAGGATCGCCTCTCTCGCTGCACAATGTACTGCAACGACAAAGCTAAAGACTCTTTGGATTCAGGGAGTAAAGAACAGCAGGTCAAGGCACAGCTGGAAAACTGTGTGACAAAGTGTGTGGACGAACACGTCCACCTCATCCCCAGCATGACCAAGAAAATGAAGGAGACTTTAGCGGCCATTGCTCAGTAGACTTGCTGGCATTGCGGCAGGACGGCAAAGAGTCACCCATTTTAAAAAAGAAAACTTGGGATGGGTGCAACAACTGGGGATTTGGAAAGGAAGGTCAGGTGCATCCAGGGTGACTCGGAGTTTGGAGGCCTGATGTTGGTTTGGTAAGGAGGCTGCCTGGTGTGGGGATGAGAAAACAAGCTCATATGTTCACAGTTCTCTTGGTCTCTGATGTGTATGTGCAGACTACTCTTGATAGCAGTGTTTCCTGACTCCTGAAAGGGACAGAAAAAGCATGGCAAATGTGTGGCAGGGATGGAACCTTCATAGGTGCTAACATGTGTGTCCCTGGATAAGTGTTGCCCCATTTCAGCACTGTCTGTGCATACTTTTCTGAGGCTGTCTTGCAGATATATCTCTGACATGCCCTGCAGAAGCACATCAGCTCTGTCCCTGTTTTCCATGGAAGGAGCTGGGATGCTGCAACCTCTCTTCCTATGATGAGATGAAATTTTAATAACAGACATAGCAGTGATTAAACCAAATCATGCACAGATGTGAATCCCTCGAAGCTGAGGCCCAGTGTATGTGCTTAGCAGAATCAAGTGATGAAGTGTTTTCTGGACTCTACCATTTGTATTGCTTTCATGTTTAAATGTTTCATGGAGTGGTGGGGGTGGTGGGACACTCACTGCATATTGAAAGATCAGGAGGAAACATAGTGCGAACCCTTCTTGGCATGTAAGTTTTCCACATGTAGAGTGTGGGTGTGTTTCCCATGAGGACCATTTTACTGCAGTCTTACCAAGTCCAGGAAATCTTTATCACTTGAATGGTTAGGAAAAATGGGTTTCCAAAAATTTCTGTTTGGAATTTTGATTTTGCTGGAATGCTTGGGTTCTGTCATTGACATATGAATATTGCCATATCCTTCTGGTAACAATGGAAAGTCATCCCAAAGCCAAAAATAAAATTAAAATCTTCTATTTTTCAACCTCACTGAGTTCTGTCTATTTGTATTTAAGTGTTTTCTAAATTCATTTCAGCAGCAGGGAATTCTGCATTGGTCATGAAATAAACATGCTCCTTCAGTACGACTTCACTGTTGCAGTCTTTTAGTAATGGTGAGAAACAGTTTTCAGATGAAACATTCATCATGTCAGAAGCAGATCAGAAGAGGGTGGCCTTTTCATTGCTTCAGCCTTCCATGAGGATTAAGAAAATGGACCATATGTCATGGGAGCAGTGTGCTTACAGGACCTGCAGAAGAAGGGAGGAGACATAAGCAAGTCTAATCATAATCCTACTCAAGTTATTTGGTGGACCTTACTCCCTGGAAAGTGATTGATTATTAAAAAAAGAAGAAGAAAAGAAAACTGTTATTTGAAAGGAAACTGCTGTAGCTACTTGGTGCCCTGTAGGTTGTGATATAACCCCATGAGTTCCACTGAGATAAGTTAGATTGTTGTTGTTGCTGCTGTTCAGTCGCACAGTTGAGTCTGACTCTTTGCAACCCCATGGACCATATCACGCCAGGCCCTCATGTCTTCCGTCGTGCTCTGGAGTTTGCTTAGTTTCATGTTCATTGCATCGATAACACTAACCATCTCATCCTTTGCCATCCCCTTCTTCTTTTTCCTTCAATCTTTCCCAGCATCAGGGTCTTCTCCAGTGAGTGCTCCCTTCTCATTTGGTGGCCTAAGTATTTGAGCTTCAGCTTCAGTATCTGGCTTTCCAGGGAACACTCAGGGTTGATTTATTTTAGGATTGACTGATTCGATCTTGCAGTCCAAGGGACTCTCAAAAGTCTTCTCCAGCACCAGTCATCTCCAGTCAGATTAGGCATGTGATTTTAGTAATGATCTGATCCAAAATCAGCTAAGTAATGGCTTTTATTAAGTCAATGTCAAATTATGCAAAGCAGTGCTTTTATAATGACCATCACATTTTCCCTGGTAACCTGTATGTTTTATTTTCTGTTAGTTTAATCAACTATTGTCCCTTCCTGCCAAAAAGCTGGAAGAACAACCAGATAACAGCTAAACCTAGCACTTCTTTTATCTGTGCAAACCTGCTTGGCATACTACACAGGATGCCAAAAAGAAGCCTTAGGTCTTTTTCTCTCTCTCTGCCCTTCTCCCTTTTCTAGCCTGACAAAGAGCTATGGGGATCTCAAAAGCTTGTATTCTGCTTTGTGTTATTTGAGCTGGTCTTTTAAAAAGGGTTATTTCATAGTTGTTGTTGCTTTTAAAAAAAGTTGGTTCTGTATCAACACAGCTGCCTGCATTTTCAGTAAAAACGTTGGGATAGTGCTACAACAGTATCCTTAGGGAACCAAGAGAACTAAAGTTTTGTGTATATTGTTGGTTGAGAGATGCCTTGAAGAATGATGGTCCCTTGGAAGTGAAGCCTTGCTTGTTAAACAAGCTTAAGTTTGCAGTATGGCCATGGCTTTTAGAGGTCCAGAAAAAAGAGAGGAGTGTGTGGCTTCCAAAGCAGCCATTTTATCAACGGAAAGATTTCCAGCCACCACCTGGAGGTTGGCAACCTAATGCATTATACAAATGCCCTGAACAATGACGTTTTACAGTTTGTGAAATGTCAGAAATGTGTGAGGCTTCTTGATGGCCTCGGGCAGGCCATTCCACAGAATGGGGGCTACTACAGAAAAGGCATTTGTATGGGCAGCTGTTGACCTTGTGCATCTGTAGGGGCCCCTGCAGAAGGCCTTGCTCAGACAAATGATGTCGTGACAGGATATGTGAGGACAGGACTTGCACATGTATTGAGTCCGAAAATTCCCATCTTTTGCAGACTGCAAGTTCAATTTAAATAGGAAGAAGGTATTTTAGCTTATGTTATCTATCATGGTTGATTTGTACACTACAGTCTTGGAGTGGAACTAAAATTAAAGTCAGGCTCCCTACGGAAGCGAGTTTCGATTGGCTTTTGTTCTCCTTTGAGAAAGGGAAGCTGATTGGCCATCCTTGGAATTCTCGCAGTGATTGGTTGCTAAGGGAGGCCGATGACGCTACGCCGACGAGCCTCGACTTCCTGCCCAAGGCGAGCAAATGTGTGCAAGTGCGCCTGTGCTGCAGACTTCGTTCTATTGGAGACGACTCGGACGTACTGACGTAGTACGTCAAAGAAACTGCTAGCGGGAGAGAAGCGCTGCTGGCGAATCCTCCATTTGAGGCTACAAGATGAGTAAGGCGCACCCGCCGGAGTTGAAGAAGTGAGTCCCTGGCGGGCGGCGCACACTGGTGGGGTTGGGGACTGGTCCGGGGACCGTGGCGGCGGCGGGCGCCTTTGTTGGGCACGAGGCGGGTGAGAGCCGCGCGGTCGCGTTCCCAGTATGCACAGCGAGGCGCCTGCGTATTAAGGCTCTCGGAGAGGCGGCTGCGTGGGAATGGTGGGTGCCCAGTGCTGGCTTCCCTTGCAGGGAGTAACGGCAGGCAGCCTGTGTCTTGGCCTCACCTTTTTGCCATGGGGGGGAAACAAGAGTAGCTGTTCTCTCCCTTCTGGCGCCTGGGGAGTTCGTGTCAGGAAAGTGGGTTTTTCAGAACTTCTTGGAATGTAAACGAAGTCCCAGTCATGCAGGCGAAAAGTGGCCATACAAAGGATATCACACAAACGTCTCTCTGCACTCAACAATCGAAAAAGCGGGCAGTTCCAGTTCTCCCCCAGCTGCTTCTATCGGGGGGGGGGGGGGGGAGGGGTGCACATGTGCCACAGCCAGTGAAGGCCTGGGTTTACCTGTTGCCTCTTGTAAGTTGTTATCGCCGCCGTCTTCCCTAAATCGGGATTGCAAGAGCGGCGAAAACGTGCTGCCTGCATGAGTTTGGCGATCTTCTGTAAAATGAGGCTGCTTTTCGCGCTCTTCTCCAGAGTAGCGTTTCCCAACCCCGGGTAGTTGAGGCACACTTTCACCCAATTTTGATAGGCAGACCTCAATCTTAACTCCTAATAAATTCACTTTGGGGGAATCGCAACTGCGCGCGTGAATTAATATTATGTTGGTGGCTCTCAGATTGGAAGTGGGTGTGATTGCTGTAAAGACTTAATAGGTAGCCTAGCTTGAGGTCAGGTAATTTTACCGTGTGTGGAGGGATCTAATCTTGCCCCCTGCAATAAAAGAGGCAGGTTATCTGCTCTCAGAGTGTGCTGATAAGAATGCAAAACTGGAGTTGTGAATCACACAGAGGGGCTGTGTTTGTGGGTTTTGAGGCGTTTGGTATTTGTTTTGCTCATATGGGAGGTATTGCTTTGTAGCTGTCATACCCTTTTTCTTTTTAATTTTTTTAATTTCAAGATTTTAAAAGGGTACAGAAGGAAAGAGGGTATAGTTTACCTTTCTCAATGTAGAGGGTCCATCAAATTTCTTAGCTTCCTGAAGAATGGAATAATGAAAAACTGCCTGTACCACTCCTATCCCCCACTATATATATACTTGTTTATTGGCCTGATGAAAACTCCTATTCCCCAAAGAGGTGACTAGTTTTTGTTGGGATGAATTCTTAAGAATTGATGGGATTGTTTATTGTGAACTTGCTTTTGTTTTAAATTTCAGATTTATGGACAAGAAGTTGTCATGTAAGTAAAACAGTTATTTTTCCATTTGTTGTATTTTAGTAGGAGCACTTTCTGGGGCTGTGTAGTTTGTCCCCTGAGAGTAGCAGCTGCCCTAGATAGTAAGTTGCTTGTCGCTGCAGCATTGTCACCGGTATTTATGATAAGGAAATGCAGTTCTGGCATCCCAGCCCTGCACTGAACAGTTGGGGGCAGTTGATTAACATAGTAGGACCATCTCTACTGAATATAGGGGAGGATGATTAAGTTTTCTAGAGGTGAGCAAAGGAAAATCCTGGGATGCTGCACTGTTAACAGGGTCATGTTTTTGAGTAATCCGTAACTGTAATGTTTAGGACTTAGACCAGTGATAGCGAAACTTTTTGAGACTGAGTGCCCAAACTGCGACCCAAAACCCACTTATTTATCACAAAGTGCCAACATGGCAATTTAACCTGAATACTGAGGTTTTACTTTAGAAAAAACAACTCATACATTAACTTAAGATGATCCAAACAAAGTAAGAAAAGCAATCCCAAATGCTTTCATTTACTTAAAATTATTTGGCAGAGAATTTGACACTTTAATGATGGGCTGGGGCGATGGCACACATGCCCACAGAGAGGGCTCTGAGTGCCACCTCTGGCACCTGTGCCATAGGTTCGCCACCACTGACTTAGACCAACTAAGCAGCACTTGTTCTTGACAATAATGAATGCCTGATTATCTCACATACACTCTAGACTTTGTTTCCTTATGATGGAATGGGGTAAAGATGCATTTGGTTGTGAAAGCAAAACAAAAACCCAGCAACACTTACCTGTCTATTGCATATTTCTTTGTTTATGGGAAATGACTTAAAAAGATAAAATTCACTGCAGATTTTGGCTTAATAGTATGCTGTGATCTCTGATGCAGTAAAACTACTTAGTTAAAACTGCTAATTTTATTATTATTTCCTTAAGCCATTGTAGCACTTTGGCACTCAATACAGTTATCAAGAAACTGACTTTGTTCCTTACAGTGAAGTTAAATGGTGGCCGACATGTCCAAGGAATATTAAGAGGGTTTGATCCATTTATGAATCTGGTAATAGATGAATGTGTGGAAATGGCACAAGGTGGACAGCAGAACAACATTGGGATGGTGGTAAGTGGAGATGAATTCAAATTTTAAGGAAACAGTCTGGACTGTATAGTTTATTCAGCTAAGCTGGTGTGAATCTAATTTCTATTAATTTATTTACTTTCTAGTCCACCTTTCTTGCTGAGACTCAAGGTAGATCACAGAATACAAATAGTGCAGTGAACCATGCAATTGGAATAGGATTGCAAAATTATTAAGGCATTTTCTAGTCAAGTCCTTAATGTTATACAGAGTGAAAGGGAATTCATATTTATTTATTTATTTATTTATTGAACTTTTACCATGCCCTCCCCGCCAAGGCAGGCTCAGGGCGGCTTCCACAAAAGTGCTAAACAGTATACATTTTACAATTGATAAAATGAAGTAAATATTTAAAAACATAGACAAAGAAATTTAAAACATCACTTCGATGGCGATAAAAATAAAGTGCAATTTAAGGACACATTCAGTGGTGCCGCCCAGCTAAGTCGTGTTGGATCGGAGTTCACACAGGGCGCTGCTGGTAAGATGCCACTCCTAACGGAATGCCTGCCTAAAAAGCTCTGTTTTCATGGCCCTGCGGAACTGTGACCGATCCCGCAGGGCCCTGATCTCAGCAGGGAGCCCAGCAGGAAGCTCAGGACGGAGCTACAAACAAGAAAGCCCTGGTCCTAGTTGCCATCAACCTGAGTTCCTTTGGGCCAGGGAGGTTTGGTGGTTTTGGTATCCTGATCGCAGTGCTCTCTGGGGAACATGTGGGGAAATGCCAGTCCCTGACCATAAAGGGCTTTAAAGGTCAAAACCAGCACCTTGAAACGAATCCGGAATGCTATTGGCAGCCAGTGCAGAGTCTTAAGCACAAGTTGGATGTGCTCCCACCAGGGGAAGACCCATCAGCAGCCTGGCCGCCGCATTCTGCACCAGCTGCAGCTTCTGGAGTTGCACCAAGGGCAGCCCCATGTAGAGAGCATTGCAGTAGTCCAACCTCGAGGTGACCATAGCATGGATCACTGTAGCCAGATCATTGCGTTCAAGGAAGGTAACCAACTGCCTAATCAGCTGAAGATGGTAAAAGGCTGCCTTGGCAGCGGCTGCTACCAGGGCCTCCATTGTTAAGGAAGCATCCAGGAGCACTCTCAAGCTCCTGACCCTCGGAGCTGGCACCAACGGCGCCCCACCGAAGGCCGGGAGTGGGATCCCTACCCCCGTACCGCTCTGACTATCAGTGACTTGTTAGGACAGAACTTATAGTTTTCTACTGCTGGTTCAGGCAGAATTAGAATATGTATTCCCTGGATTCAACTTGTGATCATACGGGTATACCATTAAGCTACAAATGATTCTAAAAGTTTGTGTTCACACATGTCTTCTGACCACAAAAAATCTGTAGAAATTCATCTTTGTCAGCAGAGTTTCTCTTAAGCTACCCAAAAGAGACACTGCCATTTGATGCTATATGGAGAACCAAAAACACTCTGCTTGCTAATCTTTTCCCCATTCTGTAGAAGTATTTTACTGTCTGAATTGTCTTGTGCAGTTTGGTTCCCGTTTTCCCCCCTGTGGATTGTTCTTGATCAATTTTTTGCCTTAATACCTTAACCAGGTATGAAGCAAGAATGCAAGGACAGCTAAATCTAAAGATGCTTGTTTGTTTGAAGCCTTGCAAAATGAATTAGTGGCCTTTTACTGCATTACTATCCTGCACCAGGTGAAATCTTTAAAATTGTATGTAACTAAGCACTGAATTGTGATGGCAGATAATGGGGTTTTTAGTGGTCTTAGAGACGGAGACTTGTTTTCTGGGATACGTAAAACATCATAACTGATTCCTGTGCTTTGATTTGCAGGTAATTCGAGGAAACAGCATCATTATGTTGGAAGCCTTGGAACGAGTATAAATTAATAATGTAGCCTGCAGTGGCATTTTTTAAATTAGTTGTGGATTCTACAGGAAATGTATATTCCTTTTTTTTTTAATAAATTGTCAAAATAGACTATTGCTTTGGAATGTCCGTTTATACAGTTGACCTTTTTCTGTGCAGCCAGTAACAGCTATCTAGCTGTAATTTTTCCCTCCTATGGTTGTTTGACCTCAGACATTCTGGATTGGAAGGTGGGTCTTTCAGCTGCTATGCAGGTAGATGGATAAATTCCAGAGCTGCACCAATGTTAGCATGTCTAGTCAAAACAACCATTCTTATGGCACCTTATTGACTAAATGACTTACCTGGATAAAGGAACTGTGTTAGTAGGTAATAGAAAAACCTCTGACAGTAAGGATTATAAAGAAATGCTAGTTATCCCTCAAAGACTATACTAGAATACAGACACAACCTCTATATTGTACCTTTTCACCAAGAGAGTAAAAAATTCCACCTGAATTCAGTCATGATGTTATCCACTTTAATAGCAAAATATCAGTACTTCAGTGCTGAGCTTATTGCAATACTGTTTTGCCCAAGGTATAAATAGTGAACAGAATAAATAACAGCCTGGTGGCAAAATTCACAAAACCAGATGAATGGCTGTTTGGGCATTTAGGATAATTTTCTTATTGATTTTAATAGGTTAAAAAGTTTAATGAGTCCTGTTTTTGGACCAGTGTTAGTTGCTTCTTGTGGCAAATGGCTTGTTAGCTCTCCACTGTAAGTAGCAGTTCATAGTAAACAAGTGTGCTGTACCTAATAGTAGGTTGTACATGAATTCTTCAGTTGCTGAACAGGGACTGTAGTTGTATGTTAAAGATCAAAAAAGTCTTAAAGCAATAGTATTGTTTCTGCTAAACATTTCCTCAACACAGTGTATTGACTGTGAAGTTTTTAGTAAAGAAAACCCTCTGTAAGTCAGTATAACTTCTGCAGTGCAGCAAAAGGGAGATTAAATCAACAAACGATTTTTTTCTGCTTTTCTGCATAGTCCTCATTTTTAGTTGCTGATACCTGACCTGCCTGATCCTTGAACTTGCTGTTGGTTTGGGCTTTTCTTCCACATGTGATGGCTTTCAAGAATTAGAGTGTAAAAACCCAAGCTAACATGCATTGCACATACCATTGCCTTCTATTTCTCTCTACTAGATGATATTCAGTATTTCTACCTTTCATAATCAGTAAGCATACTTTCAATAGATGACACACTATATACCAAATACTACTGCACACCTTATTTCCCCATGCACTTCAGTAGGGACTGAACCAGAGTAGAACATAATGGCTTTCACCTTGAAGGCTACTAGAGAACTTACTTACAGTAGACTGTGATCTGACTTGGAGTGGTTGGACTTATAAGCTATATGCTGATGCTAAGATATAACAGGTGCTTAATTTTCACTTATTCATGTAGCCCAATTAAATGAGATTAAAGCTAAGCAACCTTATGACACAGTGAGGCCTAATTCAGTGTTCTCTAGTAGGCTTATGAAACATTAGGTCCTTATGCAGAGCAAGAATTTAGGATACTTTCTAGTATGACAGACTTCTTTCTGTGTTCAGAAGAAATATTCCTGGAGGTCCTTGCCTCTTTGGATAGGCAAAAATAAACAGTAGGTTGTGTTCATCAGTTACCAAGTGTTCTTAAAACAGTCCAGAGTTGTTTCCTCCCCCTTGAAGTACAGCCTTGAAGATAAGTTTCAGTGTAATACCACCACCAGTCTTAAGACTATTTTTCCAAACAATGAGGATCCCAACTCAGAGTTCTGTTTTGAGTCTTTCATGCAAATCTTCCTGATCAATCATGTCCATCTTTTCATACCAGTGGTGGTAAGCCAGAAGAGCAGCATTTTTAGCTGAAATTGCACTCATTTCCATGGCGCTTGCAGCCCATTCTATGCTGTTGAGGTAGTACATTCTACTGTGAAGGATGATAGGTGGGCATTTCTCCGGGGGGCTGTAGTGTGGGTAGGCTAGCCATGTTTTTACTGTAGTGGTATCGTAGGAAAGGAAAAGAAAGTTCATTTGCTCTGTGGTGAGGGGTTGGGGTGAGAAAATTTTCCAAACTCGAGGGCCCAGTAATGGGTTCAGTACATCTTTTCTATCCTTAACTGGACCTACAATGCCCATGCTATTTATAAATAACTTTGGATCCTCAATTGTGAAAATGCCACTTAGATGGAAGTAGGAAGGGTCCTGGTAGCCAAAGAAAGAGGCATTGATGTGACCATGGACAAATGTTGCTACAGTCTCTTGATAGGGCTTGGAGAATTCAGGAATGGGTGGTTTGAAGTTGAGGAATGTTATGTTGGCAATCTTACGGTTCAAGGGGGTTGCAATCAGAACGATGTTGTATGCATCACTCGCTAATCCTGATGTAGAATTGTAGGTCACTTCGTACAGCTTCACACTACCACCTTTAAAAATAAACAATAAAAAGCTATTCCTTTGGTATTGTTACAAGTTTGGCTGTCTGACAATCCTGTGAAGGAGGTTAAGTGGGGGGTGGGGAGAGATTTGCCTAAAGTCACCAGGAAGCTTCATGGTAGAACATGGATATGAACCCCAGTCTCCCCATCCTAGGCTGACATCGGCTGTTAAGAACATAAGAGACGCCAATGGTACATGACCCCCCCCAACGTCTTTCTCACATGCACCCTACGATTTCACCAAATTGTTGGAAACAATGCGACAAAATTGACACATTTGCCCATTCCTGGTGGGAATGTGAGAAAATAGCTAAATTTTGGGAAGAAATAAAACAAATGATACTTAAAGTCACAGGCTTAGAAATCCCATTAAACCCCAAAAATCTCTTCCTAAACCACTGGCCGCCCCCAAATTGAAACACACAAACATAAGCAGACCTTGGATGTTATGATATATGCTGCTCGCACAGCGATTGCGACTTGTTGGAAAGATCCAAAACCGCCAACACTGAAGCTATGGTATCAAAAGCTGTGGGACCAATTTCTAATTAACTCAGTAACAAGCAAACTGAACAGAATAGCATTGAAACCGATAGACAAACCTATAATGGAAAAGTGGAATCCTATTTTAGAATTCCTGGCAGAAGATTTTTTGCCCTCCTCATGGCAGCAATTACGGAGATGGATGTAGAAGTTTTTATGAATTTGTAACTACTAGGAGACTGTTTTCCCCTCTATTCCTTCACACAGGATTAAGATATTGTTGGTTCGAAATTACCTATAAGAATTTACATAAATGACATATGTGGGTCCTCCGAGACTCCAGTGAGTTCTATATTCATTCTAACCTTGTTAAAAATACTTGTAATTTTTTTTCCAGACTTTTATCGTTCCTTAACTCTGTAACAGATTGAGGTTACTTATATATGATATATATGTTACTTGAATCAATACAAAACAAATAAAAACTTAAATTAAAAAAAAAAAAGACGCCAATGTTGGATCAGGCCAAAGGCCCATCCAGTCCAACACTCTGTCACACAGTGGGCAAAAATACCAGGTACCATCAGACGGTCCACCAGTGGGGCCAGGACATCAGATAAGCCCTCCCACTGATGGACCTCTGCTCCATATGCTTATCTAATTCCCTTCTGAAGCTTTCCATGCTTGTAGCCGCCACCACTTCCTGCGGCAGTGAATTCCATGTGTTAATCACTCTTTGGGTGAAGAAGTACTTCCTTTTATCCGTTCTAACCCGACCGCTCAGCAATTTCATTGAGTGCCCACCAGTTCTTGTATTGTGAGAAAGGGAGAAAAGTACCTCTCTTTCTACCTGTTCTATCCCATGCATAATCTTATAAACCTCAATCATGTCACCCCTCAGCCGTCATTTCTCCAAGCTAAAGAGCCCTAAGCGCTTTAACCTTTCCTCATAGGGAAAGTGTTCCAACCCTTTTATCATTCGAGTTGCCCTTTTCTGCACTTTTTCCAAAGCTATAATATCCTTTTTAAGGTGTGGTGCCCAGAACTGCACACAGTATTCCAAATGAGGTCTCACCATTGATTTATATAGGGGCATTATGATATTGGCTGATCTGTTTTCAATACCCTTCCTAATAATCCCCAGCATAGCATTGGCCTTCTTTATTGCAGTCACACACTGTCTCAACATTTTCAGTGAGTTATCCACTACAACTCCAAGATCTCTCTCTTGATCAGTCTCTGCCAGTTCAGACCCCATCAATGTGTATTTATATTTAGGATTTTTAGCTCCAATGTGCATCACCTTGCACTTGGCCACATTGAACCCCATTTGCCATGTTGACGCCCACTCGCCCATCCTTGACAGATCCCCTTGGAGTGCCTCACAATCCTCACTGGTTTTCACCACCCCGAACAACTTTGTATCATCCGCAAATTTAGCCACTTCACTGCTTACTCCCATCTCCAAATCATTAATGAACAAGTTAAAAAGCAGTGGACCAAGTACTGATCCCTGCGGTACCCCACTGCTTACCACCCTCCACTGAGAAAATTGCCCACCTACACTCACTCTCTGTTTTCTATGAACTAGCCAGTTTTTGATCCATAAAAGGACTTGTCCTTCTATCCCATGATTTTTGAGCTTACTTAGGAGCCTTTGATGAGGAACTTTATCAAAAGCTTTCTGGAAGTCAAGGTAAATAATATCTATTGGATCCCCCTTGTCCACATGTTTGTTCACCCCCTCAAAGAACACTAACAGGTTAGTGAGACAAGATCTTCCCTTACAGAAACCGTGCTGAGTCTGCCTCAATAGGTTTTGTTCATCTATGTGCCTACTAATTCTTTCCTTAATAATGGTTTCCACCAATTTACCCGGTATCGACGTCAGACTGACTGGCCTGTAATTTCCCGGATCTCCTCTGGAACCCTTTTTAAAGATGGGAGTGACATTAGCTACCTTCCAATCCTCAGGAATGGAGGCAGATTTTAAGGAAAGATTACATATCTTTGTCAGGAGATCTACAAGTTCACATTTGAGTTCTTTCAGAACTCTCGGATGTATGCCATCTGGGCCTGGTGATTTTTCAGTTTTTAAGTTGTCTATCAGTTTTAGGACCTCCTCTCTCATCACCTCAATCTGACTCAGGTCTTCCAACACCCCTCCTGAAATCAGTGGTTCTGGAGTGGGCAAGCACTTCTCATCTTCCACAGTGAAGACGGAGGCAAAAAATGCATTTAGCTTCTCAGCCATTTCCCTATCATCCTTCAATACTCCTTTTACCCCTTGGTCGTCCAAGGGCCCCACTGCCTCCCTGGCTGGTTTCCTGTTTCTAATGTATTTGAAGAAAGTTTTATTGTTGGTTTTTACGTTTTTTGCTATATGCTCCTCATATTCCCTTTTTGCCTGCCTGACCTCAGACTTGCATTTTATTTGCCATAGCCTGTGTTCCGTTTTATCAGCCTCACTGTGACTAGCTTTCCACTGCTTAAAGGAATTCTTTTTACTTTTTACAGCCTCCATTACTCTGTTTGTTAACCATGCAGGCTTTTTCCTATACCTGTTTGTGCCTTTCCTAACCTGCGGAATATATATTTTTTGAGCTTCTAGGATCGTAGTTTTAAATAGATCCCAAGCTTCCCCAATTGTTTTGACCCTTTCTACTTTTCCTTTCAGTTTCCTCCCCACGTGTCCCCTCATATCAGAGAAATTACCCCTTTTAAAGTTAAAAATGGTTGTGTGAGTCTTTTTGGCCAATTCTCTATTTGTACAAATGATGAACTCAACAACATTATGATCACTGTTTCCAAGCGGTGCAATCACTTTTACATCTCTCACCAGGTCTTGAGTGTTACTTAGGACCAAATCAAGGATCGCCTCTCCCCTGGTAGGTTCCGTGACCATCTGCTCCATAGCACAGTCATTTAGAGTGTCTAGAAACTCAATCTCTTTTTCTCGACTAGAACACATATTGACCCAATCAATATGTTAATATGTTCCTTTAATGGCTCTGGACTTTTCCTGAATGTGCACTTTGGATCTCAGCAGGGTGTATGTGAGGCTGAGAACAGAATCTCTATCTGCAACTGGGATGCATCCTTGATAAGACTGTACAAACTCCTCTCTGCAGATCTGCCTGATGAAAGGAATGTCTGTTTTCCTCCACTATCCTCCAATTATAAATAAGTAAACTAAGTATTAAAGACACTTTGAATCTTCAGTGCCCAGAAAACAAAACCCCAATAGTGCTGCCCTTGGAATTTTTCACTAAGGGGAGTGGGGGGAGAGTGTGTGTTTTTTCTGTGTTTAGAATGCGCTGGGCAAAACCCCTAGCACCGTTTGTCTAAATTACACAGATAGAGCAATGTCATACTCTGTGTGTAAAACATAAAAGGATGGGGAGCGAGAGCATTTTCAGTAGCTGCCCTGCAATTAGTAAATTCCCTCCGAGTAAACGTACAGGTATAATTAATAAATTACCACATAGTTTATTAAGTTGCTCACTTTATTTGCAGGCTAGAATCAAGTTGCTGTTTCCAGCCAATTTTTGCTATGCCAATTAATTCCAAAATTGGCCTGCAGTGGCAACTTTAAAAGGACGCCACCACTGTGTTGACTTTTGGATTCCTAAGTAACAAATGCTTTAAGACCTGGTGTCAAACATGCAGCCCGTGGGCCATATTCAGTGGGTGCAGGGCTCAAATCCAGCCCCCAAGCAACTTCCTTCTCCCGTTTCCTCTTCCAGGGCTGCTACTGCAGCTGCACCGTAGCTTGGTTTTTTCAAAGCTCCCTCAGTGGCTTTTTGCTTCCTGCTTCCTGCCTCCCTCCCTCCTTGCGCTCTCTCGAAGACAAGCCGTGCCTGTTTTTTGCTTCATGCGGGAGATGTACAAAGAAAAGCCTCTCTCACACACACATACACAGCTTCTGCTTCCTTATCTGGGGCTGCTGCTCCTCTTTTGGGGAGGAGAGAGAGAGAGAGAGAAAACAAAGTTGGAGTCCTCTGGCAGGTTTAAGACCAACAACGTTTTATTCCAAGAATAAGCTTTTGTGTGCAAGCACACTTCTTCGGAGGGGGGGCAGGTGGATTCTTCTGACAAGCACAATGTACACTGAAGAAATTGTTTTAAATATTAGATTTCTCTGTTCCTATCTGGATTTATTTTCTTTCAAAAAGACCCTGCTTAGGAATTAGAACACTTCTAATTGGTCCTTATATCTTGGAGCGTAGAATGATTTCAGATGCCAAATAATAATAGCACACATTGGTAATGAGACAAGAAAACTAGGTCTCAGTTCAGTTCAGGAAGATACATTGTCTTGAGCTTCATTATCAATTGCAATTCAGCATTCTCTCTTTCTAATCTCCCTTTGATATTCCTTTGAAAGAGCATTGCTACTCTTAGGTCAGCAACTGAATGTTATGGTTTCTAATGTCAGACTTATGTCCCTTTATTCTTTGCATTCTCCTGTACTGAATCCTCCTGGATGGAATTAAAACCTAGGTTTCCTGTCTCATTACCAACACAGGTATCTCCACACCTACTACCCCTCTGTAACTCACACCTAATCCAATCAAGCCTACTATTGTTATTTGACATCTGAAATCACTTTTATAAAGCTGTATCACTGGTACCTCAAGTAAAATTTTATGGCGTGCATGGCCTGGCCCAACAAAGTGACACATGTCAGATCCAGCCTTTGTAACAAATGAATTCAACACCTCTGCTTTAAGAAGTAATTTTACAGATGGCTTTCAACAATTTGTAAGGCTGGAGTCAAAACCGTTCCTCCAAATGGAAGGTTTTGCTGCACAAAGGGTGTTGTGCAACTGCTGTGGATTCCCTCCTCCAGCTGCAACCCCGTGCGGCGTATCCCATGTTGTTCCTGGGACTCCTCCAGCCCTACAGTGTGACCATTGGGGTGCGTAGGGAGCTGATGCTGGAGGAAGGTGGTGGGAAAGCTCTATTCTAGAAGTAGAATTCTGCTAACAGTTCTACAGATGCTGCCTGCAATCCTACGTAAAATATTTTTAGCAAAAGATAATCTTGGTTTCAGTTTTGTATGACACCCAGTGGTTATCAGAATACATCTTTATACTCTTGACAACATTTTTTTGAGATATACTACTTTGTAGATGCAGAAGTTCTTTTGGCACAAAAGAAAATAACCTATGTTTCTGTTCTTTCTCTGAATGTGGTAGCAGCTCTTTTTGTGCATGCTGTCAAAGAGTTCATCCACCCATAAGATACTGTTGGATTAGGTTGTCTAAGTCAGACCCACAACACAAGTGGGATGTGTGTGAGGATAAGGCTGGCAGCTAGGTCCTGGGTTCTTTGTGTTTTGTCCCTAAGTTGCCAGGCACTGTCATCATAAAAAGTATCTGCAGAATTTCCAACTCCTGTTCAGCCAGCTTGCTTATCTCTCTGGTTGCTTTTCTATGCCTACATTCCCCTTCCTCAAAACTTGGGAATCTCAGTGAATGTTTTAATTTTATAAGTTGTTACCGAAGAAGAGAGAATATTGAGACAACCTCACCTGAACGTCCATTTTGCCTTGTCTTCTCCTCTATAGAAATAACTGTGCCAGGAATCAGCTGTGCTTTAGAAGCATACAGAAGGCCAGTGCATACCAGTTTGTTGCCACCTTCTACTGACCAAAGTCCACTATCGGCACCTGCTAAAGATACAGCACCTGCCAGGGAGAAGGGAAAAATCAGAGTTCAAGAACAGAAAAATGTTCATAGAAAAATGCAGGAGGGAAATTGGTTTCCAGATAAACATAATTACACTGTAACACTGGAATATGAGGGCTTTGTAAAAATGGTTCAGAGATTACTTTTTAGTGTCAGTTTCCTGATATCTAGTAGAGGACAAATGATCGATTTTCTGGACAGCTGGGAGTATGAACATTCTTGAATCTAGGAAACTAATGCTATTAAGTTGAATGAATACCTAATATGCTGGAGAACTGCCAGAGCAAAGATTTCCTTTGGGAAAGACCTGGTTTCATGACAGTGAAACTGAGGTATAGACGCTGGATGCTTTCTTATGCTGCAAGATTGTTGTGAGAAGGAGAATGATGTAAATGACTTTTTGTCCCCATTGGGGAGAAAGGTGAGATATAAGTGACTTAAGTACAAGGAATATCACTGCTTATTAATCCTGATCACCATTAGTGGGCTCTTCCAAGAAAGCTATAATGGAGACTGCAAATGACTTCCGCTTGCTGGGTCAAGAGACAAGATCCAAGTGTGGTACAATGGTGCTCCCTGCCTCGTAGGCCATGATTTGCAGGACTGTTCACCCTTTTTCTCAAGAACTCCTTAGGAATCAGGACTTTTACCCAGGAATGTTTACTAAAAGACTTGTTAGATGTATAGGTCGAGACACTGCAGTGAAGTAACCTGGTCCTGAAGGAAAACATGATTAAAAGGAGAAAGGATGATTTGGTTAGGGATGTTGACACTGACCTACTTGTGAAGGAATGTTAGATTGAAGCAGCGAATGGGAGAAACTGAATGTGTTTCTAATGTAGGAGTGTCAAATATAAGATGCTGGATCTTTACTAGCCACTTGGAGGTCCTTGGTATGGCTTATGCAACTTGCATCATTTTCAGAGCCAAGGACCCACAAATGGCAGGCAGGTGTGCTTCACACCAGAGGACTCTGTTGAAATCATCCCACTTTGCCATTCAACTCACCCTGAGCCTCAGTGCTCCTCATAGTGTGGTGGTGGTAAACAGGCTGATATCAGAAAGTGACCTTTGGCAGTGGGGTGGTTTCAAAGCTACTTGGCTCCCCTGCCCTTGCAGTAAAGGACTCTGGGGGGAGGGATAAGCAGAAAGAAGGAAACACTGTTAAACTGCTAGTGGAGGATTTGACTATCGTATTCAGTTTTTGTACCTGCTGTCTAAACCCTAGGGGTGCTGTTATTCAATCGCTTACTTTCCACAGACAGGATCTTCCTCCTGCAGCCCAAAATATTTCTGAAAAGTTCCTCCTGCGGAGAGGGGACATGGGACCCCCACCCCGAATCAGCGTGAGGGGATACTTAGAGGTCTACAGTGGGAGGGGAAATGAGTAAAAATTGCTCCCCCTTCCATCAGTGGCAATCTACATCCAGCCTAATAACTGCTGGCATAGTGCCTAAGCAGTAGTCAGGACACTGAACCAATTAAAGAGTAAAGGAAGATTTATTTATGGAACTTATACAAACTGATAGGAAAGAGAAGTGAGAAACCTAAATGCTTTGCTAGCTGAGAGAGGGGGTTCTAGACTGTTCTAGAAGAAAAGCCTAAGAATAGCATTCGGGCCACAGATAAGGAGAAGCCCCTTTTAGAAAGAACGTACTCCCCCTACAGTCCTGTCTCCATAGAGCTGGATCTTCCGTGTAGATAAGACACTGTTGTGGCCAGTCTCAAAGGTGGGTGCTGGGGTCTGGTGCCATGCTGGGTTTCATGATGGGGGGTGGGATTTCCCCTACTTGCCAGTCTGCGAGGCCCCCACTTGTATATTCTAACAGCCAAGTTGGCCAAATCTGAGAATACTTAAATCCAGAGACTGGATCATGAATAGACAAACAGATCTTTCTACAAACCTAGGTTTGGTTTATTTCAGTAAAAGACAGGGAAAGGGGACAGGGCCCTTTCCAGGGCTGTTTTGGCCTTTGAGGAAGGACTCACTGGGCCAGGCAGCAACCACTATGTGACTTGATACCACCCTATTTACATGACTCACAAAGTCCTGGCTGCTTGCTGCTGTTCAGCAGCTACCCTATGAAAGTCAGTGTGGTGTACCAGTTAGAGCTTCAGAGTAAGGTCTGGGAGACAGACACAGGTTCACATCACCAGTCTGCTGTGGAAGTTCATTAGGTTATATGGGGGCCAGTCACAAACTTTCAGCCTAACCTTCCTCACAGAACTGTTGTGAGGATAAAAAGAAGAAGAGAATGACATAAGCTGCTTTAGTCCCCACTGTGAAAAAAGACAGGGTATAAATGAAGTATATAAATATAGCTGAAGGTGGGAGGCACAGAAAAGGTAGGCTGGGAAATGGGTAGGAAGGAGAGAAAGATACAGGGAAAGGGGAGATTATATGGAGGTTGCCAGAAGGAGAGAAAGGGGAAATAATGTGGGGAGGGGTATACAGGGGAAAGTGATGGGTCCCCCCCAGAAGTCCAGCAAAGTGGTTCCCCACTATGTGAGTGGGCTTGGCCCAGCAGCGGGCTCTGCACAGTGGGCCATAGTTTTCCCAGGAAGAGGATGCTGGGTGGGGAAGCTTAAGACAAGGGGGCAGATACATGTAGGTTGGCTGTTGGGCTGGGCCAGGCAGCAACCACTATGTGACTTGATACCACCCTATTTACATGACTCACAAAGTCCTGGCTGCTTGCTGCTGTTCAGCAGCCACCCTATGAAAGTCAGTGTGGTGTACCAGTTAGAGCTTCAGAGTAAGGTCTGGGAGACAGACACAGGTTCACATCACCAGTCTGCTGTGGAAGTTCATTAGGTTATATGGGGGCCAGTCACAAACTTTCAGCCTAACCTTCCTTACAGAACTGTTGTGAGGATAAAAAGAAGAAGAGAATGACAGAAGCTGCTTTAGTCCCCACTGTGAAAAAAGACAGGGTATAAATGAAGTATATAAATATAGCTGAAGGTGGGAGGCACAGAAAAGGTAGGCTGGGAAATGGGTAGGAAGGAGAGAAAGATACAGGGAAAGGGGAGATTATATGGAGGTTGCCAGAAGGAGAGAAAGGGGAAATAATGTGGGGAGGGGTATACAGGGGAAAGTGATGGGTCCCCCCCAGAAGTCCAGCAAAGTGGTTCCCCACTATGTGAGTGGGCTTGGCCCAGCAGCGGGCCCTGCACAGTGGGCCATAGTTTTCCCAGGAAGAGGATGCTGGGTGGGAAGCTTAAGACAAGGGGGGCGATACATGTAGGTTGAGCTGAAAAGTAGAGAAGGAAGCTGGAAACATTGAGAGGTTATGGGAGCTTTCAGTGACGGGAAAGAGGAAATGATGGGGGAGGGGAAATCAGATGCATCCTACAAATTCAAATCTTTTTTTTTAAACACCACTTACCTACAAAGCCATTGATATTGGTACCTTGGCCATAGTTTACTCTCATGACTGAAGTTACTATCTCATTGATGAACTTGTGAGAAAAGCCAGACTTCTGCATGGATTCATCAATGGTCTGATTCAGCATATGAAGGAATTCAGCCCCTCCAAGAGCGTGAAGCAAACCTTCGCTACTGCTGAAGGCATAGTCATGGGCCTGATACCGATAGATCCTGTATCCAAAAAGGGGGAGGAACCATTAAGAAAGAGGCAATAAAGACTATGCATTTTTTGCAAAAGGTGAGGTGGAAAGGGAAGTCAGGGATTTCTGCATCAAAATTTTACAGTATAAGTGTTCTAGTATTGCATTAGCTGTTCTTGAAGTTATTTTGCTTCCATTAACAAAGTGATTCACAAATAAGTCATCCTAGCTAAATTCTCAAGTTCTTAATACTATAAGTTGATTGCAGCTTCTTTAAAAGCATGAGAGTGGCAACTGAACACATTCCCAGAAGTTTAACCCTATTTTTCCTTTGAATGCTTGTAAATGTTAATTAGATATCCATGTGACACATTGATGGGATAGTCTTTTCTTTCTTGTTCATAAGAAGAAAAGAGATTTTAGCACTTACAATGCTGATACTCGACTGAGATGCAGCTAGTAGAGGGTTAAAGGCAAGCATGTTTTAACATGCCCAGGGAGACAATGGAGTCTGAAAAGAGACTGTACATATTCTTTATTCTCGGCTATGAACCTTTTACCTTATGTTAGACCTAGAATTCAAAGCATAATCAATGTAGCTGCCCAACAAGATATTCAGGTTGATATAATTACCACGTGAACTCGTTCTTCTGTTTGCTCCTGAAGCTCTAGATTATGAGCTAAGACTGGATTACCATACTTTCTAAGGTTTTTTGTCTAGAGCCAACAAAGTAGTAGTTCTTTAGCCTTTTATTCTATGGTACTCTGAAAAATCTTATTCTTTTCATCAATTAACCTGCTGCCCACTTCCCACAAGGTAATTACGTCTTTCTAGTTTAGGACTAGATTCTGCTTTGTGCATGATTACCTCATAAACTTGTCCAGAATTTCCTCCACCCACATGCTCATTCGCAAGGGATTCAGTCCATAGTGCCACAGGAGCTTGACAAAATTCCAAATGTACCAGCTACTCTCCTCAAAGACAAACTCATCTCCATTGTAAATGCCCATGAGGCCTCCTTGGCTTTTGGGAGCAGAAAGTCCTGCAAATGTGAGAATGTGAAACTGTAGGCTAGCAATATAAAGAACGATCTCTGATTGGATGATTTATTCATTTATTTTATTTACTTCATTTATGCCTCTCCTTTCTCCCCAAGGGGGACCCAAAGCAGCTTACGTCATTCTCTTCTCCGCAATTTTATTCTCACAACAAGCCTGTGAGGATTTTATTCTTGAGAGTGTATGAATGGCCCAAGGTCACCCAGCAAGCTTCCATGGGACAGTGGGGACTCAAAACCTGGGTCTCCCAGATCATAGTCTGACACTTTAACTCTATACTAATTGTATGATGAATTTTACTGCTCTTCACAAGAGACAGAACTGAAATATACAAAGCCACATATTCTGAATGTGCCTGGGTTGGATCCAGATTAAATTTATCATCTACGAACAGAACTTTCCTGCCTCCACAAGTTCTGCTTCTGGGTGATAAGGGGACTTTGAGGAACAACAGGGCGGGGTGTATCTTGAAGTGGGGATGGGGATCAGAAGAAATTGCCAGTTTTGTATGGATCCTACTTTCTGACATCAAACGTGAGAGAGACAGACCTTAGACTGGGCCATGGTGATCCATGCCTTGATCACAATCAGGCTAGATGGCTGCAGTGAGCTTTATGTGGGGCTGCCTTTGAAGACTGTCTTGAAACTTCAAAATGTAATAGCTGTTTTTTGGGGGGAAAGCCAGAGAAGGGGTCACAGTGTGCAGATACATGCCAACAGACCAAAAACCACTTACAATATGGTAAAAGAATTCAGGTATAGGCAAAGCAAAGTCCAACATATCATATCCTCAATGAGCACACCGGTTTTTACACTCATTTCACCAATCTTCCTCATGAGTAAGAAGTCTCATAAAGTTGGAAGATGTCAACCTCTTGATTCAGCTTAGTTTCTTTTTTAAAACAGTATAGCTTCTTATTTGTTTTCTTCTTAGTCAAATTCTCTTTCAGTTCCATTGCAAGTACTTGAATAGGAGCAAGCCAATTACTAAATTTCTAGTTGTAGCAACCAGTCCAAAAAATTTTTTGGCAACAGGCCTACTTTGAATTGGCTGGCATTTGCTTTCTGACTCATGTTGTTGGCTAGTAGCTCTCTATTAGGGAGTAGCATTTCAGTATTCTTATCTATCTGGCTAAAAGCCTTTTTTGAATGGACTGACAATGCTCTCCACTTCTCACGCTGAAAACCAACTCAAGGAACTTACAATTGATGCTCATAGAATTATTAAATGTGTCATTGTTAATTTTACCACAGTGGTTTTTGGCCTGTTGGCACGTTGTTTTTTGGGAGGCAGAGAGGGTATTGGGATCACATCTTCTTGTGCTGAAAGGCCTGCACTGGTTGCCTGTTATCAGGAGCAGTTCAGAGTGTTGGCTCTGACCTTAGAGGCCTTACATGGTTTAGGAGCAAGCTACCCAAAGGACTTCTTCCCTCCCATACGGTTCAGATTGCCAATTAAGGACCTCTGATGTTCCTACCCTTGAAAGTGAGGTGGAGTGTAGGACTAGTGATGGGGACTTCCTCAGTGTTTGTATCCTGTCTAAGGAACACCCTCCTTCTTGGACGTTCGCCTGCCGCCTCTCATTCTTAGGCACCAGCCCAAAACATTTTTGTTCACCCAAGCTTTTCATTGAATTTCATCCCCATGCCCTGTTTTTTCCTGGGTGTTATGTCTGTTTTATGCTGGTTTTATATTACTGGCTTAATTGCCTGCTTGTTTTACTTGTTTCTTGAATTATTTGAAATATTTTTTATTTTAACTAGTATTTTTATTACTGCTTACTTGTTTCTTGAATTATTTGAAATATTTTTTATTTTAACTAGTATTTTTATTATTTTACATTGTTAGCCACTTTTAGCAGATCCTGAAATCTGTGGGTATAAATCTTGTAATTAAAGGGGTGAACAAGCTGAAGAGTAGTCTGAGATTCAACAAAGTGACAACGCATAGAAGTTAGTAGGAACTTCTGCATTGGTCTGAATTTCTGTGTCGGTCTGAGTTTCTGCCAGAAGACCTGCCTTTTGAAACTAGTTTCAGATGTGATTGCTCAAGAACACCCTTCTGTTCTTGTTCCACAACCTCCTAGAGCTTACAAAAGTTAGACACGTTATCTGTGTACTTGCTGTAATTGAATGAATTAATTAATTTGTCTAGAATGGCTGATATCACTGCAGGTGGTATCATTAAAGTAACAACAACAAAAAAGAACCAAGCCCCAGGCTCCTGCCCCCAAAAGTTTAGTCTTGTTGACAGTGGGACTGTGGACAATGGGAAGACAGCAAAGAATAAATTAGTACAACAACAAGAACAGGAAGTGTGTATATATGTGTGTGTGTGTGTGCGCGCACATACTGTGGAAAGATAAAGCTTTGGAGGGAATAATTGCAGGATGTGGATAAAACAAAACCATTGTAATTAAAATCAGAATGTAATCAAGCAGGAAAAGTATCCCAGCTTGCTTCGTAAGCAAAGTCATACCTAGTTCTTTGACAAAATGCTTCATGTGCAGGTTAAGAGGGTGGATGACAGCTCCTCCTGCTTCATAGTCTTCTCCTTCCAAGTTGACAGTAGCCAGACGGCCACCCACAGCCCCTCTTTCAAATACATCAATCAGGACATCTTTTCCAAACTTCTGGCGCAGAAAGTAGGCTGCAGATGTGCCCCCAATGCCAGCTCCAATTACAGCTGAAAGAGTTGTGCATACATTTTAGTATTTCCAAAAAAATTGAGAGGGATACCAACCAGCTCTTCCCATATGGTTATGAGGTCAAGATAATGAAAGGTGTTCTAGTATAGGTTTAATTACATGGCTCATAATAATTGATTTTTTTCTCTGTCTCCGTTGAGACTTTCAAAAGCGTCTGAAGCCTTTGCTCCAGAGTACTGTTGAAAATTCTCAGGAAAGCTACTTTAGCGAGTATTTGATTCCACGAACCATTTGGTTAGGGGTTTATGACAAATTGTGTGAGGAAAGGCTGAAGAAACTGGGCACATTTTAACTTTGCTTAAAGAAAATTAAGGTGGGAGAGGACAGGTGCTGAGAGTTTTCAAAAACTCAAAATTGACAACAGGGAGAACACTTGTTTCATGTTAACCCACTAAGCCTATACACACACACACACACACACACGAGGGGGAATGATTAAACTTTAAAAACATAACCCTACAGGTGGTCAGATTAACACACACAATCCAGTCTTCTTTTTTCATGGTATCCTGGGTTATTTGAAGAATGGTCTCTGTTAAGTGGACTGCAAACTGCATTGGGCACAACCATTTCTATGATTATGGCAACAGTGTCTTGAAAACATCTGCTGTCTTTGTGGGCTGTGTTTCCATATGGACCAGTTCTCACTGAAATGTTTCTGTGTAATTCCTTACAGGGGTGGTTCCAGAAAAATAAAGGGCCAGTTAACGTGTATGGATAGGTTTCACAAACCAAGCAGCTGGGCAAGGTCATGGAATCACTTTTCTTGGAAAATTTGCAAAGAGAAGGCAGACCAGGATCTGTCTGGGCAGCCCAGACTAGATGACGGAGTTCCCAAATCTCACATATCAATTGCGTACAAAAATTCCGATTACAAAAAGCTGATAGCATATCACAGAATATTTTTCCTTCTGCATTTTAAAAGAACTTTACTATTCATTAATTAAATGCCATATCACATGCAGATTTGTGCCAACATACACACACAGCCCAATTCTATGCATGGTCACTTAGATGTGAATCCTACCAAGTTGAATGGGATGTAACTCCAAGAAAGCAAATATAGGATTACAACCTGTGACCGAAATGGCAGTTGGGGTCACTATCTCTTCTGGATTTGGTAGCTGTCACAGCCTCAGTCTCAGAAGAAGAAAATAAGGATTTTGGAGACTTTTTGTGTTTGTCTGAATTGATGACTTGTCAAAGTGATGCATTCTAGGCCAAAAAGCCAGGAAATGCCAAAAAACCCTGCACAGATTTGCCCCACGCATTGCTTGGTGGCACAGAAGACCTATACCTGGTCATGGTCTCCATTCTCTATATCTCTCTGTGACAAAGGCATTCTTTCACATTCAGGGTCCATAGCCACCTGGTCACCCAAATTCCAAACCTGGTCTTGCATCTGCAAAACTATGTACAAAATCAGAATCTCCTTTCCTCGCTAAGCACTGCCTTAAAAAGCAGGTGAGTGAGGAATACACCCTTTTGCTATTCTTATTTAACCAATCATTGTTATTCGTATTTATCTAATCATTCTGCCAATTAAAGGTGGATCAAGGCAGGTTACACAACCTAAGTAAACTTCCAATAGCAAAATAAACCAGCCAATTAAATGGTTAGGTAAAACGGGAAGGCAAAGGGGAAATGCGGTTCGACTCACCCTCTGGGTTAGCAAAAATAAAATGGGAGGGGGAAGGGAATTGGGGCTGCAGTTCTGTGAACAAGTATCTGCCTATGTCCCACTGAACTCAGCAAGTCTTACTTCTAGGTTAACATGCGTAGGCTCAGTCTTGTACAACTCCTGTTTGCGCAACTCTAATCCGGCGGAAGTACTTTTTTTTTGTGCAAGTTTCATGAAAATGTTTTATGGTTCTGCTTTTAACAATTGCGGGAGGTAAGAGGCCATGTGGGTCTATAGGCAAGATTAACCCCTTTTGTACTCAACAATTCTGGCACCATAGGCTGAGTGCTGCTCAGCATTGCAAGAAGAATGCTTTTGCCCTGGCTCCGAACGAAGAGTATTCCCCTTCCACTTTTTACTACTTAAATAAAAAGGCCCAATATCACGGGCAAAGTGATTCTGAGCTTTTTTAAAAATCGCTATAAAGACATGAGTGCACTTAAGAATATGCAGAGCCTGCTCCCCTTAAAAGCCACCCACCTGAAGCCACGGCACACGCTAGCAGCCGGGTTTAAACGAGACTCTGTGCTTCGTACAAACGCTTAAATAAAGTTTTAACTAGGAAGTTGGGGGGCAGCAAGGGAAACATATTAATCTCAACCCGTTTGGGGGCCGCCCCCCTCGGACCAGACAAATTCTGACCGGTGCGGCGGTGCTAACAACCCGAGTGGAGCGGGGAATTGCTCCGCAGTGACCTTTCCCCGCCAGTCCCGCGTTTGGTTCCCCCCTACCTATTCGATTAGGCGGGTAGCGCAGCTCCTGGGACCCCGAGGAAAGCCCCCTGCACATGGAGGCCAGGAGCAGGAGGAGGCGAGCGGATCCCGTCCAAGGCACCCACATGGCGGCGGCGGCGGTGGCGGCCGCGGCTGAGGAGAGCGAGACCTGCCTGCCGACCGACGCGCGGAAGCAAAGGACAGGCCTGTGGCTCAGTAGTCCTCCGCTCCGCCCCGCTGCCTTAGTCGTCAGGGGGCGGGCAGCAGCAGGGGCTGTGTCTTAAGGGAGTTAAGGCCCGGCGGGGAGAGCGGGTCTCCCTCTCCCGGATAGCCTGGAGGAGGAAGGTAAGGGTCCCTTAAAGGTCGTCCAGCTGCCTCGCGGAAATCCACCCGTCGGACGTGGCCGCAGGCGACATTTCTTCCCTCCACGTTGCCGGTCCTCAGCCGGCGGTTGCTGAGCGCTGGGGATCCCGGCGATTAGGTGCTGTAGACTAATGGACCGTGGAATTGATCCAGACCTTGATAAGAACGAGAGAACAGCGTTGCTGGATCCAAAGGAGCATTAGTCAGCCTTCAGGCGGGGTAACCGTGTTAGTCTGCACCAGCAAAATGAAACAGTCCAGCAAACAAAAATAAAGTGAGACCAAATTATGCACAGATATGAATTCCTTAAAGCAGAGGCCCAGTTTATGCGCTTGGCAGAATCGAGGGGTGAAGTGTTTTCTGGACTCTACCGTTTGTATGCTTTCATGTTTAAATGTTTCCTTGTGGGGATGGGACACTCACTGCATACTGAAAGATCAGGTGGAAACCTAGGGTGAACCCTTCTTGGCATGTGAGTTTTCCACATGTAAGGTGTGGGTGTGTTTCCCTTGAGGAGCATTCAGTGTGACACCGCACCCACATCCCTGCTGCCAAGCTAAACTGATACAGTCCCAAAAATCTTTATCATTTCAATGGTTAGGAAAAAATTGGTTTCAAAAACTTCCTGTTTGGAGTTTTGATTTTGCTGTTATGCTTGGGTTCTGTCATTGACGTATGAATATTACTATATCCCTCTGGTAACACTGGGAAATAATCCCAAAGCAAAAAATAAAATTAAAATCTATTTTTCAACCTCACTGAATTCTGTCTAATTGCATTCTACACAGGATGCCAACAAGAAGCCTTAGGTCTCCCCTTTTAACTTCTAGCCTGACAAAGCTCTGGGAATCTCAAAAACTTGTGTTATTTGGGCTGGTCTTTTAAAAAGGGTTATTCCATAGGGTTTTTAAAAAAATGGTTGTGGATCAACACAGTAAAAACTTTGGGATAGTGCTATAACACTATCCTTAGGGAACCCAGAGAACTGAAGTTTTGTATGTTCTTGGTTGAGAGAATCCTTGAAAATTATGGTCCCGGGGAAGGGTAAGCATTGAAGCCATGCTTGTTAAACAAGCTGAAGTTTGCAGTTAGAGGTCCAGAAAAAAGAGGAGTGTGTGGCTTCCTCTGTCCTAGCACTGGATTTTAGCTGCTTACTACACTGAGTCCAGCTATAAACAATGAAAAACAAAATGAGATGGCTAGATTAGATGAAGATGCTACAGCTGTGTCAGAGTGCCATCTTCAGATCTAGAGGTGACATTTTGGCAAGGTGGGTGGCACAGTATTTCAGATAAGATGTAGCTTCCTTCTTGAACGGAAATAAATTCCTTTGCCCTTTAAAAAGAAAGCACTACTTATTTGTATAAATCAAGGATATCTCGTCAGAAATCAGCAGAGTTGCTCCATAGTGCTAGGGCAGAGATTACACTGCAGTTTTACCCACTGTTTAAATAACATTGTGTGAACCAAGGCAAAATTTATTTATTTACATTATTTATAGTCTGCCCTTCTCACTGAAACTTATGACAGATTCCACAATGTAAATCAATAGGATGATACATATAATAAGAAATATTTCTAGGAATTGCAGAAATTTTGAAATGGAGCTGTCGTCTGAACAAAGCATTGGTATGAAGCATGACATGTTAACATCAGTAGAAACACAGAGCATTTTCCTGGACTGATGTGTTATGATGTAGCCCTATATGTTAGGGTTGCCTGCTCTGTGTTAGTAAATTCCTGGAGATTTTAGGGAGGGAAGGTACTTCAGCAGCTTATAATTCCATACAGTACATTGTGCAAAGCAACCATTTTCTCAAGTGAAAATGATCTCTGTCGTTTGGAGACCGACTGTAATTCTGGGAGATTTCCAGCCACCACCTTGTGCATTATACAAAAGCCTTTCTGAACAATGACGTTTTACACAGTTTGTGAAATGTCAGAAATGTGTGAGGCTTCTTGATGGCCTCAGGCAGGCCATTCCATATAATGGGTGCTACTACAGAAAAGGCATTTGTATGGGCAGCTGTTGACCTTGCGCATCTGTAGGGGCGGCCCCTGCAGAAGGCCTTGCTCAGACAAATGATGTCGTGACAGGGTATGTGAGGACTTGTACATATATTGAGTCGCAAAATTCCCATCTTTTGCAGACTACGAGTTCAGTTTAAAAAGGAATTCCATGTAATAATAATGTATTTTAGCTTATGTTATCTATCATGGTTGATTTGTACACTACAGTCTTGGAGGGGAAGTAAAATGAAGTGAACTAACCACCAAAGGACGGCTAAGATGGTTAATTCACAAGCTTTCTATGGAAACGAGTTTCGATTGGCTTTTGGTCGCCTTTGAGAAAGGGAAGCTGATTGGCCATCTTGAGAATTTTAGGGCGGGCGAGAACTCCAGCCTCGCGACGACTGGTTGTTAGGGAGACCGATGACGCTAAGCCGACGCGTCTCGACTTCTTGCCTAAGGCGTGCAAGTGTGTGCGCTGCGCCTGTGCCGCAGACTTAGTTCTATTGGAGAATGTTAAAGAAGCTGCCAGAGGGAGAGAAGGGATAGCGGCAGGTCTTGCATTTGAGGCCGGAAGATGAATAAAGCGCGCTTGCCGGAGTTGAAGAAGTCAGTCCCTGGCGGGCGGCGGACGCTAGTCGGGTTGGGGACCGGTCCGGGGACCATGGCGGCTGCGAGTGCCTTTGACGGGAGCGAGGCTGGTGGGAACAGGGCGGAGAGGCGGCTGCGTGGGAATGGTGTGCCCAGTAGTACTGCCTTCCCTTGCAGGAAGTAACGACAGCGAGCCTGTGACTTGACCTCCCCCCTTTTTTTATATAGGAGGAAAACAAGAGTAGCTGTTCTTTCCCTTTTGGTGCCTGGAGAGTTCGTGTCAGGAAAGTGGGTTTTTCAGAACTTCTAAAACTGTTGCTGCAGCATTGTATGATAAGGAAATTCAGCTCTGGCATCCCAGCCCTGCACTGAACAATTACGGGCAGTTGGTTAACAGGGTAGGAGGACCACCATTTCTACTGAAGGGCATTTAATTTTTCTAAAGGTGAGCAAAGGAAAACCCTGGGATGCTGCACTTGTGGACAGGGTCATGTTTGCGAGTAACGCATTACTGTACTGTTAACGACTTAGACCAATTAAGCAGCACTTGTTCTCGACAATAATGAATGCCTGATGGTCTTGCATACACTCTAGACTTTGTTTCCTTATGATGGAATGGGGTAAAGATGCATTTGGTTGTGAATGCAAAAGGAAAAAAATATGTATGTCCATTGCATATTTATTTGCTTTTGGGACATGACTTGAAAATAAAAATCACTGCAGATTTTGGCTTAATAGTTTGCTGTGATCTCTGATGCAATAAAGCTACTTAGTTAACACTGCTAATTTTATAATTATTTCCTTAAGCCCCGTTGTAGCACTTTAGCACTCAATACAGTTATCGAGAAACTGACTTTGACTGTTCTTTACACTGAAGTCAAATGGTGGCCAACATGTCCAAGGGATATTAAGAGGGTTTGATCTAGTTAGGCATCTCGCAATAAATGAATGTGTGGAAATGGCACCAGGAGGACAGCAGAACAACATTGGCATGTGCTAATTGGAGATTAGTTGAAATTTTAAGAAAATGGTTTGCACTATATATTCAGCTAAACTGATGTGAATCTAATCTCTGTAATTATTTATTTTAATTTTGTTTACTTTATAGTCCACCTTTCTTGCTGAGACTTAAGGTGAATCACAGGATATAAATGGTGTATTTAGACAGTATAAAACAACCAGTGAACCATGTAATAGGACTTGGATTACAAAATTATTATTTTAAGGCAATTTCTAGTTAAGTCCCTAATGTTATAAAGGCTAAAAGGGAATTGTTAGGACAGAACTTCCTGCTTTTTTCTGCTGGTTCAGGCAGAAGTAGAATATATATTCCCTGGATTCATCTTGTGACCATACTGGTATACCATTACACCACAAATGATTCTAAAAGTTTCTGTGTTCACACATGTCTTCTGACCACAAAAATTCTGTAGAAATCCATCTTTTTCAGCAGAGTTTCTCATAAGCTACTTAAAGGAGACATAAGAACATAAGAGAAGCCAATGTTGGATCAGGCCAATGGCCTATCTAGTCCAACATTCTGTCACACAGTGGCCAAAAATACCAGGTGCCATCAGGAGGTCCACCAGTGGGGCCAGGACACTAAAGGCCCTTCCACTGTCCCCCCCCCCCCAAGAACCAAGAATACAGTGCATCACTTGCCCCAGACTGAGAGTTCCTATCTATACCTTGTGGCTAATAGCCACTGATGGATCTCTGCTCCATATGCTTATCTAAGTCCCTCTTGAAGCTGTCCATGCTTGTAGCCACCCACCACCTCCTGTGGCAGTGAATTCCATGTGTTAATTACTCTTTGGGTGAAGAAGTACTTCCTTTTATCTGTTCTAACCCAACTGCTCAGCAATTTCATTGAGTTCCCACGAGTTCTTGTATTGTGAGAAAGAGAGAAAAGTACTTCTTTCTCTACCTGCTCTATCCCATGCATAATCTTATAAACCTCGATCATGTCACCCCTCAGCCGTCGTTTCTCCAAGCCATTTGGAGAGACACTGCCATTTGATGCTATATGGAGAACCAAAAACACTCTGCTTGCTAATCTTTTCCCCATTTTAGATCTACCTGTAGAAGTATTTTACATAAGTGTCTGAATGTCTTGTGCAGTTTGGTTCCCGTTTTTTCCCCCATGTGGATTGTTCTTGACTTGTTTTTCCTGCTTTAATACCTTAACTATGTATGAAGCAAGAATGCAAGGACAGCTAAATCTAAAGAAGCTTGCTAACAGTTTTTGTTTGAAGCCTTGTAAAATGAATTGGTGGCCTTTTACTGCCTTACTATCCTGCAGCAGCTGAAATCTTTAAAACTGTATGTAACTAAGTACTGAATTGTGATGACTGATGATGGGGTTTTTAGCAGTCTAAGAGACTGAGGCTTTTGTGGGATATGTAAAACATCATAAGTGATTCCTGTGCTTTGATTTGCAGGTAATTCGAGGAAACAGCATCATTATGTTGGAAGCCTTGCAATGAATTAACAGTGTAGCCTCTAAATGGCATTTAAAACATTTTCTTGTGAGTTCTACAGGAAACATCTATTCCTTGTAAGATTTTTAAGTCCAGTTGTTAAAATGAACTAACTATTGATTTTGAATGTGTTTCCACAGTTGACCTTTTTCTGTGCAGAGACCGCAATATAGCTTTAATTATTTCCCCCCCATGGTGCTTTGACATCAGACATTCTGGATTGGAAGATGTTTCTTTCAGCTGCTAAAGGATGCATTTCAGAGTTGCACCCATGTTACCATGTCGCATAAACAGTTCTTATAGCACCTTATTGAGTAACTTGACTTCGCTGGATACAGGAATTATGCTAGTAGGTAATAGAAAAACCTCTGGCAGTAAGGACTACAAACTAATGCTAATTATCCCTCAAAGACTATACTATAATACAGACACAACTCCTATACTGTATGCTTTCACTGTCAGAGGAAAAAATACTACCAGAACTCAGTCATGGCATTACCCACTTTAATAGGAAAAGATTGGTACTTATTACAGTGCTGAGCTTATTACAATACTGTTTTGCCCAAGATATAAGTAGTGAACAGAGTAAATGACAACCTTGTGTCAAAATTCACCGAACCAGATGAATGGCTATTTGGACTAGTGTTAGTTGCTCCTTGTGGCAACTGGTTGTTAGCACTCCACCATAAGTAGCAATCCATAGTAAACAAATGTGCTGTATCTAATAGTAGGCTATACATGCATTCTTCAATTGCTGAACAGGGACTATAGTTGTATGTTAGAGATCAAACAGTCTAACCTTGTAAAGCAGTAATATTGTTTCTGCTAAACCAGAGATGTTGAACTCATTTGTTATGAGGGCCAGATCTGACATATATGTCAATTTGGCAGTTTGGGTCACGTGTACCATAAAATGGAATGCCAGGTACTGGAGATATATACTTTATAAAGGACACAGACAAACCCAATTAACAATATGTATTTACCCAAAATTGATTCCTGGCACTGAAATCAACTGATTTACTAGGGAACCAACCCACAAATGGCTCAATAAATGTATTTAATCATTGAAGCAGTAGTTAAAAATAACTCTCAAGTATACTGTTATGTAGATTAACACGGAAATGATCTCCTACTCTTGGGTTTTTAGTTAGTGTGGGTATCTTTTCTTTATCCCTAGTTGTAGTCCCCCTTCCTATATTTTCTGTTGTAGTTATGTAGTCTATTAAAAAACCAATAAAATTACCCTCTTGGGGGTTTCAAAAAAATGTATTTAATCATATGCGACTACATTTTTTCCAAGGGACACCATAAAAGAGGGCGGATGTCTTTCATTTCCATACAAGTTAGTTACTTTTTGTATATATGGCACTTTTAGGAGACAAGTCATCTTCCTTGCAAGTAAATAAGGCAGTTCTTCAGCACACCGCCCCCTGTGCCCAGCCTTAGCAGCCAAGCATGGCTACAATCCATCTCTTGATCTTTATTTTGTCTTCTATCCTATCTCTAGGGATGTCAAGGTGGCACGGCTCTTTCCTCCACCACCCCATCCCCACAACCACCAACTCTGTGAGGTAGGCTAGGCTGAGTGACTGGCCGTGGGTGATCCAGATGGCAGAGTCCTGGCTCAGGAGGGGGGGTGTCTGAATCCTAGATCTCCCCGCCCCCAGTTCCCATCCCTCTTGCGTTTCCCTCTGAAGCAGTAGGGCTGAGTGGAAGGCCTGATGGAGAGGCTGTTTCTGAAACCTCCAGGTGGTGCTTTTTGTCCTCCTGTGACCCCTGTTCCCTCACAGGCTCCTCGGCTTGACCAGAATGTATGCTCACCAGGAATATCACCCTTGACTGACCCATTCAAAATAAACAAATCTAATCTGCTAGCTAATTGTGCTAAGTGGAACCCTTTCCAATTTGATTTAGCATCCTTGGATTGTCTGAGGGGGCACAAGAAATGCTGACTTATTGCTTAAGTACAACAACTCATCAGAGGGATTAAAATTGCCAGCTACTAAAACAAGAGCATCAGGGAACTTCAGTAGGAGACTAGTTATGTACTTTTCAAGATTGCTCCAGATTTCCTGTAGCCTAAGCTTATTACCTTGAGGGGCTATGTATACATTAATAACTAAAAGGCAAAAATCTGTTGAATTGTACAGCTATGGCCTGTGTGTATTGGGCATTTGGCCCTAATTCTACTACCGTGGGAACTTACTGTTGGTTTTGGCTTTTCTCCCACATCTGATGGCTCTCAAGAATTAGGGTAAAAACCCAAGCTAACATGCATGGCACATGGAACAATTGCCTTACATTTCTCTTATTAGATAACGTCCAGTCTATTAGTACCTCTCATAAACATTATTTTAAGCATGTTTTCAATAGATGCCACACTATAAGACACACTTTACCAAATACTATTCCTGCACACCTTATCCCCCCATGCAATTTAGCAGAGACTGTACCAGAGGAGAGCACAATGGCTTTCACCTTGAAGGCTATTGGAGAACTTACTTACAGTAGACCATGATCTGGCTTGGAGTGGTTAGACTTACAAGCTATAGGCTGTGCTAAGGTTTAAAACAGGTGCTTAATTTCACTTATTCATGTAGCCCAATTAAATGAGATTAAAGTTAAGCAACTATGACACAGTGAGGCATAATTATATTTAGTGTTCTCTAATAGGCTTATGAAGCCTTAGGTCCTTAGGCAGAACAATGGTGGTAGGCAGCACTTTGGTTACATTCTAGTATGACAGACTTCTGTGTTCAGAAAAAATATTCCTGAAGGTCTGACCTCTTTGCACAGGCAAAAATACACAGTAGGTTGTGTTTCTCAGTTACCAAGTGTTCTTAAAACTGGACTGTTTTAAGAATACTTGGTAACTAAGGAACACCACTTACTGTATATTTTTACCTATCAAAGAATATCCTCCAGGAATATCCTTTCTGAGTGGTTATTTTTCCCCAGGGAACGGGAATGTAGAGCCTCAAAGATAAGTTTCAGTGTAATGCCACCACCAGTCTTAAGACAGTTTTCCCCAACAATGAGGATTCCAACTCAGAGCTCTGTTTTGAGTCTTTCATGCAAATCTTCCTGATCAATCATGTCCATCTTTTCATACCAGTGGTGGTAAGCCAGAAGAGCAGCATTTTTAGCTGAAATTGCACTCATTTCCATGGCGCTTGCAGCCCATTCTATGCTGTTGAGGTAGTACATTCTACTGTGAAGGATGATAGGTGGGCATTTCTCCGGGGGGCTGTAGTGTGGGTAGGCTAGCCATGTTTTTACTGTAGTGGTATCGTAGGAAAGGAAAAGAAAGTTCATTTGCTCTGTGGTGAGGGGTTGGGGTGAGAAAATTTTCCAAACTCGAGGGCCCAGTAAGACATCTTTTCTGTTCCTAACTGGATACACCGTGACCATGGAATTTATAAACAGCTTGGGATTCTTGATGGTGATGATGTGATTTAAATGGAAGTAGGAAGGGTCCTGGTAGCCAAAGAAAGAGGCATTGATGTGACCATGGACAAATGTTGCTACAGTCTCTTGATAGGGCTTGGAGAATTCAGGAATGGGTGGTTTGAAGTTGAGGAATGTTATGTTGGCAATCTTACGGTTCAAGGGGGTTGCAATCAGAACGATGTTGTATGCATCACTCGCTAATCCTGATGTAGAATTGTAGGTCACTTCATACAACTTCACAGTACCACCTTTAAAAATAAACAAGAAGCTATTTCTTTGGTATTGTTACAAGTTTGGCTGTCTGACAATCCTGTGAAGGAGGTTAAGTTGGGGGAGAGAGATTTGCCTAAAGTCACCAGGAAGCTTCATGGTAGAACAACTGGGATGTATCCTTGGTAAGACTGTACAAACTCCTCTCTGCAGATCTTCCTGTTGAAAGTAATGTCTGTTTTCCTCCACTGTCCTCTGATTGCACATAAGTAAGTCAAGTATTAGACATGTGAAGTCTTCAGTGCCCAGAAAACAAAACCCCAATAGTGCTGCCCTTGGAATTTTTCACTAAGAGAAGTGGGGCAAGAGTGTGTGTATTTTCAGAATTTAGAGTGTCTTTACTGCACAAAGTCCTTAGCACTGTGTGTCTAAATTATACAGATAGACCAATACCATATTCTATGTGTACACATAAAGGATGGGGAGGGAGAGCATTTTCAGTAGCTGCCCTGAAATTAGTAAATTCCCACCCAGTAAACTTACAGAAGTAATTGATGATTTACCACATAGTTAATTAAGTTGCTCATTTTAATTGCAGGCTAGATTCAAGCTGCTGATTCCAACCAATTTTTGCTATGCCAATTAATGCCAGAATTTGCCTATAGTGGCAACTGCAAAAGGATGCCACCAATATGTTGAATTTTGCATTCCTAAGTAATAAATCCTTTAAGAAATGATCTTACAGATGACTTTCCAACAATTTATAAGGCTGGAGTCAAAACCATTCCCCCAAATGGAGGGTTCTGCTGCACAAAGGGTGTTGTGTGACTGTTGTGGATTCCCATGTTGTTCCCCAGCCCTACAGTGTGACCATTGGAGTGCGTAGGGAGCTGATGCTGGAGGAAGGTGGTGGGAAAGCTCTATTCTAGAAGTAGAATTCTGCTAACAGTTCTACAGATGCTGCCTGCAATCCTACGTAAAATATTTTTAGCAAAAGATAATCTTGGTTTCAGTTTTGTATGACACCCAGTGGTTATCAGAATACATCTTTATACTCTTGACAACATTTTGTGGAGGTATATGTCAGATTCTGAGCCATCCCAACACCCTGGCTGGGGGGGGGGCACGCACCTGGCAGAGGAAGGATCAAGGTTTCTTGTCTCTGATAGCGGCCTCAGATATGGGGGCGTCACGGGAGTTCCTTCACTCCTGTTGAACACCTTTCCCCCTTCCTCAGTCCCGGTTTGGAGGTTTGTGCGTTTCTCTCTCTCTTTCCACTCCCTTGCACACGCACCCCCTCCACGGCACCGGGGACTGCAATTTATCCTCCCCGGCTGCGTTACGGGCAATCTGCCTTTATTTCTTGCCCGTTCGTGCCTCCCGCGTCCCCAAGTCGTTCCTCTAGCCAATGCCAATTCAACATTCCTTTGGGTATTGGTAGTCCCTATTGGAAGGTCCCCCTCCCGGGTGGCCCCTTCATTGGCCCTGGAAGGAAGGTAGGCTTCTCGGAGGGGTCCCCCTCCTCGGGGCCTCCGAGTCTGTCCCCGTGCTCTGACGCACTCCCATCATTGCCCTTGTGGGCCAAACCTACGGCGCGCGACCCATCAGGCCCCTCTGGTGTCCCTTGTATAGGCAGAGAGGGGCTGGGGGTCCCCCCTTCTGACAGTATATTACTTTGTAGAAGCAGAATTGGTTTTGGCACAAAAGAAAAACTATATGTTTCTACTCTCTCTCTCTGAATGTGGTAGAAGCTCTTTCTGTGCATGCAGCCAGATCTCATCCACCCATAAGATACTGTTGGATTAGGTTGTTTAAGTCAGACCTACAACGTAAGTAGAATTTGTATGAGATGAAAGCTGGCAGCTGGCTCCACCTATTATAATAGCTAGGTCTTGGGTTCTTTGTGTGTCATGCATCTGAAAATCCTCTGCATTTTGTTCCTAAGATGCCAAGCACTGTCATGGTAAAAAGTGTCTGCAGAATTTCCAGCTCCTGTTCAGCCAGCTTACTTATCTCTGGCTGCTTTTCTATGCTTACATTCCCCTCCCTCAGGGCTTGGGTATCTCAGTGAATGTTTTAGTTTTATAAGCTGTTGCTGAAGAGGGGAGAATACTGAGACAACCTCACCTGAACGCCCATTTTGCCTTTTCTTCTCCTCTATAGAAATAACTGTGCCAGGAATCAGCTGTGCTTTAGAAGCATACAGAAGGCCAGTGCATACCCGTTTGTTGCCACCTCCTACTGACCAAAGTCCATTATCAGCACCTGCTAAAGATAAGGTACCTGCCAGAGAGAAGGAAAAAATCAGAAGGGAAATTTGTCTCCACATAAACATAATTATACTGTTAATTAAAAAATGAGGGTCTTGTAAAAGGACTTGTTAAATGTGCAGGCCAAGACGTTGCTGTGAAGTGATCTCGACTTGGAGGAAAACAAACAGGGGAAAGGATGACTTGGTTAGGGATGTTGACACTGTCCTACTTGTGAATGTATGGCAAAAACTGAAACAGCGAATGGGAATAAGTGAATGTGTGTTTCTAATGTAGGAGTGTCAAATATAAGATGCTGGATCTTTACCAGCCACTTAGAGGTCCTTGGTATGCAACTTGCATCACTTTCTGAGTCATGGACCCACAAATGGCAGGCAGGTGTGCTTACATACCAGAGGAAGACTCTGGTGAAATTCAGCTCACCCTGAGCCTTTAGGTAAGATCAAAGTGTCAGTGTTCCTTATAGTGTGGTGGTGGTAAACAGGCTGATATCAGAAAGTGACCTTTGGCAGTGGGGTGGTTTCAAAGCTACTTGGCTCCTTGCAGAAAAGGACTTTGGGGAAAAGACCTGGGGTGAGGGAGGGATAAGCAGAAAGAAGGAAACAATGTTAAACTGCTAGTGGAGGATTTGACTATCTATTGTATTCAGTTTTTGTACCTGCTGTCTAAATCTCTCCCCAGTGCTCTCTCTGGAAAAGACAGCAGCACTTCACCTGGGGAGACCCTCCTAGCCAGACACTGGAAGAAAGGCAGGTACCTGGTGAAAAAAAACTGGAACCCCCCCCCCCCCCCAAAGGGGGGTACTCAGAGGTCTGCATTGGAGGGGAATGTCCCCTTCCATCCATGGCAATCTACAACCAGCCGAGTAACTGTTGGCAGAGTAGTCAAGACACTGAACTAATTAAACGTCTTAGGTGATGTGTGGCCAAGTCACATCCTTTCAGCGTAGCCTACCTCACAAAGTTGTGAAGATAAAAAGGACAAGAGAATGACATAAGCTGCTTTGGTCCCCACTGTAGAAAAAAGCCAGGAGGGCGGGGTAAAAATCTAATAAAACATAATTTAATAAATAAAAATAATAATATAAATGAATAAATCCATAAATATAACTGAAGATGGGAGGCAGATAGAAGGTAGGCTGGTGAATGGGTAAGAAGGAGAGAATGAGGCAGGGAAAAGAAAGTATATGGGGGTTACCAGGAGGAGGGAAAAGGGGAATGATGTGGGGAGCAGTATACAGGGGTCTCCCCAAACAAGTACTTCAGGGTTCTCCACTATGTGAGTGGGCCTGGCCCAGCAGCTGACACTGCCCAAGAGGGCCATAATTTCCCCAGGAAGAGGCTGTTGGGTGGGAGGAGCTGAAGATAGGGGGGCAGTTAAATGTAGGTTGGCTGTTAGGCAAGAAGGAGAGAAGGAGGCAGGAAAATGGGAGAGACTACAGGGGCTTTCAGGAAAGAGAAAGAAGAAATGGTGGGGAAGGTGAAAATGAGATGTATCCTGTAAGTCCAAATCTAAATTTTTCAAAGAAAAAAGCACCACTTACCTACAAAGCCATTGATATTGGTACCTTGGCCAAAGTCTTCTCTCATGACTCCAGTTACTATCTCATTGATGAACTTCTGAGAAAAGCCAGACTTTTGCATGGATTCATCAATGGTCTGATTCAGCATCTGAAGGAGTTCATCCCCTCCAAGGGCATGAAGCAAACCTTCGCTGCTGCTGAAGGCATAGTCATGAGCCTGATACTGATAGATCCTGTATCCAAAAAGGGGAAGGAACCATTAAGAAAAGGGCAATGAAGACTGTACAATATTTGGCAAAAGTTAGGAGGAAAGGGGAAGTCAGGGATTTGTACTTCAAATTGTATAATATAAGAGCTTTCTACTATTGCATTAGCTGTTCTTATTTTGCGTCCATTAACAAAGCGATTCACAAATAAGTCATCTTCGCTAAATGCTAAAGTTCTTAATACTATAAGTTGATTGCAGCTTCTTTAAAAGCATGAGAGTGGCAATGGAAGAGCACATTCCCAGAAGTTTAACCCCATTCTTCCTTTGAATGCTTGTAAATGTTACACATTGATGGGATAGTCTTTTCTTTCTTGTTCATAAGAAGAAAAGAGATTTTAGCACTTACAATGCTGATACTCGACTGAGATGCAGCTAGTAGAAGGTTAAAGGCAAGCATGTTTTAACATACTCAGGGAGACAATGGAGTCTGAATGCAGACTGTACATATTTATTCTTCATTAGCTATGAACCTAATTTTATGTGAGACCTAGAATTCACAGCATAGTTTAATCAATGTATTTGCCCAACAAGATATTCAAATTGCTGTAAGTGCCATGCGAACTGGTTCTTCTGTTTGCTCCCAAAGCTCTAGATTATGAGCTATACCATACTTTCATAGTTGGGGTTTTTTTGCCTAGAGCCAACAAAGTAGTAGTTCTTTAGGATTTTATTCTGCGGTACTCTGAAAAATCTTACTCTTTGCATCCGTTAACCTGCTGCCCACTTCCCACAAGGTAATTAAGTCTTTCTAGTTTAGGACTAGATTTTGCTTTGTGCATGATTACCTCATAAACTTGTCCAGAATTTCCTCCACCCACATGCTCATTCGCAAGGGATTCAGTCCATAGTGCCACAGGAGCTTGACAAAATTCCAGATGTACCAGCCACTCTCCTCAAAGACTAGCTCATCTCCATTGTAAATGCCCATGAGGCCACCTTCCCTTTTAGGAGCAGGAAGTCCTGCAAATGTGGGAATGTGAAACTGTAAGCTAGCAAGGTCTATTAGAAGTATAAAGAACAATCTCTGATTGGATGATTTATTCTTTTATTTACTTCATTTATACCCCTCTTTTCTCCCCAAGGGGGACCCAAAGCAGCTTATGTCATTCTCCTCTCCTTGATTTTATTCTCACAACAAGCCTGTGAGGTAGTTTAGGCTGAGAGTATGTGAATGGCCCAAGGTCACCCAGCAAACTTCCATGGGACAGTGGGGACTCAAAACCTGGGTCTCCCGGATCCTAGTCCGACACTTTAACCATTACACCACAGTAACTGTACGATGCATTTTACTGCTCTTCACTAGAGATGGAACTGAAATATACAAAAATCACACATTCTTAATGTACCTGGGTTGGATCCAGATTATATTTACCATCAGCAGACCTGAACTTTTCTGCCTTTCCTTCTTTCCGTAGCCCACAAGTACTACTCCTGGGTGATAAGAACATAAGAAGAGCCCTGCTGGATCAGACCAGTGTTCCTTCTAATCTGCTGTCATGTCTCACTGTCATGCCAGTGATACTAACTTGCAGGATCATCTCAGATAAATGTCTGTAAGTTTAGCCAGAATCAGTACGTTCTAAGATCTAGGTAAATGGGAAACAGCTGGTTAAGGCAGCAATCCCTAATTAGACTAGGACGGGGATTCCGTTGATAGATTTATCCTCCACCAATCTATCTAATCCCCTTTTAAAGCTGTTTATTCCTGTGGCTATCACTACATCCTCTGGCAGTGAATTCTGCATTTTAATTACTCTCTGTATAAAGTCCTGGCCTTTAACTTTTGCCCATCCTGAATCTACTGCACATCAATTTTGTTGGTGCCCTTGACTTCTAGTATTTTGGGAGAGGGAGAAAAATTCCTATTTGACAACTCTCTCCACCCCATGTATAATTTTATAAACCTCTATCGTGCTGCCCCCTTTAGTCGTCCCTTTTCTAAACTGAAAAGTTCCAGACTCTTCAGCCTTTCCTCATAGGGAAGGAGCTCTTGATTGCCCTCCTCTATACTTTTTCCAGCTCTGTAATGCCCTTTTTGAGATAGGGTGACCAGAACTGTGCACAGTATTCCAAATGTGGCCACACCATAGATGGATGTATACCTTACAATATTGGTCATTTTATTCTCAATGCCTTTTCTAATAATCCCTATCATAGAGTTTGCCTTTTTCACTGTTGCAGCACACTGGGTTGACACTTTCATTGACACTACAACGCCAAGATCTTTTTCTCAGACTCAGCAAGTTCAGACCCCATTAGCCTCCACCTGCAGCCAGCTGGGTGATCTTGGGTCAGTCACAGTTCTCTCAGAGCTGTTCTCTCACGAGCAGTTCTCTCAGAGCTCTCTCAGCCCCACCTATCTCACAGGATATCTGTTGTGGAGAGAGGAAGGAAAGGAGATTGTAAGACGCTCGGAGACTACAAGTGAAGGGCGGGGTATAAATTCAACTCTTCTACTTGAAGCTGGGATTTTTTTTGTTCCAATATATGCATCACCTAGCAACACTGAACTTAATTTGACACACTGTTGCCTATTCAACCAGTTTGTGGAGGTCCTCTTGGAGCTCTTCAGTCAGCCTTGGTTTTTACCATCCTGAATAATTTCATGTCATCTGCAAACTTGGCCACTACACTACTCACCACCAGTTTCAGATCACTGATGAATAACTTAAGTAGTACCGGCCCCAATACCGATCCTTGTGGAACCCCACTGCTTACTTCCTTCGATAGTGAGAACTGTCCGTGGATTCCTACTCCTTGCTTCCTGTCATTTAGCCAGTTTTTATCCATAAGAGAACCCATCCTCTTATCCCATGACTGCCAAGTTGATGCATGAGTCTTTGGCGAGGTATCTTGTCAAAAGCCTTTTGAAAGTCCAGGTATATAGTGTCTACTGGGTCACTGTTATCTACATGCTTGTTCACTTTCTCAAAGAATCCCAAAAGGTTGATGAAGCAGAATTCCCTTTGCAGAAGCCATGCTGATTTTCTCTCAGCAACCTTTGTCCCTCCATGTGCCTAATAATTTTATCTTTGATTACATTTTCTACTAATTTGTCTGGGACAGACGTTAGGCTGATTGGCCTGTAATTTCCTGGTTCTTCTCTGGATCCATTGTTAAAAATTGGTGTAAAATGTGTACTCTCTAGTCATCTGGTACAGTGTCTGTAGGTTACATATACGGGTTAGTAGATCAATGATCTCACATCTGATGAACTCCTTAAGAACTCTCAGGCACATGCCATCAGGACCTGGAGACTTATCAGTTTATAATTTCTCCAGTAAGTCTAGAATTTCAATTTGGCTCAGTTCTTCAGACACCTTTCCTGAAAATGGGGGCTGTGGCATGGGTACGTACCCCACACTTTCCCCAGTGAACACAGAAGCCGAAAAGTCATTGAGCTTCTCTGCCATCTCCCCATCTTCCTTTAGCAATCCCTTTATTCTGAAGGCCCCACTGCTTCTCTGGCTAGTTTCCTGCTCTGGATATATTTTTAAAAAACGTTTATTGTTTGTCTTGATGCTTTTAGCAACCCACTCCTCAAAATCTATTTTTGCATACCTAATTACTGACTTGCATTTCTTTTGCCAGAGCCTGTAGTCCTACCAATTCATTGGGACAGACCTTCCACTTTTTAAAAGCCTCTTAACTTTTTATAGCTTCAAAGTGTTGGCTCTGACCGTATAGGTCTTAAATGGTTTAGGAGCAGGCTACCCAAAGGACTTCTTTCCTCCCATACTGTCCAGATTGCCACTGGGACCACTGTATTCACATGCAGAGAGACTATACATCCTCTGTATTTTAGTATATTTCTTTTTCAGAATAGTATATTAAAATACTGAATGTAATACAAGGAATATTGGAATGTTTGGCTGACAAAAAACTGCACCCACCTCAAAAAAGAAAAAAAAATCCTGTTAAGTGACCTCCATGCCTGAGAGGAATGAATGGAGAGTCTGTGTCTTATTTTGACATATTTATTGCTTTACAACCGTTGACCATATAACCTTAGCTTGTTATTTAGTTTTGTCTTTGCCTATCTTAAAACATGTTCATCGTGTTACATGTTAATTTGCTGTTCAGCCCATCTATAAGTTTGAACCTTACCTTCCATTCCAATGTATTTGAAAAAGTGTGTGCACACACAAAAGCACATGCCTTGAATAAAACTTTGTTGGTCTTAAAGGTGCCACTGGACTGTAAATTTGCTTTAAACTATGTTAGCCACTTTTGGCAGATCCTGAAGTCTTGTAAATAAAGGGAGGTGTGAAAAAGCTGAAGAGAAGTTTGAGATTCAACATAGTGACAACGCTCAAAAGTTAGTAGGAACTTCTGCATTGGTCTGAATTTCTGTGTTGGTCTGAGTTTCTGCCAAAAGAACTGTCTTTCGAAACTAGTTTCAGATGTGATTGCTCAAGAATGCCCTTCTGTTGTTCTGATGTACCACAACCTCCCCATCTAACCTGAGAACTTACAAAAGTTAGATACACATTATCTATGTGCTTGCTGTAATTTATCTAGGGTGGCTGTTATCACTGTAGGCAGTATGATTAAAGTAACAACAGCAAAAAAGAACCAAGCCCCAGGCTCCTGCCTCCAAAAGTTTACAGTCTTGTTGATAGTGGGAATGTTGACAATGGGAAGACAGCAAAAAATAAATTGGTAGAACAAGAACAGGAAGTGTATATATGTGAGCACATACTGTGGAAATATAACATTTCAGAGCAGGGGTGTTGAACTCGTTTTTTATGAGAGCCTGATCTAAAGACCTTGTTGGGCCAAGTCATGTGTGTCATAAAATGTAATGCCAGGTAGCAGAAAGATAAACTTTATAAAGGACACAAACACAATTTTTTAAAATTTAAAACATGCTTAAAACATTAGCACTCTTGCAATGTTTTGTTTATTTAACAATCTCAGATAACTGACACCTAGGGGTGTTGAACTCATTTTTTATGAGAGCCTGATCTAAATAAGACCTTGTTGGGCCAAGTCATGTGTGTCATAAAATGTAATGCCAGGTAGCAGAGAGATAAACTTTATAAAGGACACAAACACAATTTTTTTTTAAATTTAAAACATGCTTAAAACATTAGCACTCTTGCAATGTTTTGTTTATTTAACAATCTCAGATAACTGACACCTCTTGCTCTGAATTATTGCATCAAAATCTGGAGAAAATGTGCTGTGGCAATCTTGAATATGCTGTTCAGTTGTGTATCTGTAAGTTGCAAACCTACTTTTGATTTATTGACATTTATTACAGAAATCTCATGGTCAATGCTTTGAGCCTAAGACCCAAGGGAAGTCATGAAATGACTGGGCATTGCAAGCTTTTGTATATAAGTTGCTTTGTGTGCTGGTCAAGAATATGTGAAGGCACCATGACATAGACTGTGGGCTACTTGTTTGTCTACAAAACTATAGTCTTCCCCAGATAAATAACTACAATTCCTATAAAGCAGTGCAAGAATAGAGAGACAGCAATGTATAGTGGTCAGTATCAGCATACTATCTGGGAAGTCTACGTTCAAAATCCTCAGTCTACAAAGGAAATGTGCTGGGTGAACTTGGTCAGGACGTGCACTCTCAGCTTAATCCACCTCACTGGCTTGTTGTTATTCCTCATCTAAACAGTTCACACTGCTTTCCTACTAAGAACGACTGGATTATGAGGGCATGAATACAGTGAGAAAGAGGAGGGGAACCGAGTTGCAGCCAGGAGAGCCCTGGGATAACGAGCCCAACAAAACACACACACTCTCTCTGTGTGTGTGTAGAAAGGGAAAATGCTCATACCTTGAATATAACTTTGGTCTGAAAGGTGCTTTTTATTTCTCCCATGTGATTGAAGGACCTGGGCAAAGTAAGCTCTCACTCTTTCACTCCCCCCCCCAGGAGGGAAGAGAGGCTTGGCTCAGTAGCTCTGCTATGCAATTGAGAGAGCCTGGCAAGCCAAGATCTTGCTCTTTTCCTCCTTCTCCAAGGGGGGGGGGAAGCCTTAGCCAATGGAGGGAATGCCCGTTAGCTCTTGTGCGATTGAGAGAGCCTGGCAAAGCAAACTTACGCAGATGGAAACATGTGAGTGGGAGAAGGAAGCAGATGAGAGCCAGTTGCTCGCGGCCCAGATACAAGCCCAGTGGGGGCCAGATCCGGCTCGCAGACTGCATGTTTGATACCCCTGCTTTAGAGGGACTAATCACAGGATGAAACAAAACCATTGAAATTAAAACCAGAATGTAAACTATCCTAGCTTGCTTCGTAGGCAAAACGTCATACCTAATTCTTCGACAAAATGCTTCATGTGCAGGTTAAGAGGGTGGATGGCAGATCCTCCTGCTTCATAGTCTTCTCCTTCCAGGTTGACAGTAGCCAGACGGCCACCCACAGCCCCTCTTTCAAATACATCAATCAGGACATCTTTTCCAAACTTCTGGCGCAGAAAGTAGGCTGCAGATGTGCCCCCAATGCCAGCTCCAATTACAGCTGAAAGAGTTGTGCATACATTTTATTTCCACAAAACTGAGAGGGATACCAGCCAGCTCTTCCCTTATGCTTATGAGATCAAGATAAGGAAGGATGCTCTCATACAGGTTTAAGTATGTGGATCATCATAATTGATTTTTCTCTCTGTCTCCGTTGAGACTTTCAAAAGCATCTGAAGCCTTTGCTCCAGAGTATTGTTGGAAATTTTCAGTTAAGCTACTTTGGCAAATGTTTAATTCCATGAACCATTTGGTTAGGGACTCAACACAAATTTTGTGACAAAAAGCTGAAGAATCTTAGCACATTACCTTTGCTGAAAGAAGATTAAGGTGGGAGAGGACAAGTACTGTTAGTTTTCAAAAACTCAAAAAATATTGATAACAGGGAGAACACTTCTTTCATGTTAACCCATTAAGCCACGGTGGAATAACAATAAAAGCAAGAGGAAACAGACACCCCGAAAACCAATTGTCAGTGTATATTGACACCAACAACTTTAAATAAAGAACTAAAACAGAATACTTAACAGTTAATTAGTCTTGAAACTAACATGCAAACATTGCAGAATACACTCTTTAACAATGTACATTATATAATGCAATACACGAGTTTAGCAAGTTTCCAGTGTACTTTTCATGTGCTTGAGAGAAAATGTCCGTATAATGAATCCCATAGATAACCTGAAAGTTGCAACAAAAAAGGAGAAAGTTGGCTTATGGGGTTCCAGATATACCAAAAGTTGGCTTACGGGTTGTATATCCGGAACCCCGTAAGCCCCCAGGGCTTTGCGGAAGAACAGAAATTTGAAACAGGTTGTATATCCAGAACCCTGCAAGCCAACTGTTGCTTTGCAACCCTTCAGAAATCTGTGGGATTCGTTTAGTGAATATTCCTTCTCGAGCACAAGACTCACACACCAAGCTAACTTCCACTTTTTTGTTGCAACTTTCGGGTTATCTATGGGATTCATCATGGACATTGTCTCTCAACTGCATGACACGCATACTGGAGACTTGCTAAACTTATGTATTGCATTATGTAGTGTACATTGTTAAAGAGTGTATTCTGCAACGTTTGCACGTTAGTTTCAAGGGCAATTAACTGTTGAGTGTTCTGTTTTAGTTCTTTACTTGAAGTCCTTGGTGTCAATATACATCAACAATTGGTTTTTGGGGAGGGGGGTTTCCTCTTGTTTTCACATGCAGATTTGTGTCAACATACACACACAGCCCAATTCTATGCATGGTCACTTAGATATGAATCCCACCAAGTTGAATGGGATTACAATTTGAGAAAGAGATGGCAGACTTTCTGTCCTGGATTTGGTAGTTGTCATAGCCTCAGTCTCAGAAGAAGAAAATAATGATTTTGGAGATTTTATTTTGTATTTGTCTGAACTGATGGCATGTCAAAATGATGCATTCCAGATGAAAAAGACAGGAAATGCTGCAAAAACTTCACAGATTTGCCCCAGTCATTGCTTGGTGGCACAGAAGAGCTACACCTAGTAATATTCTCCCTTCTCTGTATCTCTCTGTGACAAAGACATTCTGCCAATTAAGAGTAGATCAAGGCCGGTTACAGACCCTAAGTAAACTTCCAAAAGCAAATGAAACCAGGCAATTAAATCATTAGGTAAAATGGGGGAAATTGGGGCTGCAATTCTGTGAACATGTATCTGCCGATGTAATTCTGACCTCAGCAAGTCTTACTTCCAGGTTAACATGGGTAGGATCAGTCTTGTACATCTCCTGTTTGCACAGCTCCATAATACTGTGGAAACTTTTTTTTGCAAGTTTCCTGAAAGACTTGCTTAGGTGTCAGAATTTTTGAGAACAAAATATGTCAATTTTACATATAGCCCCACATTTCCCCTTATCTTCTGCAGTTGTTAAAAGCAGAAACATAAATCATGTGGGGCTATATGTAAAATTGACATATTTTGTTCTCAAAAATTCTGGCACCTAGGCAAGTCTTTGCCTTGGCCCAGAATGAAGAGTATTTCCCCTCCACTTTGTATTATTTAAATAAAAAGGACCAGTATCACCGGCAAAGTGATTCTGAGCTTGTGCAGCTTGCCGGAAAGCAACAAGGCAGCTTTTGGGGGGGTCGCTATGAAGACAAGCATGTGCAGAGCCTGCTCCTCTTAAAAGCCACCCACCTGAAGCCATGGCACACGCTAGCAGCCAGATTTAAAAGAGACTCTGTGGCTACGTACAAACCCACTCGGGCCAGACAAATTCTGACCGGTGCCAACAACCCGAGTGGAGCGGGGAATTGCTCCGCAGTGACCTTTCCCCGCCAGTCCCGCGTTTGGTTCCCCCCTACCTATTCGCTTAGGCGGGTAGCGCAGCTCCTGGGACCCCGAGGAAAGCCCCCTGCACATGGAGGCCAGGAGCAGGAGGAGGCGAGCGGATCCCGTCCAAGGCACCCACATGGCGGCGGCGGCGGCCGCGGATGAGGAGAGCGAGACCGACCGGCCGACCGACGCGCGGAAGCAAAGGACAGGCCTGTGGCTCAGTAGTCCGCCCCGCCCCGCCGCCTTAGTCGTCAGGGGGCGGGCAGCAGCAGGGGCTGTGTCTTAAGGGAGTTAAGGCCCGGGCCTGAGGCGGGGGTCTCCGGGATTGCCTGGAGGGGGAAGGCCGTCCAGCGAAAATCTACCCGTCGGACGTGGCCGCAGGCGACATCTCTTCCCTCCACGTTGCCGGTCCTCAGCCGGCGGTTGCTGAGCGCTGGAGATCCCGGCGATTAGGTGCTGTAGACTAATGGACCGTGGAATTGATCCAGACCTTGATATGAACGAGAGAACAGCGTTGATGGGTCCAAAGGAGCATTGGTCAGCCTTCATGCGGGGTAACCGTGTTAGTCTGCACCAGCAAAATGAAACAGTTCAAATTTATTCCACCATAAACTTCCCTGAGCTATAAATCAACGCGTTCATCTGGCAGATACATTAGTGTCCTAAACTACAAAGAACAATTTTGTTCTGCAAAGGCCCTTGGTAAGAACATGAGAACTGCCTTTCTGAATTTCAAAGAGAGGCGTTTTACGCTTCAGACTGGATAACAATGTTGGACTCTACCAACAAAATTAAATAAGAATTTAGTGACACTTTAAAGAGGAACAATTATTCCAGCATAAGATTTATTGTGTCAGATAGCTGAAGTGTACATTTACGTGGCAGATAGATATATGATTAAAATTACAAACATCAGATGTGATGGAAGAGCAGCTAGTACTTTCATGCAGCTGAATAATGAACTTTCAGTGCACTTTAGCCATCGTTTGCCCTTTCTCACGGTAAGATCCAGTTGCAAAGAGCACTGAAAGTGTGTGAAAGCGTAAGAGGCCCAGGAAACTATTTATTTTTCTTTTTTTTGATTAAACTGTTTTTATTACTTTTAACATGTATATCACAATATAGAGCAGGTTAACAACATTCAAACAAAACTAATATACCTGAGAAAAATAAGATACCTATATAACAAATACAGTGCATGGCTACAACGTAAATGAAACCGTGAGTGTGTTACATGGATTATAATGAGTTCAGAAATGTAATAAGTTTTTAAAGTACGGATTCCTTGGAATGATTTCGCCTTCAGCAAGATACTGAACTACAGGGAACCAGATTGAAACTCTATTTCTCATGGCATAGTTGTGAACCATTTCATCGCAGGTCCACTCAGAATGGCCAGTATCCACTGTCTACTGTTGTTAAACTGGCTGATGAAACTTTTAAGACATGCGAAACAGGATGCTGGACTACATAGACCACTTGTTTGATCCAGGCAGGCTTTTCCAGCTTTAGATGATCCCTGCAAATAGAGAACTGGCCCAGGTAAGAGAAAGGTTCCCCCATCCCCCTGCACTGGTTTTCTATATTTGTGTGTGTTTTAGATATAGGGAGGCATTCCAAAATGTGATTCTTCCATCAGCAATTTAAAGTGCAAACTTTCCACCCCCTTGTTCTCTTGTACATGTGACCCAGGACTTAGGTGGGTGTTCCATTTGCAGCTGTTGTCTGTTGGTTTCCTTTGGACCTCAACAGCAGGTCAAGGAAAAGAGGAGCATCCCCTGTTTTGCTATTCAGCACAGCTGTTGTCAGGGCTGACAGCCATTGAGAAATCCAAGTATCCACAAAGTGTGTGTAAATTATGGTTGTGCTCCTACCCCTATAAGCAGGCTACCTGCGCAAGGTTGCCGCCTATTCAGCCTATTAATTGCTACCAAATGTGGCTGACCTTAATAAAGGAATCTGCACAGGGCACCAGCAATTTGTTAAAGATCCCCTTTCTAATCACCTGTGCAAATGTCTAAATTAGTATAGTTTAGTTGAAACATTCAAGAGGCTGGAATTCTCTGCCTGAGAAGAAGATCGCACTAGACTCAATGGGTCATTACTAGTGTCCATAGAAACCCGTTGTTACTCTCCTGGGATCCCCAACGAAGTCAACGGGACTTGCTTATTTATTTACTTAATAGTCCATCTTTTTCACGGAGACTCAAGGCAGATTACATGGTGTAAAATAATGTAATGAAATAGCATGACAGATCTGTTAAGAAATGCAATAAGACTGGTATGACAAAAATTAGACACAGGATCAAAAGTATCAGGCATGACATGTGAAGAGGAAAATGATAGCATTATGAAGTATTACACTGACACGTATTTATAGATGATTTAGAACCATGTGTCCCTGCAAAACTACAGCTCTGATGGAGAGAGAAGTATGCAATAGCAAGTAATTCCTTGAATTTTGAAACCATACCGCTTATCTTTCTCTGTTAGGGTCTCTTTTTCAAGCTATTTGCCAGTCGCGCCGCTGGTGTAGTGGTATCATGCAAGATTCCCATTCTTGCGACCCGGGTTCGATTCCCGGGCGGCGCAACAAATCCTTTTAAGCCCTAAAATAACTTTCCAGAGTCAACTAAAATACCAGCATTTCCCACCGTAACGCCTAACTATCAGGCGTGAAACAAACTGCGTTTTTTAAAACCAAGAAGAACGTAAAAGTGTTTGAAAGGAACGATACAGCAAGCATGTGCGAAGCCAAGTCTCGCGAGATCTACCCGGTATCAGGAGAAAGAGAAACCGCATAGAGGCCGGCGGAGGACTGGATTGAGCGCCAACGCAGACGGGTGTCAGACCCGCCGCGCATGCGCAGTCAGCCCCTTCCTTCGGCCGGCTCGGGCCTCTCTGCCCGCCAGCGCCATCTTGAGAGGACAAGCGGGGACAGGGGGCCTTGTTGTCCGCCGCGGATCCCCGAGGGTCGGGATCTCCTTCGCGCGCGGACTCGACCCACGGGTCGGCGCCGTGACTGGACCTGGACGGGCGAGGCTGAGGAGGACGAGCCGCCGCCATGGAGGACGAAATGCCCAAGACCCTGTGAGTCTCGGAGGCTGTGAGGCCTCCTGGGCCGGAGGGGGAGGGGTTGAGCCACGTTGACCCCCCGCCTCTCCCCAGCCATGAATCGTTGCTTGGCTTCCCTCAGAAAGCCGCGGTTGTCTTTTCTCTTCCGAGGTTTTCTCATAAAACCAGGAAAGGGGAAGGCGTGGAAAGGAGGCCTTGCCTGGCACACATGGAACGGAGTGAGGCGGTAGAGTGGGCTGTACCTCTTCAGTTCAGGCTGCGGGAGCACGTTCCTGTCTGCTTCGTTTTGCAAAAAGAGAGCTCGTGGAACAGGGAGCGGTACGGGCAAGAGCCTTCCTCCCTGAGGCACTAGGTTTTTGCATGCAGGGAGCTCTTTATATGGAGGAACCTTTGCCGATGGCCTTCCTCAGCTATAGTTCCAAGGGGTACAGTCTATTCTACCTCCTCGTTTTGTTGCTTCGGCCAAATCTCTTTTCTTATCCGCCTCTTCCGTGCTGCGGAGACTAGGGAGAACAAAGTTCCGGGGGTAGGACGAGCGAGTAGCTTGTTTTTGAATGATTCAGTCTAAGTAGTATGAGGGGGTGGAAGGTGTGTCCCTCATGTCTGCTACCTTCTTTGGTACTGTTAGTACTTCGGCCCTTCGGTGTATTCAAACATTTGACTTTTATTATCTTATCGCGGCCTATTGAAGTTAACTAGAGTGACTATCAATGTAATAAACAAACCATACATGGATGTTAAAGCTGGCCTTATTCAGAGGGTTATTGTAAGGTTTATTAGAGGTTAGGATTTAGCACTCTTTGAGCACTTAAGCAAACTCTTGAGTATGTCTTAAGTGACTTTTATCTTCATGTACCAAGGTCTGGGGGAGATTAGAGGAGGAATTAGGGAAGGTTCTTTTCTGTCACTTTTTTAAAATAAAAGGATGTGGCTGTGGTAAAGGCTGTTATGTCACCTTTTTGTTTGCAAACTTCTTTGGCTAGAGGAAGCCACAGAAATGGAGGAGGACCTGTTACATGCATCTGTGTTTTTGCTTCCCAAAGGCATTTGAGGCAACATTATTAAGTCCTTTTTTCCCTCCAAAAGTAGTTGGGGGAGGAGAGATCTCTTTAAAGTATTAGGCACTGTGAGAATATTGTGTATTCTTTTCTCATAATTTATTGTGGGGGAAGGGCTTTCTGAATGGATTATATAGTTCAAGAGTTATTGGTCCTACTTGAGCAAGGTTTGCTTCTCTTTCTTCTGAGGTCCTGTTTTAGTAACTTTTCTTACCTATTTGTTCAGATCAATGTCCATTCATTTTATTAGATTTAGCCGTGTTGTTCTGTTGCTTCAAAATTTTTGTCCAGTGGCACCTTTAACACCAACAGTTTTGCACACACAAGCTTATATCTTGAATAAAATTCTGTTGATCTTAAAGGTGCCACTGGACTGAAAACTTAGTTCTCATTCATTTTATTGGCATGGGAAGTTATACAGGCATTACAAAAGAATCCATGAGGCATTGGTGAGTTGGGATGGGTATCATATCACTTTGGACAGATATCTACATGATATTTGAGGTCTGACTATATCCTATTTCTTCTTGAATCCATGTTGGGCTCACCCCCATAATATTTTGATGAATGGGGTAATATGTTTGATAACGTGAAGATTGTCATGTTTAGGATATTGACACAGAAAATACCTCTGTATTATCAAGTCCCCTCATGCTGTGGTGATCACATACAAAAGGTTAAACAGATAACTTTGATCAGCTTAACTGTCTATGTTTGCTCAGTTTGCTTATGCTCATAATTGGCTTTCTGGAGATTTTCATTTAAGTATGTTGTATTCATAAAACTACACAAAATTGACCCTACAGTTGAAAAACATTGCAAGGATTTGAATTGGTAATGGTTGCAAACAGAAATCGTTATTTTTAGCACTTAACTGTGTGCAGAGATCTTATGCCTTGTTTATTCACCTAAAACATAATTGCCTTGGGCCAGCTACCTTATATTATTGGGTTGATCTGTTGATGCTACTTTTAAACAGTTGTTAGTGCCAGTGAAGTGGAAGATAGAAATAAATTAAGGTGTCAGTTCATTTGTTCAAATAACTAAAAGTCATATGGGCACAATCCAGCTAAAGTAGTGTGTAACTTATTATGATTGCACTGTTAAACAGATGCCCAGTTCTGCAATTTAAATCAAAGTGCTGAACTTTGGCTGATCATGGTCACTCTGTGGTACAGTATTACAGGAGTAATTACACGTAGTTCAGCACATTCTTTACAAAATTAACATGTGTTTCACATTAATGCAGGAGTAATTAAACATTAGTGTGAGTTTGGAATAAATAGTCTATTAATAGCACATTTTAACTTTTCATAGCAGTTATTAAAAATTTGTGCATAGTGCAGTTTTCTATACATTGAAGCAAATAGTATATTAGTTCCATAAAATATTGTTTTAAATACAACAGGGCATAGGTATGAATGTGAAATTACATAACTGTCCACAAGAATCAAATGCATATGGACATGAGATATCTTGATTTTATTTCTGGGAATATCTAGTGAAGTATAATGTATTAAAATATACTCTAAAATATTGATTAGGATAAGTGGTATCTAAAAACCTTGCTGTGGAGAAAACTAGTAGTATGTAAAGGCAGATTTATTTTGTTATTAATTTTAGCTTATTTTGCAACAGTGCACTTTCAGTTGTACATACTCTGAAAGTTATTGTATTGGTTTGAAGCTTGAGCTGTGTGCTTCCTATGGTTTTTAAATTATTATATTATTTTGAGAGATTGAGCTAGAAGAGAATGAAAAAGCAAGACTGACTCCAAGAAAAAGATCTTGAGGGGAGACATTTTCCTGGAATATAATTTCAGGACACTACCTATATATGAGGGAGCACATTTTCATGTTTTGATGTAATAATTTTTTTTAATTTGTTGAGGCTAAGCTGTATATATAACCTGGACTGAAAAGTAAGTTTGACTGAGATTGATGAGGTCACTGAGACTATACAGGGTCATTTCTTAAGAAGCATGGACTAGGACCTGAGCCTCATTCAGTCCTGGTATTCCACACATTGAACTGTATTGCACATAGAGGAATGCAGTAGGTGTCGGAAAGTGCACATTGTGTTGACGGTTTAGCTTTTGCTCTTAAAAATGAGAATGTTTACCTGTTGCTAGTGCAATTATTTTGTGCAGTGAAATGTTCTTCCTTTGTGCAGATTTCTGGTGCTACATGGTCCAGTAGTGAATTAGGCTATAGGAACCCATAAAGACACTCTGATTGTAAGTAGGGTTGCCAACCACCTGGAAAAAAAATTCTATCCCCTAAGGGGCTTAATGAGATGTTATTTAGTGGTTGGTGGTATGTACCTTCATGTAATTAAAAGTTTGTTTATTTATGTTATTTATAGTCCGCCTTTCTCACAAGGACTCAAGGCAGATTATGCATTGTGAGTCTATACATTGTGAGTCAGCACAGTCAACAAAGCGGGACATTCAATAACCAGTGCGTTAGGATTTTAGAAGTCTGGAACCAACTAGAATGAGTTGAAGCATAGCATGAGTATTAAGTTAACACGACACATTAAGCCATATAAAAATTACGTAATAGGATCCTACTTAAAATAAGCTATACACAACTGTATAGACCACAGTCCCTAATAATTTATCCAAGTAAGCTTGAGAACCATTGTGTACAATGCAACCCTATTAGCTGCGCAGAAATAATTCAGTTTTGCAATGTTTGCAGAAGGCCAGGAGAATGGGAGCTTTCCTGACCTCTTCATGCAGGCCATTCCATAAGGTGGGAGCCAGGAAGGAGACAGCACATGTACAGGCAGGTGTTGATTTTGCCTATTTGCAGGTTGGCACCCACAGAAGCCCCTGCTGACATAAGTATAGTTGTGGTAGAGCATAAAGGGAGAGGCTGTCCTGCAAGTAAGAGGGGCCAAGGCCATGAAGGGCTTTGTATGTATAGCCAGTACCCAAAAACTGAGCAGAATAATAAATGGGCAGCCAATGAAATGTCTGCAGAATAGGAGTCATATACATGTTCCATCTAGCTCCTGCAGCATTCTGGTCTTGTTGCATTTTCCAAATTGATTTTGACAGGAGACCAATGTATAGTGCTTTACAGTAGTCTAGATTTCATGTTACTGTGGCATGCATCCAAGTTGGCTATATTATAGTAAGAGGCCACCTTATGGGCTAGGCTGAGTTGGTAGAAAGCATTTTTTTGCAGTTCTGTGTGTTAGGGCTCTGTTAAAGGGTCAATATATTTTTTTCTCCAGGTGGTTAGCAACCCTAATAGTAATGCAGTTAACATGTGTATTAAAATACACTTAATCTTTGTGGCTGTATACATACTTCTGAAGTAAAACTGATGATATTAACCAATGTTTGTTTCTTTGTGTTGCCTTTGAAGCTACACTAGGACAAGTTTGGCCTTAAAAACTGAGCCATCCCCCACTGGGTTGGGGGGGGGGTTGGATTCTCATTTATATATGAGTTGTATAAGCTGATGTATGTTTGGGGGTTCCTTTAGTTAAGTGGCAAGCATGTACACAAAGAATACTAGGTGGATAGAAATAGGGATGAATATGTTTAATATAGTGCTTTTCAAGTGGTATACAAGTGGAGAACTGGGAATTGTTCTATCAGTCTTCAGAACTGGCAAGTAAAACACAACAATATTCTCTTTAATTCAGTTCAGCGTCTGATTTGTATTTGTATTGAGAAATGGTTGTGTAGGTAAGATCCAAATTTGTAGAGCTCCGAGTACAGCCTCCAGCTTGTCTCTGCAGCCCAAGATAAAATTGTTGTATTAGTTTTTGAGAGTGTATCTTTCTAATAACTTAGAGGGGGAAAAGATGAAGGGGGGAAACAGGGAATGGGGTAAATACATAGGAAAAGTAATTGCTGATAGTCGCAAGGTTAACGTATTGTGTTCTAGGAGTACAGTATGGGGGAATATAAATGGAGAAAAGGATGCTAATGGAAGCTTTCAAGATCTTTAGGATTCAGTTTGCTAATATGTATACCAGAAGCTTCTGTTGGTGCCTTTTCAGTATTCATACCTGCAAATAGCCTCTAGTTTTAACAACATTGGGGAAATATATGTAGACAAAATGTTCACTTGCTAAGTAGACACCCCCCCCCACCCCGATCAAGCCTTGGTCTTTGACATAACTTTTCCTCATCATCTTACTCTTTTTGAGCATCCTGTTCTTGAAAAGTAGCTGTTACGTTTTATTTTAGTAAACTTCTAGAAGGTGCAGTCACTTCCCTCATCTTTAATTGAAGAATGCTTATTGTAGCAGTTGATATTACAACTTTTTTGAATGATCTTTATGTTACTTTTGCAGGTATGTGGGGAATCTATCAAGAGATGTTACTGAAGCTCTGATTCTCCAGCTTTTCAGCCAGATTGGACCATGCAAAAACTGCAAAATGATAATGGATGTAAGTTGCAATAGTTACTGACATCTTAGTTTCAGTGAATGAGATTATTTTTCCTTACCCTTGTTGTGGTTTGCAAAACAGTCAAACAATATCAACAGCAATAAAGTAGACTAAAAATCCAAAAGCATAAAAATATAACAATAAAAAAATTAAAACTGGTTTGTACTGAGTAATAGAGGAGAATAAAACAGTATGATACTCTTGGTACATAAATAGTAGCTGTAGGCATAAACCCAGTTGGTGGGTACTGGTATAGCTAATAAGTACCTGCGCTCTCCGGCAGTGAACAAAAATGCCACAAAAAATTCCCCAAAGAGCTGAGAGTGTAGCAACAGGGGTCGGATATATAAATCAAAATAATAATAAATCTAAAAAAATATATAAACTGTACTAGAGACCACAATAACACTCCAGGAACCACAACACTCCAGGCAACAATCATGAAGATTCTGCAACCACATTCCTTGCACATAGAAAGCATCCCTGTCATCTCTCAAATAGCTTGCATGTAAGATAGAGGATAGACGGATTGGATCCCATTAAGTGAGAAGCTGTGACTAAGGCAAAGCTCAGGTTTTTGCCAGCAACAAAATGGAAGAGACAGAACTAGAATTCTCACAGCTTCACATATGTAGAGTATATTAACTGGTGACAGGAAAAAAGGCATTTTGTGAGTAATTTGATAACCTCCTTTGGCCCTGGTGTTGGCAGGAAAGACTACAGAGAAAGAAAGGCATAATGTTGTAGAACAATAGAGGAGCAACATGACTTGGATCCCCAGTTCAGAGACTGGTCTGCAAGGCAGCGGAGACACAGCTGAGATTTTACACCATTAGACCCAGTTACTGGGGATGAGCTGCTGATGTTAACTTGTTGCCACGGATGCCAGGGATTTTGTTTAGCAGCTTCCCATGTAGCCAACCCTCTGCTTTATTAATGAGGTTATTTACCACATGCTGCTGCTTTGTTCTCTGTCTCCCATCCCCATTCTGCAGCCTGTAGGGCAGGGGTCCCCAGTATGGAGCCCGTGGGCACTATGGTGCCCACCAACACCTTTTCTTGCACCAGTCAAGTGTTTCTAGGAAGTGAGTGGGGCCAGGTAGAGCTTTTGTCCAGCAAGGCTTCTGATTGACTATTGGAAATTTGATTGGCTGTGCAGATTTTTTTTAATGTTACTTGGCGGCAGCTGCCACTACAGCACAAGAATTTGCACTGTGTTACTGAAGTTAAGCTGTGGCAATAATTTTGTGGCTGGCTCCTACCCCTGCGGCGGCCATTTGTTTGCTGAGCCCACCATGTTGTGTCAGAATTCCAAATGTGCCCGCAGGCTTAGAACGGTTGGGGATCCCTTTTGTAGGGTCTATCACACACCTTCAGTAATCAGGATTATTGTGAACCTGGAGGAGTCTGCTTCTTCCCTTTGCTGTTGCACTACAATGGAGACACTGGAGGACCCTTTCAGTGCCTCCCAGAATATCTCACATGAGGAAGACTACTGAAATTAATCAAAAGCAGGTGGTGGTCATAGATCCCTGTCTACTAAGGCCTGTTAAAACACATCTTTGGAATAGTGCTAACATTCATTGAACAATATCAGGAATGAAAGCAAGTTGGATTAATAGGGTTGCCAAGTGTCTTGGTGTAGCAAGGCTTTGTGTGTTTCAGAGTTGCACTGTATGCCAATGATAGGTACAGCTGTGCCGATTAAATACCTATTAGGCATCTTGCAGTGATGCAGGAACCAGGCTAGAACAAGAGACTTTGCAACAACACAAAACAACTAGATGCACATCAATCACTGCAGGTGTTGGTCATGTTGTAGCTTCAGTACATGGTTGGCACTATGGATGTGGTACAGCCTTGCATTTACCCCTGTTAAAGGGCTGCCAAGAAAAGAGTTGAAAGGGCAGTAATTAGTACTGTTCAGCAAAACAATGTGGGGACTCGCAATGTTCCCTCAAAGCTGTGGAGTCTTGTGAGCAAAAATTCTACTTTGTGAGCTACTGGCATTAAAGTTGTGAGCGAGGGATTTGGCTGCTGCATAAATTAATTTGCTGTGGAGCCATCCTTCCTGAGCTAAGACAAAAATGTGTGACCTGGAGGCTTAAAAACTGTGAGCTAGCTCACACTAACTCAGCTTAGAGGGAACACTGCACTCACGTACTCTGCACATGCTGGTGAGCTACAAATTTCAGTGTGGCAAATATAGATACTCCCCCCAGATTTCTACACATTAGGATTCATCTGTTGGGAAGGAGGATAATGTAGCTGCTGAGCCAATAGTCATGCCATGTAGGAGGCTTGCAGTTTCCAGTATTGGGATCTAGGACTTTTTGGAAATACTCAGGTCTAATAGATCTGAACTGAAAAATACCATTTTTTTTGCACACCCCAGTAGAGAATCATGGGAACTTGCCTGTGTCTTGAAGTAAAGCACCTGTATGGGTTTTGAGCAGAGCAGTGTTAGCACTATTCTGTAGCAATGCTTGTTTTCTTCCTTGGCTGGTTGTGCAAAGTGCACTTTCTAGAATTTGAGTCACCAAAGTCCCCCTATGTGTGTTTAAGTTGTACATGACATGAGGTTAGTGTAGCATAGCCCCATGTCCTATCATCTGAAATTTGTATGTCCTGCCTGGGATTTATATATGCAGTGATACTTAGAGGCTGTTTGAGGACTTGTGTGCCATGTTCCAGAAAAGTGAGCAAGGCTGTTGCCCAGTTTGGGGTTGTGGTTGGCAGGTGATTGCCACCTTGAAACAGCTGTCACCTAAGGGACTAGACAACAGATAAACTGTGAGCTTCTCTGAACTGCCGCTCTCTTATCAGGGATGGACATGAGGCGCCTGTCCTCTCTAACAACACTCCAGCCTTCCCTGCAGGCTCTGTGTTCTCATCAGTGTTCCCTCTAAGCTGAGTTAGTGTGAGCTGGCTCACAGGTTTTTAGTCTCCAGCTCACAGATTTTGGTCTTAGCTCAGGAAGGACGGCTCCAGAGCAAACTAATGCATGCAGTAGTCAAATCGTCTGCTCACAACTTTAATGCCAGTAGCTCACAAAGTAGCCTCTTTGCTCACAAGGCTCTGCAGCTTAGAGGGAACATTGGTTCTCATCCCAATGGCTGCTGGGAGGAGAGCAATCTGGGTACAGCTAAGAGAGAGTAAAATCACCACCATGACAGGTACCCCAGAAAAGAGCAAGCTGGCCATAGTGAGGTATCCTAAGTTGTGCTGTGGCTATGTGTATGGGGAGGATGGGTGTTGGAGTAAGGTGTAAACCTTTTCCCTTTCAATGAGTTTGAAGCCAGCATTTTCACCTGAGGGAGCTTATGGGAGCCCTGCTTCTCCTCTGTATTTCCCCTTTACCACCAATTTCTGGTTCTTATAATGGTGCAGCAGAGCTGAATTTGCACTTGATCGTGACAGAACAGGCAGTTCTTCAGTGTATTTTTATATTACATTGGTGTGGTGTGGGCTTAGTTGCTATCCTAAGCAGTTCAGACTGTCTTTAGAATTGTGCTGTAAAAAAACAGGAAAATTTAGCCTGGATCCAAGCCCCATTCATTAAGAATGTTCCAACTTACTGGAGTGGAGCTTTGTTTTCTGCTATTCCCAAATGCATGCAGCCAGTAAGTGTGCCTAGAATCATGACCTTAAAGTCAAACTAGCTTGTCTGACCATATCAGAAAACCAAAGCTAAGAGGGATCTTGAGAGTGCACAGGAGTGGTCTCTGACAGCTTTTCTTCCTGTGTTAAACAGACGGCTGGAAATGATCCATACTGTTTTGTGGAGTTCTATGAGCATCGTCACGCAGCTGCAGCTTTAGCTGCTATGAATGGACGGAAGATAATGGGTAAGGTAAGCTTTCAGGTTTAAAGGGTGAATGGAGAAGAAGTATGGATTTGGGTATGTGGATGAAACCGTTTTACAAAAAAAAAGAAAATAAAGGTAAACCTTTCTATTTCGTTTTTGTCAGTAGCAGCATAATGAGCTTTAAAAAACATTTTAAGAAAGCTATGTAATGACTTCACAGAACAAAAGAGCAAGTTTCTAATTATTCTGGATTTGCAAACAAAATAGTTCAGCAAAGTAATAAAGCATGACCTGACAGGTTATTTAAGGATTGCCTAATATTTAGCATCTTTAGCGCAGGGGGCATTGCTATGCATATTGGTGTGAGGTTTTTTTTCCACAAATGTGTGCACTTTCTGTTTGCTAGGTTTGGGGGGTATTTTAAAATGCTTGAATATAATTTTAGTAAATATTATTTGTAGGAAGTCAAAGTGAACTGGGCAACAACCCCCAGCAGCCAGAAGAAAGATACCAGCAGTAAGTCCCTTATGATTTAAGCGATTACTGTCTATTGCACAAAAGTGTTTTTAATGTTAAGCAATAAGCAACATGCAAATATTTGCCCTATTGTTTTGATCATTATCCTAAGATATTATTTAATCTGTTTGTGTTAATAAACTTAAGAACAAATCTAATCTTTGTCATCAGGTAGTACCGTTGTCAACACACTGCGTTCACAAGGTAATTGTATCTTCTTAAACATAAAATGAAATCTCTCAGGGGTATTCACTAACCGCCTGAAGCTATTTTGGGTGGGTGTTCTGTTGTGACAAGATTTTTCCCTCCTCTTGCAAATGGATCAGGATATGGACTGTTGCTGACTCCTTAAGCCCTTTGACCCTATTAAGCCATTTTGCTGTCAGAGGGCAAGATGACCAGCTTCCTTCAAGGCTGCTGTCTGTGCTGCACCATGAAATGCCCTTGTGGTGTATCAGTTTGATTACATTCAGAATCCTTTCCCCTTTTTGCTGGTAGGCAACCCAGTGTGTTGTCTGTCCTTAGAACTTGTAGAATGAGGGGGAGGTTTTGACCAGACTCTTGCCAAGATGGAGTTGTAAAGTATCATGTGTGCTCTGAGAAACCAGTTCATGGTGGCAATGATTAGAATGGGCTTTATGTGACTATGAAGGAAGATATGAAACCATTGTATCATCCGTTCTTATGTAAATAGCTCTAACATAAATTGTGAAGGGATTACTGTTTCCGTTCTGTTGCCTTCAGTCTTAGTTCACTTTCTCATGGATTTGACATACTTTGAATTCACATGGATTCACATGGTGTAAAGGCTGGGCAACCAAAACTGTTGGCTTTTCAGAAAACTGTCAAATACTTTAACATCAAACTGTTGCAATGCAAGGTATCTTTTTGACTGTTCTTCACAAAGTACATATACATTGAGCTGTTTATAGCATGTGCTGTCCATGCTGGTTTGTGTAAATCTTACTCTATTTTGCTCACAGGACCAGTAAATATTTTAGCTCAGTTTTTTAAATAAATAAATAAAGCTAAATGGTAGCATGACGATATTATTGAATGTAAGAATTTGATATAATTTGTTGGCTTTGGAAACAGCTCTCAAGGAAATATACTTGCCTGTTAATAATTACAAATATAACTTGGTATGCAAAGACTACAAAAGTTCTAGTTATATATAACTTACTGTACTGGTGCACTATCTTGTCTATCAATGGCTATAAAATAAGAATGCATTTTGTTACCTGATAGAAAATTCTAGTTCTCATGTAGTTTCCAGATATGTGGGAATTGATACAAGATTTAAAAACCATACCCTGTATTTCCGTTGAGTACTCTGCAAACTTGTAATTTTTTTTCTTTTTCTTGGTAAGACCACTTCCATGTCTTTGTTGGAGACCTCAGCCCAGAAATTACAACTGAAGATATAAAGGCAGCTTTTGCACCATTTGGAAGAATATCGTAAGTAATGTCTTATGCTGGATAACGGGGACAATAATGTAGTGTTAAAATGGTAAAAAGTTTCAAGATTCTGGCGGATATATCCTTTAAAGAGTTGTATGTTTTTGTGCTTTCCTGGGAATCATCAAACAGTTCATCTTGCTTAATTAGAAGTGTATATTTAATTTGGTTTTTTATATTTTAAAACATATTTTCATGTCGTATGGTAATTTGTTTTTAAATCTGTGTATTCATTGAATTCACCATTAAATGACTGAGTATTGTAGAATGGATTTTGTAAGGCAACACTAAGATCAAGGTGATTTCTGCCAAGAAAAGGCACTGCAGTCCAATAAAAGCAGCTTTAATATGGATCAGATTTCATTGAAGTTATGCCTGTAAGATTTTGGCTTTTTGTGAAATGGGTGCTCTATTAAATAAAATAAACTAGAAACTGGTCTTTAGTGTAACTTTCAGCATAAATTGTTGTTTGAAGGCATATGAAACTATGGTAGATTGGAAAGCCTGCTATATTTTCCTTACCATGAATTTTTTTTTAACTTTAGGAAAGATTGTTTGCTATTTATAAGAATGATCAGTTAGCCAGAGTAGCACTGTAACTTTTGATTTATGTAGTGAAGCTGTTTGTTGGAAGCATTTCCTGATAAATCTAGTAAAATGGTCCTCTATCAACATTTGAGTTGTTACTACAGCTGGTCCTCTATCAACATTTGAGTTGTTACTACAGCTTGAAAACATTATATGATGGTTACATTTCTAAATGTGTGTGTTTTGGTAACACGAAGGTCTGAAGTAGAAGGAAGATATTTATTTAGTTGTCTGGCTATTTCTTCCAAGTATTTTTGGTGTTTTCAGATGGAATAGTAAAAATCAGTTGTCAACAAATTTTAAGGATGATAATATAAGGAGTAGTTATTACATGTATGTATTAGTTCCCTCAAGACTTTTGTATGGATGGCTAAGGAAGTTGAAGAGAGGATCAGTACCTTTAGCAGAGATTCTCTGTTCTGCCCCCCCCCCCCAAGTGTGGATGTGGCAAACTGATCTTTCCCCCTCCTAAACTACCAAACTACCGTATTTTTCGGACCATAAGACGCACCTGACCTTAAGACGCACCTAGTTTTTAAAGGAGGAAAACAGGGGAAAAAATATTCTAAACCTTCGGTCCATAAGACGCACTCACTTTTCCTCCCACTTTTTTTGGAAGAAAAAGTGAGTCTTATGGTCCAAAAAATACGGTAACCCAGGCTGTCATCCAGCCTCCATTATTGTCTTGGCGGCCAGGGTCAGTTGAAGAAGGGGGATGGTAGTCAGTTTTGTTGGGGTTTTTCCATCCCAAGAAGTTTCTGGCTGGACCTGCCTTTGCTGTGTAGGAGGAAGAGAGAAAGAAGAACTTTTCTGGGGCTTGTTTATGCCCAGCAGCAGCTGTTGAATCCTCCTGCTCCGTGGTTTAGTAGAGCCAGTGTCAACATTCAGGGTTTATGCAGGCTTTTTATATAGGTGGAAGAGGCAATGTTCATGTTTGTGTATTTAATTAAATAGAACATAGCTAAGCAGGCGAACAAACTCTAAACAGGCTAACTAACTCTTAACACATCTACTATTGCTGCATCAAAATAATAATCTAACATTGCCACCACATTTCTACTCTTCTGCTTTATTTTTTATTCATGCTGTCCTTTCTTCCTTTTCTTTCCCCAACTATCCTTTTCTAGCAGTTGTTTCTCTCTTCCCATGGTCCCAGTGTACAGCATTTAGAGTAATGTGTGATAGGAGGATTCTAAGAAGGACGGAGCCAGACTCAGACAAAGAGAGAGATGGCAGGTGAAGGGATTACCAGTTGGGCTCAGTAGAAAACAGTATCAAAAGTAAAGTAAAAGAGTAGATAAGGGTAGCATTATTTTTGTGGTGTAGTAGTATTCTACATACGGTAATTTCCCCCAGACTTTATCTTTTCCATTATATCACATTCCTCTGTGATGCTGAAGTACACTGAACTTGCCTAGGATGTGGTACCATGTTGGTGTTTCATCTCATCCTGGTTGCTGATGTTGCTAGAAGGATCTTTGCCTGAGAGGTCATGGTCAGATGAATACTTTCTGTGGTCCTCTGCATCCTTAAATAGTCAGGATTGGTGTGGCAAAAATCTTTGCGTTACTGTGGACTTTTCTTCCTCCTCCTATGTTCTCACTTCTCTGTGTGTAACACCTTCTAGCTAACCTATCAAAATTCCTTTTTTTTAACCTTTCTGACAGTTAATGTAAGTAGAATATAGCTTCTCCTCAACAGAGGACACACCTGATTATGATGCACTTACTGAGAACTTAGGCATCCAAGGAGCCCCACAGTAATAAGGCATATACAGTGGAGTAAACCCAGTAGAATGTTTGGGGAGGGTCATCTCCTGAAGGGCTTGCCCTTTAATTTCCTTCTAGGTTCTCATTTTTCTTATTTCCATGTCTCTGCTTTGGCTTTCCAGTCTTGTTATTGATGCCACTTGTCCATGTTCAATTTTTATGTGGCAGTAGCTCTATTTATTTCTGTATTTAATATAACGTTAAATAGAACATAACTGAACAGGCTAACACCATTGCCGCTGCTGCTGCTGGTTACTAGCATTGCTAACAATCAAGGAGGGTAAGTAAAGAAGTCCTAGTCAAATACATGCAAAGTGATTCAGGGGCATTTGTGGGTATCATCCTATCTGTAGATGGATAGCTGTCTTGTTCGGGAAATTATATGTAAACTGTTAATTATCTGCAGTGTCATAGTTCCCTGTTCTGTGAAATTCTCCACTAATACCAGAAAGTTGGTGCTGCATGTGGCATCCAGACTTTATCTCAGTTTCATTGGGTTCTTTGAGACACTTGTGCATCAGTTTCCCATACTCATACAGAAGGATTGTAGCATGCCAAATGGCTGCATGCAAGCATCTTCTCCCACTCTCCCTTCCTTTCTGCATCAGAGTGTACTGTCAGCTCTGATAGTGCTGATCCCTTCCTTGGCTAGGAGAGGGAAGCAGACATCCTCACCTAAGTATATGGCCAGAACTTACTGCATCAGTTATCTGTTTGTGGGAGGGGAGAATCTTGAGTGCAGACAACAAGGATAGTACAGGTAAATTGTGGTTCAGTGGTAGGTTTTGCCAAATTCTTTTGGTAAAGGCTTCAGAAGGTACAGCTAGTGGGTAAGATTTCTTGCCTGCAAGTAACTGAAACCTGCTTGTCCAGTTCCTTTACCAAAAGCTATCCATATAGTTTTAGATAGGATTCTGCAAACATGTCCCGTTAGAACTTTTTTCCTCAAGATGTCAAATTCTCAGGTTTTAGTTGTCTGCTTGTATGCAGAAGAGTACAAAGGAGTTTGCAGAATGCACAGAACTTTGATGATGGGCGAGTGTGTGTTGTTATTAGATAGCACACCTGCTTGCTTTAGTCTCATCATGACTTTAATGGCAATTAAAACAGGTGTAGGCAATCCATTCATTTCGATTTCATTTAAACATTTACATGCCACTGATATCACAGGCATACTGGTTTTTTAAAATTTTGCTGTCAAGTTGCAGCCAATTTATGGCAACCCCATATGGTTTTCAAGGCAAGAGATGTTCAGCCTCTGCATAGCAACCTTGCACTCCCTTGGTGGTCTCCCATTTAAGTACTAACCAGGACTGACCCTGCTTAACTTCCGAGATTGGGCTAGCCTGGATTATCCAGGTCAGTGCATATTTAATCTGAAAAAAACTGGAAATCCATTTTGTGCTGGTAAAATATATCTTCTTAAACTGCTAGTATTAGGTGGTATAGGGCAACCCTAAAGTTTCTGTTAAAACAGCCGCAAGAAGGCCAAATGCTGTGCCTCAGTCTTAGTTTTCTACTGAGCATCTACAGTATTATCTGTATTGGTAAAGCGAATCCTGTGTGCACCAAGTACCCAGGCAAGGGAGTGGAGGAGAGATAGCAAGGCCTTACCTTTCGGGAGAATACTGAGGGCTGCACCTCATTGTAAATCCTGGCTTCGGCCTGCGTGGCATGTGCCTGCTGATTGTGGCTGCAGAGGGCAGGGCCTAGTCACTAGCAGGAAGACTGCCCTTGAGGCAGGGACCCCCCCCCCCCAAGTTGCCTCAGAGCTGAACAGAGAATAAGCTTTCCCTTCAGAGCAAATGCTGGGAAGAGGAGAAACATGAAGTTTTTTACAAGGTCACATCTGGGAATATATCGTGTGTCACTGTGATGGTTAGTTGAAGGAACATTTGAATTCTACCAAATCACTATAGTAAAATTCAACAGGTAAAACCCAGTGTTTTTCCACGCCTGAGTGCTTCAGTGTTGAAATATTTTTCAAGCCCTTAATTGTGGAATTAAAGAGAAAACTTTACAAACATAAGTTGTAGGCAACATTTGTTCTATGTTTTTAGATGCTGGTTGTTAAATTTTCAATGAAAATAATAAAAGAACTTCTGAAGTACACATGAAAGTAGTCTAGGGGCTGTTCTTAGAAGTACAATGGATATTGATTAAATAATACCATCCTTGAAAGTACAATGGATATTGATTAAATAATACCATCTTAACATTAATTTGTTTCTTTTAATAACATATTAATTGCCTGTAGCACGAATCATGGTAGTTACAGATTAATATGTAAGGGCATTCACCTGAGGGTGTTTTGCTTTGCATATACATGATTTCTAGGGTTTTAATTTTCCAAGGTGTTTCCCTTCTCACAGAGTATAGAGAACTATCCATATGATCATGAAAATAACTGTTCCCAGGCAAACTGTAACATAGACATAATTCAGACTAATAATTCTAGAGCATATAACTTTAAAAAATAGAGGCTTTTCCATGAGGTAACATCTTAAATGGTGTTGAATTCTAGCTGGATATTTCAGTGGTCTTCAACTTATTTAGCTCAATTTCTAAAATCACTTTCTTAATGTAGAGTTCAATATGCTTCAACTGTTTTGTGCATCTGGCATCAGGAAACCTCTTGGTCTTGATGTATGGATGTCTCTTTAGTTATACTGCATAATTTTAATATTAGGTTTATTCTGTGGTTGCTTCTGTGTGTTGAAAATGCCTGATTCTTGTGGGTTGGGGAGGGAAAACTAGACCTGTGTATTTGAGATGTTCTTGACAGTTCACTCTTGTGCAGAAATTGCCTGAGAAGCAATTGGTTAATAAAAAGAGCTTTTCCACCAGTGGGGTTTAGCTATTGTAGCTGGGTCTTTGTCTTTTTATTAACTCAATCTCAAATAATAGGGCTCTGGTTATTTTGCAGAATGTCTCTGAAGAATGGACAGCATTGCCATGGCTAACTGCAAGCTACAGTTCACAGTGGACAAACGTTGTAGTTTTCTATTTACTTTTATAATTTTTTTTACTTTATATACTTTGTAGTTTTCAATCAGTCCTGTATGATTGTTAATTACGAATGCAGTTTTTTAAAAGATTTAATAGTGTGTAGTTAAAAAAACATGTTAGTGTTTATTTTCTTCCATAATGCAACCATTTCTGAAAATGTCAATTTCTCAAAATTTACAGCTGCCCAAGTCCAAAAAGGGGGTAACGAATTGACCTGAGAAAATTAAAGAATTCAGTTAACAGGCGACGTATGCCTTTTAATTCCTATTTTTTCATTTTTTCTATTTTCTATTTCTAATAAGTAGGTAGTATGTGTTGGCCAATAGTAAGTTTATAAATTGCATGGTTAAAGTGACCCGTTGGCTAATATGCTAGTCAGTTACATGACCTCAGTTATTCCTTGGAATAGCTGCTTTGACCATGCGTAGTGTTTTTAACAGTATGTAAGAGCATTTTGAACTGTGAACCAACGACTGTAAAATATTTGTTTTTAAAAAGCTATTGATTTGCATGTTTACACAATTAAGTTTAATTTTTGCTACCATGTGATAAAACTTTAGTAAAATGGAAAATTGCTTTGAGTATATATTGCTGGTGCATTTAAGAAGTTCACTTTATTAAAGGTGAACCATGACAAATGAGCTGTGTGTGAAAACATTTTTATTCTGATTTTGTTCTGTTGATGCTTAGCCGGTTCTCTCTTTGTTTTTTAGGGATGCACGAGTTGTGAAGGACATGGCAACAGGAAAATCTAAAGGATATGGCTTTGTTTCCTTCTTCAATAAATGGGTGAGTGGCTGCATATTGATATCACCAGCTTTGTGGGTTGGAGAACTTTTACCGGAATTGGCAAGTCTTTATTGCTCATGACATTGGCAGACTTAAATTATGCTTCTAAAATCATAAGGAATTCTACATATGTAGAAAATGAGGCAGGTGATTTATTTATTATTTATTTATTTCCTTTGATTTATATCCTGCCCTTCCCGCCGAGGCGGGCTCCTTAGGCTTGCAATCTAAAAGGCAACAGAGAATAATGGAGGGGACATGTAAAGGAAGTTATTCCATTGGGCAGTGCAGTAGGCTGATATTGATCTTCTCTTGCTGATGTTCATTCTGGGAGGGAGAGAGTGCAACTTCTATGGCACTTGGTTCTCTGTCAAGAACCAGAGTTACTGTCCTTTCACCATGCAACTGACACATGCTCTTCTAGTTTAGAATAATGGTGTTCAGGCATGTATGAATGGAGAACAAACAGCTTGCACATCTGCTCAATAACAATCTTGTTAATGATTTTGCCATTAATTGATCACACAATTACTTAACTAGTTTAAAAAAACCCACAAGTGCAAATAGAAGCATTTGCTGAAGACGTTATTCTTTTACAAATACAGTTTCTACAGTGGGAAACATCCTACACTAAAATTTCCCATTATCAGGAAATCTTTTTGAATGTATCATCATTGCATGTTTAATGAGTGATGCTGCATTTTCATCATTGCATGTTTAATGAGTGATGCTGCATTTTTAAATTTTGTTTGGGATACAAGTACTCTAATTTGCCCCGTTAACAGACCTTGATAAAGGGCTCTGTATGCTTTAAATATTGGCCTATTTTGTGAAGAGGTGTAACCTGTTAGAAACTGCAACACTTTAATAATAGTGTTCAAAATCCACGGAAGTGGCTAACTCCATCTGTACTGAATAGTTCTCCAGTAGACAAAAGTGTAGTTCTGATTTCGTAGCCTTCTAATGGGTTTAATCCCGGAGGATGAGAGGCTTTATATGCAGTGGTAGGCCACTTAATTTCCTCCTGAATAACCGTGTCAGGGCAGAATCATCTTTTTCCACTCTCAGGTGACAAATTCAGATTTAACAGTTGCAGCAACAACTGTTTATCAAAATTCCTGGGTAAATATATTTTTCTTGTTACTGGAGGCAGCTTTTTAATCTGTTTTTACTTGCCAGTTAGCAATTCTGTTTAAATTTGCATACATAAATGCAGTTCTGTTTAAATTTGCAAACAAAACCATAACAATCTAGATCGTATGGTTTAGATCTGTAATACAGTAAAAAGACAATAAAATACCACTTTAAATTAGCATTGTCTGAACTCCTAATACATGTGATTTTTTAAAAACAAACTGTTGCTTCACCACTTCTGAAAGTGTTCTCCTCTGTGGTTAGGATGCCGAAAACGCTATTCAGCAGATGGGTGGACAGTGGCTTGGTGGAAGACAAATAAGGACTAACTGGGCAACGCGCAAACCTCCAGCTCCAAAGAATACATATGAGTGTAAGTTTGCAATTTATTTTTGGCCGGTAGTCATAACATATGGTGTGTTTCCTCTTTGGCCTATAGAAGGCAAGCTTTTCCACACTAACAGTGCAGAGTAGGGACTAGTATCTCCAAATGATGCTCTGTTTTTAGAGAAAGAAGGTGAACTTTGTGAAAGGAATTTGATTTTAAGAGTATTTCTTAAAAGGCTTAGATTGCAAGCCATTTCAGGGATACTTAGAAATACCTAGAAGTACATGGCCTAGGACAGGGCTATAAATCAAAGCAGTAATATAATACAAGAGATAGAGAGTGTGTGATATTTCCAGAAGTGTTTGCTTTCTTGTTTTGGACAACTTAGACAGCTAGAGTTGTTTTGGACAACTTAGATGGCTAGAGTTTGGTGAGGGACTTGTGACAAAGCTACAAGAGCATCTTGTAGGATGTTTATGAAATCCTGTGAGGTGGCAGTGAAGGCCACTAAGAAGGAATACTATGCGGCCTCCATTGCATCTGCTAGCCCGGCACAATTATTTAAGGTAATTAGGTCTTTAACCTCTCTCACAGAGAGATCCCAGAATGTTAGAAATTCGGCAATTAGCTGTGAGGTGTTTGCAAACTTTTCTATGAATAAAGTCTTATCGCTCTGCTAGGAACTGCCCGCCAACATTGATACAATATGGGGAACCCCTTGGCCATCTTCAGGTCTGCTGTTGTACCAATTCAGCTGGCTCTCATGGGCCAATGTCGGCAGGATTCTGGATGCTGTGAAGCCCACCACATGCCTCTTGGATCTGTGCCCATCATAGCTGGTAAAATCCAGCGGTGATGGAACATGGGCTCCCCTGGTGGACATTATAAATCTATCTATTTCAGCGGTCTTCCCGGAGAGGTTAAAAGAGGCAGTGGTAAGGCCGCTCCTAAAAAAACCCATCTTTAGATCCCATTGATCTATCCAACTACCACCCGGTTTTGAACTTACTGTTCCTGGGTAAGGTAGCTGAGAGAGTGGTAGTGGAACAGCTCCAGATCTTCCTTGATGGCACTTTGACCCTTGACTCCTTCCAGTCTGGTTTCCACCCTGGCCATGGGACGGAGGTGGCACTGATCACTCTCACAGATGGCCTCCGCAGACAGCTGGATTGAGGCGGATCAGTGCTGTTGATATTATTTGATTTGTCAGCAGCATTTGACACAGTTGACTACGGTCTGTTGACCCATTGCCTTGCCAGTGTGGGAGTTCGAGGGACAGCCTTACAGTGGTTTGTTTCATTTCTCCATGGTCGTGGACAGAGAGTGGCAATATGGGAGAGGGTTTCTCCACAATACCCCTTGGTATGTGGTGTCCCCCAGGGGCAATCCTCTCCCCAATGTTATTTAACATCTTTATGCACCCCCTTGTTTAGCTGGTGTAGAGTTTTGGCCTGGATGTCACCAGTCTGCTGATGACACTAAGCCATATCTGTTGATGGGTGGCTGGCTGAATGCCACCCCAGATAGTGTGGCCAAGGGATTGGAGGACATGGTTGGTTGGCTAAAACACAGCCAACAAACTAAATCCATCGGAGATGGAGGTCCTATGGCTGGGCCAGAGTGATGCAGGGCCGGGATGCCAGTTCCCGGCTTTTGACAGTGTGCCATTAACACCTGCACTGGCCGTCAGGAGCCTGAGTGATCCTTGATGCCTCCTTGTCAATGGAGGCCCAGGTCACAAATGTAGTTAAATAGGCATTTTACCATCTGCGCCAGGTCAAGCAGTTGGTTCCCTTCCTGTTTCCCCCTGAGTTAGCCACAGTGATCCATGCAACAGTCACCTCCAGGCTGGACTACTTTAACTCCTTCCACGTAGGGCTACCCTTGAGACTGTCCCAGAAATTGCAACTGTTCCAGAATGCAGATGCGCCTATTCTTACAGGAATGTCTTTCAGGGCTCATATTCAACTAGTGCTCCACCAGCTGTACTGGCTCCAAACTGAGTACTGATTCAAGGTCTTGGTGCTAACCTTCAAAGCCCTATACGGTCTGGGACCAGCATAACTTCCTGGTATACCCCCCAAACAGCATTACGCTCAAGTGTCTGACTGTCCTCAACCAATGCCAGGGCCTTTTTGGCCCTGGCTCTGGCTTGGTGGAACACTCCTCTGGGTGAGATCTGGGCCCTGCGGGATCTAAGCAGTTCCACAGGGCCTGTAAGACAGAGTTGTTCCTCCAGGTGTACAGTTGAAGGCAGTGATGATTTTCCATCTTGATTGGCCTCCCTCCTTCTCCTCTCCTTCCCCTCTCCCCCTTTTCCTTCATACCCAACAGTTTTTAGATACTTACTCCCTTGAGATTTTACACCATCTATTAGGAGAGTTGTTGATTGTATTTTATCATTTTATTGTATTAGAATTGTGAATGTTTTAGATTGTGTATTGAGTTCTGTCATGATGTTATCCGCTTTGAGCCCATTTGCGGGAGAGAGCGGGCTATAAGTCTACTGAAATAAATAAATAAACTTGGACTTACAAAATTTGTTTTTCTATGTAGCAAATGCCAAACAACTTTCCTATGATGATGTTGTAAATCAGTCCAGTCCAAGCAATTGCACTGTGTACTGTGGTGGTGTTACTTCAGGACTAACAGGTAGGGCACGTTACAGTTTTGAACAATCTAGAAAGTTGATTCCAACCACTCTTACTAACTTTATTTCTGCTTTCTGGTTTGTAGAACAGCTGATGCGACAGACGTTTTCTCCATTTGGACAGATAATGGAAATTCGGGTCTTCCCAGATAAAGGGTACTCCTTTGTGCGGTATGACACTGTTTTGTATGTCTGTAGTTAAGCAGCTTAAGACTCTAAGACTTTGCCAGACCTTTTTGAAACTGCTTCTTAAAACTTCTGGTATTGTTTGTCTCTGTGATGGTTCTTTCAGGCAACTACTACTTCTGATTAAATCCAGTCTTTATGGTTGCTAGCCAGACTGCTGCTTATTCACCTGTGCTTCACTTTAACCTGCTGACCATAGCTGAAAATCAGGCCGCTTCTGTTCAGATTTTCCATTGTGTGTTTTTGGTTACACGGAATTTTGTGATGCCTTCCCCTGATCTCGAGTGCAGGGGCAGAAAGACATATGGAAACCTTAATCCTCTGCCCCACTTTGTGTAGGACAATGTATTCCCCCAAACTCTAAGGAAAGCACTTTCCCTGATGGGCTTGCACATACATATTATTTATGTTTTTATTCTGTACTGTTGTGTTTGTTGTTGGAAGCCGCCCTGAGCCTGCTTTGTGGGGAGGGCGGGGTATAAATTTGACTATAAATAAATACAGTGTTTGGCTGAAAGAAGACACCCCTGAATGCAAGATGACTCCTGCCCCTAAAGAGAGGTTTTAATGGCTCATCTGTTAATGGCTCATCAGATTTGTATTGACTGCTTACAGGTTCAATTCTCATGAAAGTGCTGCACATGCAATTGTTTCAGTCAATGGCACAACCATAGAAGGGCATGTTGTGAAATGTTATTGGGGCAAAGAGACGCCAGATATGATCAATCCAATCCAGCAGGTAAGGGACTTTTATTTCTCTTTTTATAAGCTGGAACTTGGGCTGGCAGAGGGAGACCCTCAGTGTTGGCAGATCAACACAATGGGTAGACCATTAATTTATAGACCCCCTTCTCATGCAGGTTTCCTAATGTGACATACAGGAACAAACCAGCAAACAATAGGGGCTAGGTAGGGAGGGATGTGTGAGTGAACTATAAGCAGTGTTTTGTTCCTACTTGGAATTGTGCCGCTTATTCTTCAGTTACTGTGCTTACCTTTGTTGTACAGCTCTTAGATTATTACTACAAGTTTGAATTAAAGTGTTGCAGACCATCCTGTAACTTGTTGGACAGGACAAGTGCAGCAGCACCATACAGTGGCTGTCTTTGGTGGCTGCGGGGAGAGAAGGGGGGGCAAAACTACCCAAGAAAAGGGGGACTGCAGGCTACCACTCATTGTAGGACATATTATCTGTTTGCTGCATGTATTACCCTGTTGTCACTGCAGTGTTTTCTACAGATATACCGTTTTTTCTGCACTGTATCTGTACTCTGTATCATGTCTCATATGCTACACTTATTCATATTTCTTTAATCTAGTACATTGCTTTTTAGATATCATATTGATTGTATCGATTTACATTACGTAATCTGCTTTGAGTGTCAGTTAGAAAGGCACAGTATAAATGTAGAAAGTAAACTGCTAGCACTGCATCCTAAAATTTATGTCCTGTTGCTGTAGCACTGACACAAATTTGTCTTGGGGAAATTGGTGTGTGAGTGCTAATTGAGAGAAAAACTGCTGTCAGAGCAGGCAGTACTGGGATAGATGGGCCAATGTCCTGTTTGTATATAAGGCTGCATCCTATGTAGTATGAGTTACCTGTTAGCATCCCTAGCCTTAGTGCTTTATATTTTGTAAAGAGATTTCACTGTAGCATTTAATGCTGTAATACGTGTCATAGCACTGACTGAGTGGAAAAACACTTCTGGTTGACATAATTAAATGTGCTTTAGGTGTGTTAATTGCAGAGGGGCTTAAATGTAATGGAGTAGCTACTGCCTTTTGTCACAGCTGTATAGTATAGGCTAATATTGATTTCTTTCATCTTTAAGCAGAATCAAGTGGGATATCCACCCCCTTATGGGCAATGGGGCCAATGGTATGGAAATGCACAACAGATTGGTCAGTACATGCCTAATGGCTGGCAAGTCCCTGCATATGGAATGTATGGACAAGCATGGAATCAGGGATTTAAGTAAGTTCTGTGCCAAGAAATGTTTTCTAGAATGAATTGAATGAAAGTACTTGTATAAGTGGCCTGCAGACCTCCTTGTGATTATGATAGAAACGATTCTACAGTTTTGTGTATCTGGTAATCTAAGCATGGGGCTTTTTCTGGAATTGTAGTGGCCATTCAGCAAATTTATTCAGACATAATTTGTGTATTCCCTTGGTACTGCTGTGTCTGATGCAGTTATTTTTATTGGATTAATTGGTAACTGCTGATGGGTTTGATAACAAAAGGAATATTTTTAATTAGGTATTCACTACCTGTCCTCTTGATACCATCCTGTTAATTTTTTGAAGTATATTTGGTGAGCTAATCTGATCTTCCTTCCTCTTCAATTTAGTCAGACACAGACTTCTGCAGCATGGATGGGTGCAAGCTATGGCGTACCACCACCTCCACCACCACCTCCACCACCTCCCCAGGGACAGAATGGAAGTGTTCTAACTAGTCAAACTGGATATCGGATGGCAGGTTTTGAAACGCAGTGAGAGAGACGGACTCTGGAACAGAAACAACTGATGGCTCTGAGGCTATATGGAGCATTGTAAATCCTTTGTTTACTTAAAAAAAAATCTATCCAATCAAGTCAGTGCAAATGTCAGAAACAGTATTTATTTTTAATCATGAAACTTTTGTCCACATTTTTTTTAAAAACACACACACACACAACGGGAAATACTAGATGCTGGATATCTGCCAACTTTTGCCTTCTTTTCCTCTTTTGAGATGTGTTTCTTAAGATCCTTGTTTGAAACACAACTAATGCAGGGATTTCTGCCACTTTTAGATTGGGGCAGAAAATTGCACAATATCAGACTTTTTTTTCCACTGAAGTAGCGTGCAGTTCTAGTTTGCATTCCTAGTATGATTTAAAAATGTGTATATGAAAGCAGTTATACAAAAACCCACGCCAAAACTGTGTGAATTCTGAAGATTCATTGTGATCTTCAGCTTGTGCACAATTGTGTTCTAAAGAGAGCCTATTGTATAAAGCGTCCATCTCCTCACTTTTGTTATACGGGGGTTTCAAATATAACTTATTGGTTTACATTATTTTGTATCTAGACATTTTTCAAAAAGTGGTTTTTTGCCTTACTGTCAGCTGTTAAATTATTAAATGGGGGTGGGGGCAGGGAATTGATGATCAACAAAGCTAGTTGAGCGGGGCGCTCTGATGGATCCAACTCTTCATGTTGTTAACTGTTTCATTGTTAGATTTGAGAAGGTGCCTGGGAAATCCCTGTTGGATTTGCTTCAAGATCTTTTATCTTCACTGATGAATTTCAGCCCAGTATCAAATACTGCTAAAAATGTGACATTCTTATGAACCAGCTTTTTTAAAAAACAAACTGTCAGTTTTTACATTTAACATGTATCCTTTCTCATGTAAACTATTTTAGCAAATTAATATTTTTCACAAAAGTTGGTCAACTTTTGTACGTCTCCTTCTTTGAAAGGGTAAAAAGGCAGAGATCTACATATGACTTATAAGTACAGTAGAAAACTTTGGTTCTTGCATGTGAATATCAGATACATTTAGCTTTTTGAATACACAGTCCCCTTTTTCAGAGACACGTAGAGAAGACTTCAGTCTTACTGTTAGCAATTTTTTTTACTCACATGATGGAGTAAGTTTGACTTGACTTTAGCATGTACAGGTAGAACTATGAAATCTTGTAGCATTGCGTAACTCAGGCCAGGTTATGAGGAATGTTCCAGTGAAGCCTGAAGAACCAGCCAGATAAAGCATTTTCAACTGTTTAGAGGCCAGAAAACAACTCTTGTTATCCTACCTCTTTGAGCCTTCAGAGTGCAACGTCCCCTCCCCCAAAAACCAAAAAAAAAAACCCCACTCACCCAACAAACACAAAAAAGCCCATGGTACAGTATTTATTAATATTAATTTTGGAGTACTGGCTCTTTTTTGTTCTGCCTCATTTGCATTGGAGCAACTTATAAAAGACTGAGTTTAGTGCGGAGTGTTCCTATGACTGTATATTCTGTGGACAAGTAATATGACAGAGTGGGGGGTTGCCTTTGTGGTTGTTCTGCTTGTCTTGGTTTCAACCCCCTCATTGTTTGTCTTTGGGAAATTTATTCATGGAAAGAAGAGTTCTGGGAAGCTGTTCTGCAACTTGAAAGTATGCAAAGGAATTTTATTTTGCAGTGGGTGTGGAAGAAGGAGAAAGCACAGCCTAGGATGAATGTAGAGAAATTATGTAGTACATGACTGTGTTCCCAACTGGCATTTCACCAAGACTGAGCAGGGCCAGAAATGGCATATCTACTGAGCAATTCAGTACAGCTCGGCTTAAAATTTGGCTGTAAAGAGCTCTCAGAAAATAAATTGTTAACCTTGTAGACAAGAGTGCCCCCAATTTGAAATAAAGTATACCGAAGAGACACTTTTAACTCTGTAATGATGCCTGTTCAAGTTTGCATAAACATATTATAATTTGTGGTTACCACCTCTGCCTGTACAATTCTTTCAAAAGAGGACATTTTAATAGATCTGAGGTGAGTTTGGTGCACTGGAATTTTCTGTATTTGTGTGTTTTCAGCAATAGAACTGCCCAGGTTTTGGTCACCTTAAATAAAATTCCTGTCACAAAAATAGAATTAAGATACCATCGCCCAGTTCTTAAAAAAAAAAATAAGGGGGGAAGTTTCTTTCCATCTTGTCAGTGCTGATTTTTCTCTGTTTTGGTCACCCAGGAAAAAATTGAAGTCAGGCTCTCTTTTAATACCATAATCAGAGCTGTAATGCATTTCAGGAGCATGAATTATTTGAAGGGGTAAAATATAGTGTTCTTCAAAATGGTGAAGTTGTAAAGGTATGATAAAAATGAACTGATGGGGCCCCTTAAGAATGGTCGTACTGCTTAGCTGGTATTCTGTTCATAAGACTGAGGTTGGGACTTGACAGATGTAACTCCAGAGTTCCTTTCTCTCCGCTGTAACCAATTACTAGTAACCTGAAGGCAACATAAGTTGACAATGGTTTGAGTCCATTTCTTCCTCACACTGTCACCCTTCTGCTATTTGGTTCAAGCATGTGTACATATGCCTGTGCATTTAAAAAAGGAGTTTTCTTGATGTGAGACTCGTAAATGGAAGAATATCCCATATAGATAGTGAAGGAAAATGAAGAGGTCTGGGGATTTTAGTAGCAGCCCATGTTTGTTTGTATGAACATTAAAACGCCTCATTTGAATTAATGTATTTTGACATTTTGTGTTTAGAAGTTCAAGTTCTTAACTCCAGAAGCCGTGACTTTTGAAAGCCATTAAGGGTGTAAATAAAAGATGTAAGCTTGCATATTTTACCCTTTGTTTACTTTACTACTCAGATTTTAGCACAGGTCAAGTCCGTAGCCAGCTCTTATCTAGGCCTAGGTTTGGAGAGAGAGTTCTTTAAAACTACCTTGAACTATGCTACTTGGACTTGCTGATCATCGGGTAGAAATGTAACAAGTTGACATGATCCCAGGGAATTGCATCTCATGTCCAGTAATGCTTGAGAAATTGCAGAGTTGTAAAGATACATGAAATAGAAGGTACTGTGTATGTGCTATAAAAATGCCAGATTTATCACTTGTAGCTGAGAGGATGTTTTGACTCCATGACATTAAGGATTATTGTATGGGTACTGCAATTCACTAAAGGCACAAAATTCTGCTTCACAAACTTAGTGTGGGGAAATAAAGTTGCTAGTTGTTTAAGCTGTAAAGAAAAACATGTTAAAACTATAGAAAACTGGATTTGCTCAATTGTGCATGTGCATATAGAAGGCTTCTGTGCCAACTGGTGGAATTGTTCTTGCCAGTATGGGATAGTAACAGTGTAGTGTTAGTTTTCTGGGAGACTCAGGTTAGAATTTGTACTGGTGCTGTGAAAGCTGGCTGGGTGACCTTGGGCCAGTCACACACACCCAGCTGAACTTACCTCACAGGGTTGTTGTGAGAATAAAATGGAGGAGAATTATCTAAGTCACTTTGGGTCCACCTTGGGCTGAAAGGTTTAAATGGTTTGATTCTAAGCCATGCCTCCAATTCAGAAGCTTGTAACTTAACTGTAGCTGTAGTGCTTGAGGAGCTTTTGCTTATGAAACATTCTTGGAAAGGACATGTTAAACTTGGAAGGGAAGAAGATCTGTTCAAATTTATGTAGGGTAGGTGAACTAAAAGCAGGAGAAAGGCTTAAGTAAATTAGTATATGTAGACTGATTGTCAGTTGAAGGATAAATACATCAAGAGGATTACATATACACAAACATCCTGGTTAGACCTGATTTAGAGCGGGCTAGCCCTGTTTCTTCCAATACAATGACAGGCGCTCGTGCTATAAATCAGTAGCGAGTCCTGCAACTTCCAATACGGAGCTCAAAATGGCTACAGAACTACATTTCCTATCATGCCTCTCACTTGGGCGCCTCTTGCACCTCGTGGCTCGGGTGGGCCTATAGAAAGCGCCGTTACAGATAGGGCTCGTTCTCCGTTTGTAAGGAACCACAGTGGAGGATGTTTGCTGACTTCCCTCGCTGGCCGCCGGGCTGGAACCCGATGCTAACGAGGCCGCCCAGGTAAGGGCGATGTAGCGGGGCCTCTGGTTTGGTCGGAAAGGGGAGGGGTCCTGCCCAAGGCCCGCAGCTGGAAGCGGCAGGAAATGATGTCAGGCAGGATGGAGACCTTCCAGGCCGGGCCTACCATCCCTCTACCTCGGAGTTGCCATGGCAACGAACAGAACCGGGTTTATGATATCATTTCATGTCATGGCCAAAGGTTTTCTCCAAATCGTACGTCAGATGAGAACTACTGCCGTGACGCCATTTAAGCGTGGGCACTTGTTCCCCTCCCTTTAGGGCGCCTGAGGCCGCATGCAGACGCCACCTGGAGAGCCTCTGTGTGTGCTAGGGTTGCCAGGTCCAATCTTCTCCCGGGCGGGGGGATTAGGGGGCGTTCCAGGTGGGGGGACATGGCCCGACGTGATGACGCCATAAAGGTCCTGGACGCAGCTCGCCCCTGCCTTTCCCCAAACATTTAAAGGGAACCTTCCCTTTAAATAGTGGAGGGGGGGCGGGGACGACCGAGTGCCATGCGCCGCCTGCCCTGCAAGAGGGGAACGTTCCTCTTGCCAGGCAGGAGCCGGCGCCCTCTTGAAAAGAGTAACGCAGGAGCCCGCGGCCCCCTGTTGTAAAGAGCAGGCGCTGGGCACTCCTGCCCTGCAAGAGGAGATCTCTCCTCTTGTAAGGCAGGAGCCGGTGGCCCCCGCCTGAAAAGTGTGGCGCCGGGCGCTCCTGCCCTACAAGAGGGGAACTCGCCTCTTGAGCAAGTCAGGAGCCTGGCCTGCAAGCAGTGAATTTGCCGCTTGGAGGGCAGGCGCGTGCGGCGCCCGCTCTTTTCAAGCGGGCCTGTAGACGACTGTTGTGGGCGGGGCCTCCCCACCCGGAGTCCGGTCTGAGCCCTAAAATTCGGGGGGAAACCCACCCCGCACCTGGGGACTGGCTTCCCTACTGTGTGCGTGCAAAGTACCGGCTGTACTGAAGGGAATCTGAGCACGCGCGGAGGTTGCGTTGCGGTGTAAAGACCGCCTTCGCCCTGCGTGTACGCCGGCTACGAGTGGCAATTCTGTCCCAGTACTGGTGTCCGGGCTTTATGCCCCTCCGTGTTTGACAGCTGACCAAGCGCTTGACATTCTGGGCTGTCCAGTACAATTCCAGGTGGACTAGGTTGCCACCTTTTCCTGTTCTTGCTCCTCTTTATAGAACAGCTGCATTGCATAAAACATCGCAAATGAAGCCCTGACTGCCATAGAAATAAGATGATGGGGAACTACTTAAGTTCTGTTCAAAAAAGAGGTTGTGACCCTATTATAGGCCCTTGGAAAATCATATACCACCCTATATTAAAGCGCCATTACATTTGTTTGTCTCGTAATATTTTAAATTGGTTATGTGGCAGCAGGCACTGTGGTTGTGCAAGTCCTTCCTAGGACACATTGATTTAAATATTGCAATCTTAATGATCACTTAGGTCAGTGGGTTAACATATTTATCAATAAACACCTTTCCTACACCCAGCATACATCCACACTCTGGTGGACTGTTTATCCATTTGTAATCAGAAATACAAGATCTCCCTTATCATTACAAGTAAACTGGAAATTCTGGTATGAATCTTGGCAGACAGGCTGCACCCCTTCTAGATGGAAGAACTTGGCTGTTGTAAGCATTGATCTGAGCAGATCCTTCCTCCAATAGTGGCTACAGACTCCCAAAGAAACAGAGAGCAGACCCCTGCTTGTCTTTCAGCAGTAACACCCATTAACAGAAGTACGCATTTCCCAAACTCCTAATATTCATGATCTCCTGGCAGTCCTAATGACGACTTGAGAATCCAGACAGGAGTACTAACATTCTGCATATGTCTTGGCTATTGTGACTTCACTGGAGTGTCACAACACAGCATCTCAATGCAAAATGGCTTTGTTACGATGCTGCTGGGTTGACTGTCTGTGTTATGGCCAGAACTCTGGGAGGATTCCTGGCATCGTCAGGTCTCCTCATTTTCCTTTCCATCCTCCGTTCCAGGACTACATGAAACAGACCTTTTGCAGAAGTATACATTGCACTCATTGCCTATCGCTGTAACCTGACTGAATCACAGCCTGTGAGGAAGGTCTTTTGTTTTTCCCCGTGTACAGATGGCAAACCGAGGATGTGGTTAGCATGACATAGGGTTTACTTTATCTTCCCCCACGTTCCCCCACGTTAATACTTGATGTCTTTATTATTATCATCATCATCTCATGTAACAGTTCTCTTTAATCCAGGGCTCCTTGTGGGAAAGTTCAGTGTAGAGTTTCAGACTGGAACCAGGTAGACCTGAGTTCAAATTTTCGCTCAGCCATGAAACTCCCTGGGTCACCTTAGGACAGTCAGTCTCTCTCTCACCTTGACCCACATCACAGGTTTGTTGTGAGGTTAAAATGGGGAAGGGGGAGGCAGTGTTAATCAAGCTGAACTCCTTGGAACCGATAGGCCACCTCAAATTGATTTCAGTCTGAAAAGTGATTGTATGATTATCAGGCTGAGAATGCTTTGAATTCAACTCACATTAATAGAGTTTGACACAGAATGATTCTTCTAATGTTACATTTTCCTGGTCATGTTTTTTTAGAAAAATAGGGATGCAGACCAAAAAGGCCAAAATTGTGTATTTTCATAAGGTTGGAAATGTTAAACCTGCATCAGAGGGCCCCTACAAAGCATCATTTCTCTCCGCATCTTGCTTTGCTCGTCTCCTCAGACCCTTCCCGCTTCTGAGCCGTAATTGTTTATTCCTCAACTGAATAAAAGTCTCTGGATGTGTAACTACATCTGCTTCCCATTATTGCTTGTTTCTCTGGTCTTTCCCTTCTTACCTTTCAAATTCTATCATAGTTAAACTTTAGATTACACATTCCGTGGGGCAGGGTGTCTGTCTCTTTTGCGGGTAGGGTGATGATGACGTTTTCTGTAAATATTGAGTTCTGGAAAATCTTTCAAAACTGTGCATTTGGGAAGATGATGCTCCTCCAGAGCTAACCTTTCCAAAAGGCAAGATGTGGTGGCCTGCTGCCTCAGGCACCAGGTTCATGCTCTTCAAAAGCAACACAGTAGGAGAAAAATGCATCTGATGCAGGTGGGCACAATTTAGTAGAAAGTGGAGCGTGCAAAGCCCATTGAAATAAGCAAGAACTGCACTAGAGCACCAGCGTGCCCTTCATTTAATTGGGGCTTGTGCATCTTGTGTTTTGTGGGACAGGGTGGAGGTGCCATTTAGAATGGCATAAGCTGACCACGTGCGTCTCTTTCAGGCTTATTCCTAGCACTTTTCTTAGAAAATCCTTAATATATGAGCAGAGAATAACATCATTCAGGGAACACTTTTGAAACACTTCCCCCCCCCCTTAACACCGGCCTAACTTGAAGTCTCTTGAAAGTCTTTTTAATTGTCTTTATTTGTTACGACATAAGCCAGCAAATCTGAACATTATACATAAGCAATATAAACAGTTTGTTAAAATAATATCGGGTCAAGTCATTAGAGATTTGGAGTAATGAATCAACCCTTTTCACATCTTTGTGGGTTTTTCTGTAGGCTCTGTGAAAGATGGAATCAAACTCTGTAAGGAGTAAAGTCCCGGCTTTCTTATCTGACTTGGGGAAAGCAACCCTGAGAGGCATAAGGAAATGCCCCCGCTGTGGCACCTACAATGGCACCCGTGGGCTGAGCTGCAAGAACAAGACCTGTGGCAACATCTTTCGCTATGGCGCTTGGAAGCAGGCTGGTGTTGACGCAGTGAAAATTGTCACCGGCTCAGACTTGCAGGTCTACTCAGTGCGTCAAAGGGACAGGGGGCCGGATTATCGATGCTTTGTAGAACTGGGAGTTTCGGAGACCGCCATCCAGACTGTAGATGGGACCATCATCACACAGCTCAGCTCTGGATGCTGTTACGTCCCATCCTGCTTGAAAGCGGCCACACAAGGTGTGGTGGAAAACCAATGCCAGCACATTAAACTGGCTGTGAACTGCCAGACCGAGGCCACCCCACTGACCCTGAAAAGCTCTGTCTTAAACTCAATGCAGGCCTCACCAGAGATGAAGCAAACACTCTGGCAGCTGGCGACAGAGCCCACGGGGCCTCTGGTCCAAAGGATTACCAAGAACATCCTGGTGGTGAAGTGCAAAGCCAGCCAGAAGCACAACCTGGGGTACCTCCACGTCTCCTTTGCTCACAAAGCTGGCCCCAAGAATGTGATGGAGCACCGCTTTTTCTGTTCTTGCCAGTCCTTGAAAGCCAGCAAGGCCAGCTCTGCCAAAGAAGAGATGGGCCAGAAATGCATCCACTTCTTTGCCTGCATCAGCGCCTTTGCCAGCGATGATAGTTTGACGCAGGAGTTTGTGGATTTCCTCAGCTGTGATTCCAGCGGTAGGTAAAGGCAGAGAATGGCTGAGAGTTGGGTTGGCAGAATCCTCCACCTGGGTGAAATGAAAGGTTTGCCCTTCTTAGAGGGGGTTCCCCCAGGCCTTAACGCTGGTACTTGTGAAGCCGTCATACAGAGGAATTCTGGAGGCAGCCTAGTAGTGGGCATGGAGGAGAGGGGATCCTGCTTCAGCATGAAGCAGCAGAGTCCAAAATACACATTGTCTAATATGTTTAAAGGGGTGCCATAATTTTCATAAAATAAAAACAAGCATGTGTCAGCTATTCCTGTGTCTTTCTGCTCACTGGGCAAAGCGCTGGAAAGCAGGAGCCAATCCCCGCACTGCCACAAGGGCCCCTGGGTAACCTTGGGCTATGGTGGTCGACTCTGGGTTGGGAAATTTTGCCAGAACTGGGGGTAAAGCCTGGGGAGGGAGCTCTGCAGGGTGTCAAGCCACACAGTCCACCCTCCAAGGCAGCCCTTTTCTCCAGGGGAACTGATCTTTTTAGTCTGGAGGTCAGTTTTAATTCCGGAAACTCTCCATGCCCAGCTGGAGGCTGGCAACCCCACCTTGGGCTGGTCTCTTTCTTTCACCTGATCCTACCTGTTAGAGTTGTTGTGTGAGGATAAAAATGGAAGGGGAAACCATATAAGGTGCTCTGATCTCCTTGGAGGAAGGATGGGGTAACAATGTACCGGATAGACAGACGGCATCCTGAGCTATTGGTTCAAATAATTCCCACATACCTTTGCAAGTAAAATCCTGAAAAACTTGCTAAAAATTAAAGCTGTAAATTCAGCAAAGGAGGCCCCTACAGATCTCTGCCCCTGTGCTTTTAGCCCTAAAATCCTTCCATGTGGAGCAGAAATGAAGAAGAAGAAGAGGAGGAGATTGGATTTATATCCTGCCCTTCACTAACCAAAGGAGTCTCAGAGTGGCTTATAATCTCCTTCCCCTCCCCACAACAGACACCCTGTGAGGTAGGTGGGGCTGAGGGAGCTCTTTTGAGAACTGCCCTTGAGAGAACAGCTCTGAAAGAACTTATGACTGACTCAAGGTCACACCAGCAGCTGCATGTGGAGGAGTAGGGAATCAAACCCGATTCTCCCGGATTAGAGTCCAAGCTCCTAACCACTACACCAAACTGAAAAGGGTGATGCTGTTGTATTTCATAAACCTGATCGCTGTATGGTGATAAAATACAGACATTTCTAAACCATCAAATGTTTAGCCTTTTCTCTCTCCTGACTCCAGGTCTGAAGCCAGTGATAGGAGCCCAGCTTGTTTGCCAGCCAGAATCTGCTCTGCACTCTGCACAGGCTGCTGCCTCCAAGGCAAAGAGGAAGAAAAAAGATGAAATAGCGGGTGAGTGTCTTACAGAGTTACGTTAGCACAGACCATTGAACAAAGTTTGAGTCCAACAAAGTTTAATTCTGGATATAACCTTTCATGTGCATGCACACTTCTTCAGATACATTGAAACAGACTTCCTCAAGCCTTACATGCATGCACACAAAAGCTTATACCTTGAATAAAATGTTGTTGGTCTTAAAGGTGCCCCTGGATTCAAAAGTTGTTCTGTTGCTTCAGACCAACACAGCTGCGCACCTGAATAGCCCACTGTAGTCAGTGCGCTTAGTCTGGAGTAAGTGTGCCTAGGATTGCAGCGTATCTCATCTGTTCTTCTCGGCAGGTTAGTGTTCCATGTTGATTTGGGGTGGCCTTTGCTCCTGTCTACAGGGCCTGTTCCAGAGTGGGACCAGGTCAAGCACTTGCCAGGATCCTGAGATTCTGAAAATAGTATAACCGTTCTGCCATTCTCACTGCACAGGGTCCCCCAAAAGCTCAGAGGCGGGTTGACAATTTGCCTACCAAGAGCACCTTACTCAAAGGCCTCAAGATCCTGGCTTCATGGCCAGAACCCTGTGAAATCTGCCGGGGGGGGGGGGGATCCCAGTTTCTTAACTCTTATGGGCAGAATTCATTTTGCTAATCACAGTAGTGTTCTGGATTTCATTATTTCAGTCTGATTAGATACTATACTATACTGATTAGATACTACTAGTCCGATTAGATAATATAAAGATCTTGATGAACATATGGTCTGATTTGGTATAATGCAGCTTCATGTTAACAAAAAAAGTTATTAACAAAAAAAGTTATGTCGAGATGACTTCCGGTCTGTGGATTGGCGATGGCGGTCGCTCTCCCCAGACTTCGGGGGAGCGATTAGCACACCAGCGGCATGGAGGGGTGTTACCTCAAGTGGCACCCCCACGGAGCCTTTGCGATAGGCTCCAGGCCAGAGGGCTTTTGAGGGTTAGCCTCTTCGACGGCTCGATGCCGGAGATTAGAGGCTTTCCTCCACCCTGACGGTCCTGCCGTTGTGTGACCTTCGGGCACAAGCTAATTCAACTGGGACAAGCGTGGGAGATCGAGCGGAATAACGAATGATGTGAGCGAGGTCAGAGATATGACCAACAATGAATGTGAGTTCTAAGTAAACGGATTATTCTGGGGGGGGGGAATGAATACCCCCCCGGTGGGAAAAGCGGAGCACAAAGAGGGACGCCTCTTAAGCGCATGGACAGCTAAGCGTATCGAGGGGGGAAGGGAGGAAACAAATAGCGAGATTGTTTTGAGAGACTTACTTAAGTACCGAGAGGGACGGGACGAGTTTTTCGAGCCCCTGCGAAGTGGTTTGGAACTGTAAACAAAGTTGTAAAATGGCAGCTTCCCGAGGAAAGTTAAAAGCGAAACCGGGCAGCCAGAGCCCAAGAGCGGAAGAGGGAGCAGACGTCATGAAGATGTTAGCGGATATGCTCAAGCTGATGATGGAACAACTCGATGGTATTAACCAGCAACTGACCTCGTTAAACCAAAACTTTGCTTTGCAGCAGTTTCAGCTGGCAGAAACGGAAAACAAAGTGGAGCATGCGAATGAGAGAATCACAGAGATGGACACCGCAAACAAGAAAATGAAGAAGAGAATGGGAGATGTTGAAACAAAACAAAACCTCCAAGAAAACCGTTTGTTACAGCTGCAAATGGAAAAGGCTAACATGATTCTCAGATTCCAGGGAGTTCCTGAAACTGAAAAAGAAGATTTGAAGAAGACTCTGGGCGAGATTATTGCTCCAGTAACAGGCTTATCAGCGGATGAAATAGTAAAAGATATGGAGACAGCCTACCGGGCTTACTCCAATTGTGGTCAGATTTGCAAGAAGACAGACCAGAGATGCTATATTAAAGGCAATGTCAGCAACTCCACTGAAATTGGGGAACACAGCCATTAAGACTTTAAAAGACATTCCAATTGAAATTCGACAAAAGAGGAAAAGCTACAAGGATCTAATCTCTTTTCTTCAAACTAATGGAATTCAGTACTGGTGGGCGATTCCTGAAGGGGTCATCTTCAAAATCAACGATAAAAGAGAGAAGATTGACTCCATTTTTAAAGCCAGGGAATTCTTGAGACGTCAGCTGGGATCGGGGGAAGAATCCAAAGAGGAAGAAACCAAATCAAGTGACTCTGCCACCTCTGGAACAGATGAGGACTCTGTGGTTGAAACGAGTGCGGGAGCAATGAAAGCTGACTTCAGAGATAGAAAACTGAAATAAGGGCAGAAGGACTTTGAAACTTGCCTTTTGAAGTAAAGAAGATGCTCAGAAAGTTCTCTCATAACAACTAACATACTAATATAGAAGCTGTGGGGAAAAAAAGAACTCTACAAGTATATTGTGTTAGTAACACTTGTATTACTACCATTTAGTTTAACATGGAGATGATCTCCCACTCTTGGGTTTTTAGTTAGTGTAGGTATCTTTCCTTTATCCATAGTTGTAGGCCCCCCCCCAAGTTTCTTTGTAGTTATGTAGTCTATGCAAAAATAATAAAAATACCCCTGTGGGTTTTTTAAAAAAAAAGTTATGTCAGCTGACTCTAGGAAAGGCACTTTGTGAAGGAAACCAGAAGCCTGAGTATAGGGCCTGCTTTTGTGGGGCAATGTCTCTGTGATGTAATCCTGTAAATTTTTCCATGCTTTACTCGTTCTCACATATACACCCCCCCCACAGGAATATCAAGCTGAACAATTCTGTTAGCTTTTAGTGGATGAATTCATGCTGAGTAAATTTTACTACAGGGAAGGAGGGGAGCATTTTGCAAGGAAGGGTAATTGAGTAAAGATTATCACTTTGTAGTAATATTTCCCTGAACAAGTTAATTCTGTAAAGCCTCAACAGATCTTGGTGTTTTTTTCCTTTTGTTTCTTGTACTGCTGCCATTATTGGCAGTATTCGGAAAGTGGGAGATGTAAATGAAATGAGAATTCTTGAGGACTGTCCTGCATGCCTTGTAGATGGTCTCCCACTAATTCTTCTGGGTTGGGGGGAGCTGCTGGGCATATACAAATTCTGAAGCTGTTTAAAACTTGACTTTAAGGCACACAAGCAAGCAGCCCCCTCCTGTCTCAAGATGTGGCAAACAGCAACCTGAGGAAGAGTGGCCTGAAAAAGCCATCAGTTGCTTCTCTTAAAAAACAAGGTATGTTTCAGCTAGAGTGCCTCTCCCCCCGCCCCCCGCCCCCCAAGTCTCCACAGGAATACTTGGAAAGAAAAAAACACTCTGAACACAAAATTGGGAAGACGTCTGAGAGCAGTTTCTGCAGAAGACCCTGTGCTACACCTACAACATACCACTTTTCAGGGTAAACAATGTTTCAAGTGTCTTTAGTGTTTTGCAGCCTTCCCTTCATACATTGACCTTGACACTGGAACATACAGTTTCTGGCAGTGCAACCCTATGCAGTGTTACTCCAGTCTAAGCCCATTGTCTTTGGACTGGAGTAACTCTGTGTTGGACTGTATTGTAACTCTCTTAAAGCTGGGAGTTGCTTTTCAAAACAGGGTGGGGGAGACTGGATGTTAGGGTAAGGCTTGGGGATTCGCCTGTTCCTTCTGCACTCACAGAAGGCTAATTTGCAAACATTCTTGTATTTTGGCTTTTTGACACTGTGTATAAATTCTGAGTATTGTATATCTGCTGTGATCAGGTGCTTCAAGAGCAATCCAAATGCAGCTGACCAACCAGGTATAGTGGACCACCAGATACTTCACACATAAACCTCGTATTTTTGTAGATCAAGAATGTAGCAAGGATAGGAAGTCTCCACGCTATACCTGGTGCTTTGTGGGTTTCAAGTAATGCTGGGCTGTGCTAGGACCATGCGGAATGCAGAGCTAGCCTAGCCTTCATGTTGGATGTGGGGGGAGGCAGTGTGTAGATCTCAGTTTGCGGTCTTGATGATGAGCAAATAAGCTCTTGTGTGCTGAGCTTGACTTTTCTTAACTGGAAATAAAGCCTGTGGGTTTCAATAGGACTGCCTCCCAGGAAAGTGACCTTAGGATCAATTTGTAGGTCTGGAAAGTGCTTTGTTCTGGTATAGTTCTAGTATCTCAGCAGCCCTGAGAGGTCGGCTGTTAGGATTGTTTCCAGACAGAAGTCTGAGGCTCCAGTACTATCCAGGAAGTCCCTTCCTAAACTCAGGCCTGGATTTCTTGGGTGGCTCAAGTTCAGCAAAGTCAGCCAACTGAACTACAAAACCAGCATGATGGGGCTTTGCAGCTGAAGTTGCCCCACGGCCAGCGATTCCACAGGAGGTTGTGACGTTGAAAGATGCATTGCAGGCCAGAGGGGAGAGCCTTTCCTCTGTAAATACCCCTGCCTGTTGTCATGGTGATCAGTTCTGGCCTATAATTTTTATCCCACCTCCAGAAAGTTCAGTAGTAGTCAGAAACAGTACTAACCAATCCTGTACATCTGGTTGTTGTTTGTGTGTGTGTGTGTGTGGGGGGGGTTACATGATGGGAGTGATCAGTGTGTTTCTACCAAGGTTTGCATTTTAAAGTTTTGTGACATGAAAGCCTTTCCTTTTTCTTAGCTTGCAATCAAGTGCTTGACGAATCGCAGGTGACGTTGTCTTTCCAGGAGTGGCTGGCCAGCGTCACTGAACGCATCCATCAAGCCATGCATTACCAGTTTGATGGTAAGTCAGGAGGCACTCAGGCCAACCGCCCTGTCTTCCTTGATTTTGATTTGATTTATTTGATTTATACCCCAGTCTTCCTGCTAAGGCAGGCTCAGGGTGGCTTCCTTGAATGGTTGTCCATATCAATGGATTACACTTATAAGAGGGAGTCTTCCTGCATAGCCTTTGTATATATAGTGATTTTTCCAAACAGAGGTAGAATTACCCTCTCTCTATTTTGCTTCTGAGTGCCAAACTAGATATTACAGCATCCACAGGGCGGACACCCAAGCCATGTTAGAGAAGCATTTGGCCATTTAAAAGTGCCCCCCCACACACACACACTGTTTTGGCACTTGAAAAGGTGTGGGGATGAGGACAAGATTGCCTGGCCCCACTGTGCTGTGGGCCCAATCAGGACCTGGGCCTTCACAGCATTTTTTAATGAGACGGAAGAATGGCTTAACAGCCGCAAAGTCAGTTGGGAAGCACACTTGGGAAGTTTAGCTTGCATGAATCTCTCTCTCCCTCTGCTTTATCAAGCTCTAAAGCAGGAGTCGCCAGCGTGATGCCCATGGGCGCAGTGGCACCCACTTACACTTTTCCTTGTATCCGCCAAGTGTTTTTAGAAAATGGGCAGAGCCAGGTGGGGTTTTTGCCAGTGGCTTCTGATTGGCCTTTGGAGATTTGATCATGATGGAGTGATCAGTGTGTTTCTACCCAGGTTTGCATTTTAAAGTTTTGTGACATGAAAGCCTTTCCTTTTTCTTAGCTTGCAATCAAGTGCTTGACGAATCGCAGGTGACGTTGTCTTTCCAGGAGTGGCTGGCCAGCGTCACTGAACGCATCCATCAAGCCATGCATTACCAGTTTGATGGTAAGTCAGGAGGCACTCAGGCCAACCGCCCTGTCTTCCTTGATTTTGATTTGATTTATTTGATTTATACCCCAGTCTTCCTGCTAAGGCAGGCTCAGGGTGGCTTCCTTGAATGGTTGTCCATATCAATGGATTACACTTATAAGAGGGAGTCTTCCTGCACAGCCTTCGTATATATAGTGATTTTCCCAAACAGAGGTAGAATTACCCTCTCTCTATTTTGCTTCTGAGGGCCAAAATAGATATTACAGCATCCACAGGGTGGACACCCAAGCTATGTTAGAGAAGCATTTGGCCATTTAAAAGTGCCCCCCCCCACACGCACACACACTGTTTTGGCACTTGAAAAGGTGTGGGGATGAGGACAAGATTGCCTGGCCCCACTGTGCTGTGGGCCCAATCAGGACCTGGGCCTTCACAGCATTTTTAAATGGCTGAGTTCTTCTCTAAAATAGCATCAGCGTGCATGAGTGTGCTAGGTTTGGCCCTGAGACGGAAGACTGGTTTAACAGCCACAAAGTCAGTTGGGAAGCACACTTGGGAAGTTTAGCTTGCATGAACCTCTCTCTCCCTCTGCTTTATCAAGCTCTGAAGCAGGAGTCCCCAGCGTGGTGCCCATGGGCGCAATGGCACCCACTTATACCTTTCCTTGTATCCGCCAAGTGTTTTTAGAAAATGGGCAGAGCCAGGTGGGGTTTTTGCCAGTGCAGCTTCTGATTGGCCTTTGGAGATTTGATTGGCTGTTCAGGGTTTTTTCAGTGTTTCTTTGGCAGCCATGGATCTTCACTGTGTGACTGAAAGTAAGCTGCAGCAGCCATGTTGTGTCTGGCTTCACCTCCCATGGCAGCTGTTTTTTGGCAGCCATTTTGCGGCTGTGCCCACCACGCTGAGTCAGAATCCCAAAGGTCCTCGCAAGCAGTGTTCCCTCTAAGCTGAATTAGTGTGAGCTAGCTCACAGTTTTTTAGCCTCCAGCTCACACATTTCTGTCTTAGCTCAGGAAGGATGGCTCCAGAGCAGACTGATTTATGCAGCAGCCAAATCGCTTGCTCACAACTTTAATGCCAGTAGCTCACAAAGTAGAATTTTTGCTCACAGGACTCTACAACTTAGAGGGAACGTTGCTCGCAAGCTGAAAAAGGTTGGGGACCCCTGTTCTAAAGCTGAAGCCACTACAGGACCGTGTTAATTGCTTGGAATCCTTTAGAAGTTCTCATCCTCTCCCCACAAGAGGGTGCTCATGTGTCACAGATTCAGTGACACTAAAGGAGAAGATTATACCTAGCATGTGCAGGGCTGGAGCATTATGAAGAACGGGAAGGCCCTGCTTATGATCTCATTTATTTGGAAAAAGGAAGATGTTTCTTTAGCGTAATTGAATCTGCAACCCACTCCCTCTTGGCTAAAACACCATTCAGTTTATGCAAAGGAGTTCCTGCTACAAAAAGAGCCCTGACTGTTTATATAACTGCAAAGCCAGGCTTAGGTTCTGTGTGAGTGCATGGGACCTGTTTTTGATGACTTCGGCCCCAACACCACAATTGTCAGCTTGAGCAGGTGCCTTTATTTTCCATGTTAAATTTTTACCATGTTTTTATTGAGCAGAATTCCTACATGAACCCGCAAGTTAGTTAACATCTAGCCAGTGAGCCCTTCTGATGGTACTGACATCTTGTCCAACATAGTTGGCAACAGCATTTGTGCATTTGTTGAAATCCCCTCAGTTCTGGAACAGGCTTCCTGGAAGACTGCTTCTCTCTTGTCATTTCGTAAAGGATGTAAAACCTTCCTTTTCAGGCAGGCACTGAGATAAACATGGGGTCATTTTCTGCTTCAAATATTTTTATGTTAGGTGTTTCGGATTGTTTTTATGGATTCTTATAAGCCGCTTTGAATGAAGCACTGACATTTTTGTAAACCAAAGGAATAAATACAGATTTGAGAAACATTTAGATTTTATTTCTAAGAGGTCCATCTGCAATTGCATCGCAGTCTGGCATTTTCTGTTTTAAAACCCTTCTCCCTCCTATTTCTGTTACTTGTGCGGTTCCTTTTTCTCTCTCTTTTTTGACAGTCACCAAGGCATTGATTCCCAGTACGCGCGTAGCAAGAAGGCATGGAGCATGTCCATTCGTAAGCAGAGTTATACCCTTCTAAGTCCATTGAAGTCAATGAGCATAATGGGTATAGCTCTCCTTAGAATGGCTCTATATGTTAATTAAGAACCTAAAAGTTTAAATGAATTCATTAAAATTCATTAAAAAACAATTAAAGGCCTAATATAGCCTTAACTTAGATTAAAAACATACAGTAAAACAAAGACCTTGTGCGACCCTGACCAGACACATTTCGGTCATATAGCCTTCTTCAGTGGTCAAGCATAAAAATTACACAGTGTCTCCAGACATTGCAAAAATATTACAATAATAAATCAATATAGGACCAAGTTGGAATTATGTATTAATCCATACCCGTGGCTTAAGGCAGAGATATGTTAGGGAGGCCTCAACTGAATTCAGTTTGTGCGCAAGTCAGGTGCACATTTCCTGAATGGTAGTTCAGTTGTGTATCTCCCTGATTTTGGTCCAAAGAAATCAATCCAAAGTGCAGTATGGAGCCAATGTGGCATAGTAATGTATAGACATCCCCCCCCCCCTATTTTTGTTCTTGTGGCTCTGTATGTTGCCATGAAGGATGCAGGTGCTACTCGGTGCCCAGCTGCATTTGAATGCTCTTCTTTCACTACCGATACTATACTAACCCAAAAGGAGAGTGGCCAGGCTTGTGTGGTTTCCCTTTTGGTGGTAGGGCTGCCGGTACAGTGCAGTGGCAATGGGGCTTTCACCTGGCAGGTTTCCCTGCAGTGCCCCTACCCAAGCAGTGACCATTCCCCCTCCTGTGGGTCACTGGGGCTTTTCCAATTTTTTAATTTAAAAATCAGCAATTAAATATTATAATATTGATATAATGTAATGGCGACACTTGTATCAGGTTTTCTGAATTCCCAGGTTTTTAAAAAGTAAGTCTGTTGCCCTTTTTGTTGCTGAGATGTGTCTTTCCCCTGACATCTCCACAATGAAAGGGGCTAGAGATGTACTTTTTTAAAGGGAAAAAAATGGGAACTGGGAATTCAGAGCATCTTATACACACATTTCTATTATTCAATTGCCAGTTTAAAACAAACAAAAAAGGCTCCCAATGGAAGGGGAAGGAAATCCCCCTAAGAGGGTCAGATAAAATAGCTACCATGTGGGTGAAAAAGATCCAAACTTTCCCTCCCACACAGCAGCCAATCCAGGTTTTACAGCAGTCTTTCCCCAAACTTCACAATGAAGCAGGTTTGGGAAAGACTAGAAGAAAGCTGGGGAAACCCTGCAAGGTGTACAAATGCGCCATGAATCTGTGGAGGAGCAGGGGGGAAAACTTGCTTTCCAACAGCATTGAACTTGGGGCAAATACCCTGTGTGGAAATTACTGAAGACTTCCTTCCTTCCTTCCTTCCTTCCTTCCTTCCTTCCTTCCTTCCTTCCTCCCTCCCTCCCTCCCTCCCTCCCTCCCTTGTAATGACCTTTCTCTCTCTCCATATCAAAAGTTCAACCAAGAATACCCCTCTCCCCACTCCATGTATTTGCAGGCATTACGCAGCATGATCACACAGAGATGGTTCCTCTCTGAAGCTTGCCTTAAAAAGCCCACCCTCCCCTTGTGAAGACATCTGTTTATTCACCACTTGTTAATCTTTGCACTACCCATTAAAGCAGAGATGAATGGTTTTTGTTTGTTTGATTTAATGCTCATGACTTTTAATCTGTGATCAGTCCTTAGAACTGACCTTTGTCTCAGATAAAATTCTATATGGGTATTTTTTTCTTTTTCAAACCCCTTCTTGTTTGTATGCATGTGTGTGATTTTATACAGGCAAGCCAGAACCGCTGGTATTCCATATCCCACAGTCTTTCTTTGAAGCCCTGCAACAGAGGATTTCTGTTGGGAGCACCAAGAAGCTGCTCCCAAATTCGACCACAGGTATCTAATCTTTATAGCCCCTTCCCCCCCCCAAGCCAGTTGTGATAAAAATCAACTGCATCGTCGTCATGGGTCAGACAGGTTGAGCCAGTTTTCCCACAAGAGCTGGACTTTTGTTATATAGAAAGGAGCAGATGATTGGAGGGGACTGCAGCTGACAAGGCCTGGTTTTCAGGATCCTGTAACTATAGAATGGAGCTGAAGCAAAAAAAACCTTCATAAAACCTTACGGTATGTTTGCAAGCCTTAACAGTTAGCTTGAAAGTTGAAATTCCTAATAAGTTCATTTGCTTCCAGCTTTTGTCCGGAAGGACGCCTTGCCCCTGGGTACCTTTTCCAAGTATACCTGGCACATTACCAACATCTTGCAAGTCAAACAAATCTTTGATACTCCTGAGGTAAGACTTATTTGTCCAGGACCTTCCTCTGTTATCCAAATAGGGTTGGAAGGGATTGATGGAGGGAGGGAGGGGGAATCCAAGTATGTCCATTCAAATAAGCAGTAGATTGTTGTCTGTAGGTCTAGATTTGATTGATAAGGGCCTGACCTTGTGTGGTGTCCTGTGGTTTGGCATCAACATTCTAGAACTGTCTTGTGGCCGCACTCCAGGACTGTTGCATTCTGAGGCTACAGGAGGTGATCAGGCACCCGGGAAAGGAACAATTTTGTCCTGTTTTCAGCCCCTGCTCTTGGTTCCCCTTCCCAGATGCCCTTGGAAATTACCCGCAGCTTTATTCAGAACTGGGATGGCACTTACGAGCCCTTCAGGTGCCCCAAAGTTGAGGTGGAAAGCATCCCGGAGACTTATGGCCGTCTGGAGAAGCAACCAGTTCTCCGGCCCTTGGAGCTGAAAACCTTCCTGAAAGTTGGTGAGTCCACAACTCGGTCCATTTGCAGCTGGCCTTAGGGGAGTGGCGTGCAAAAAGAGAACCTCGCTTCCCCCATGTGTGACATAGGAAGAGGCTCTCTAATGCTCCTTTCTGGTTTCCCTCCTACCAGGCAACACCTCTCCTGATCAGAAGGAACCCACGCCTTTCATCATTGAGTGGATCCCTGATATCCTCCCCCAGTCCAAAATCGGCGAGTTGAGGATTAAGTTTGAATATGGCCACTACAGGAATGGCCACACCACTGAATACCAGGAGCAGCGGCCTTCCCTGGAACAGGCTCTGGAGCTCATGCCTCTCACCACCATCACATTTCCTTGAATGTGAGCGTTCATTGCACAGCTTGGTTTGCACAGCCCCCCACTCCGCAGCTGCTTGGCATAGTGCCGGTTATGAGTAGCCAATCGACTGGAGAGGTTGCTGGAGCTCAGTGAGGCTTATAGTACCATGGTAAATTCTCCCTGCGTCCCGCAGGCACCATATTCCATTTCTGCTCTCTCTGAAATTCTTCCCAGTGGTCTCCATTTCCAGGATTGCAAAGGAGACTGCTCACAGATGGGGCAGAACATTTGGCTGTTCTACTGAACTGTAATTCCTTTACTGGTTTACCTTGCAATATATTTTTTAAAAATAAATTAAGACGGACCGACCCCAGTGTTCTCAGTTCAGTCTCTCACATGGTCACGAGAAAAATGAAGAGGAATATACAATCTCTTGTCAGTTGCTGGCAATTGTAAGTCTGAAATATGCAGGTCGAAGTGGTTCCTGTCCTAATTTACCTCTCCTCAGACATGTCAAAAACCCAGGATGGAGTAAACAGGGTGCTGTCTCAGGCTTGCTGTCTATAGCAAACGGCGCATAGCTTGCTGACGGAGGAGCCAGCAACCCTGGAAGCGAACTTCTCAGCAAAAGTGAAGTGTATCAGCTATGACCCTGGAGCACAGGGGGTCGATTGAACCTTAAGTTAGTTGAAATGAAGACAGTAGGTAGCTTGTTTCTGAGTTCTGAAGTAGAGAGGGGGTGGGGGAAATGATCCGGGCAAAGTTACAAAGGCCACAGGGCTGCCACCAAAAACAGCAGCCCTGAGTCAGGTTCCTCCCCAACTTCTGAAGTACAGTTTACCTTATGGTACAGTCACACAGTCATCTCTCGCATCGCTACCCACCACCACTTCATTGATGTGATGTAGGATTCCAAGAAAATACAGGTCCTAAGATCATTGGGACACAGGTAAGTTGAACTCCACATTACACAAAGGTGAGGAGGAAACTGGAGGAATGCCACGTTTTGGGGCCGACCCAAAGAATTTGCGACATGGGCCTATTCTGCATCTAACATTCGCTCCACTGTTTGCGACTCATAGAATTTGCAACATGGGCCTATTCTGCATCTAGCATTCGTTCCACTGTTTTACCAAACCCACCCTGGAACAGAAATTCCCCTCTACATTGCATGCCACTTTCACTTTCTTTGATTGTCGGATTTTATGGTAGCCTCCACACTGCGTGCCCGGTTTCAATTCCTTTGCTCTCTTGGTTTTATGGTACTGTCTGCATAGATTTATGGCTATTTTATGGCTGTTCAGGGGTGACTCCGCAGTCAGTACAGTGTTGGCTTAGGATATTTGAATGTGGTTTTGAGCAGCATCTTTTTCTGTTCCAGTGTGGGTTTGGTACAACAATGGAGCAAATGCTAGATGCAGAATGGGCCATTGAGTCTTGCCCTGGGTGGAGCTGTGAGTGTAAGAAAGTGTTGGCTAGTGACACTAGAGGGCAGTGTTTGGCCTAGGGAGCAAACAAGGCTGTTTCTCCAGCATTCCTTGGCCGCCTTTTTGATGGGAACCTGACAAAAGATACCAAGCAGCCCTTCCTTCACGAGAAGTAACAAGCACAGCACAGCTCAGCTCAACTTGCGACTGGGTTTTCTGAACAGGCAACTTCCTTGTACTGTGATGTTCATGTCATTTACATTAATTAAACTACCCAATTTAGTTTTAATTGACATGACACCTGATGGATCACCTGAAATTTATCTCCAGAATTGTTAATACAATGACTACCAAGTCATTGGTCTCATCCAGTAAAGGATCCGTGAATCTCCCTTGGTGACAGAGAGATACAGGGGAAATTGCTGGCCTTTGTCATTTCAGTGGAGAGATACCATTTATTCTTTCTTGGTCCCAGGAACTAGGGTACAAGCTGACACCAAAGGCTCCGTGTTACAGCTTCTTGCCTGCCAGTATAAAGCACAGGAATGCTGGTGAAAAGCCTTAAAATCATGGCCTGAAATATCTCCCCACCACCACCTTTTATTTTGTAACATCTAGCCTGATTAAGAATTGCAATGAAGTTGAAAGCTTGCAGTTTTGTGTTATTTTGGTTGGTCCTAATAAAGGTAACATGTGAGTTGTGCTTTGGTTTTGGATTTGGATTTTGGACCAGCACTGCTGCAAACAATTTTTGTTTAAAATTAATTCACTATCAACTTTTGCTGTGGCTCAGCACTGGCCTTCCGTCCGTATAGAGGAGTGAAGCTTCTGCCCCTGGGAATTTATTTATTCGATTTATACCCTGCCTTCCCCGCCGAGGCAGGCTCCGGGCGGCTAACAAGGCCTTTTGGCTTCATACACAATCAAATAATAAAACCATTTAAACAACTCAAAACCAGTTCAAATCAGAGGGTGAACTGTTCTGCTTCTACTGTTTGAGTTGTACAGTTGTGCCCCCCCCCCTTCCCCAATCCAGTTACTTAGCAGTAAGCTGCTCACTGAATTCAGTAGGACTTTTGCATCTGTCTTTTGGATTGAAGCATATACCTCTTAGCCCCATCCTTGTTAAAAGCACACTGCATCCTAATATCTGGTTACACAACTTTCAGCTGAACAATCCATAAAATAATTTCTCCACCTGCTAGGTAAATCTCCAAATTCTGCAAAAAGTCCAATGGAGGACTGGTCACAAATCAGAAAACAAGTAAACCTGGAAATAAAACATAGCACACATTTGATTTGGCAAATGTAGCTGTTTTATTAAGACAAGCGGAAGGAGCATTCCCAGATAAACTTGCAGAGCATTCCCAGATAAACTCGCAGAGCATTTCTCACCATCATATAAAAATGCCATTGCCCTTAAAAAAATAAAAGCAAGCTCAGCTTGTGTATAAAACCTATCTTTTACAATTCAACTTGCACTTCCTGAATGTACATTGCTCTAGTTGTGCCTGCTTAGCTGCTTCCTCCTGCTTTTAATGTGGCATTTTGCTGCTAAATTGCAGGTGCAAGAAATGTCCCAAGGGGAGGTTCCTCTTTCTCAGGGACACGCTGGCCTCAACACTGCAGAGTTCCCAGTGGGGTTGGTGCCACTCCTTGCTTTGCAGTTCTGTGTGGATGGATTAGAGGATGGAGCGGTTAATCACTGGCAGGTATCAGGATCAAGTGACTGCTGGATGTGTATCTGATCCCCTTCCAAATCTCCCTGGAGACACAAACCCTTTCATCACTGACCACTGATGTTTCTTTTGCTGCTGTTCTGTCACCCAGAGAAGATCAGGAGGTACTGCGCTAGCAAAATTAACTTGGCTGAGCTAGATATGAAATGCAAAAAGCTGATTCGACTATTTCCCCAACTTCAAGATTGTGGGAAAGCATGGCATCACTTGCAGAATTACTGAGTCTTGAAAGGGTAGTACTTATGCTCGCCCATCCTAGAACAAAAGATGACAATTATCAATCATTAACAGCCCCTAATCTTTTAAAACATATTTTGCTTCTGATATTAATAGAACCAAAAACATGTGCCTGTCCTTAACCAAAGCATTGATATCAACAGTCCAGTATGAATACAAAGATGTTAAAAAGGCCAAGGCCACACTGCAGGCCAAGGCCAAGCCACAGGGGGCTGCTGGGCTCAGCTTGCTCCAGGGCCATTTTGATGTCCCAGTACCCCCCTCCCCCCATAGCAGCCAGGGAGCCATTGTGCTTACCACATTGCATTTTGTTTTGTGTAGTGCATCTAGAAGTACCCAAATATTTTCAGAAAGGCTTTTGAAAATGTATAACATACCCCACGATGTCCCAGGCAACAGCCCTTGCCCCACAATGGAGAGATTCCAGCTTTTTAACCTCATCATCTGTGAGACAGAAGTCAAAGACCTACAAAAACAAAAGCTTCAATTGAATAACTTGGCTTACTAGACATGACATCTGGCATGTGCAGCCCCACAACAGTGCAAAGCATGCCCCCCCCCCCCGGGCCATTTTGACTTGAGAAAACGGCATGGAAGAAGGTCGAAGCCTTTTCCCAACCCTTGCCACAGTCCCAAGCCAAGGTGAGCCACTGGCATGCTTTGGAACATTATTTCCCAGGAGTAATGTTTGGCTGTGACATAGATCAAAGTTGGGGAATGCTGACCTGGCTCAAGCCAAATGTCAGGACTAGTTTGACTCTTTGCACTGTGCAAACAAGTAGAGTTTTAATTTTAAGAAAGACACCCAAGGCTTGGCTCCTGCATGCTCAAAGCTTTACTTGAATGACACAGACTTGGAAGCAAGCACCTAAGGAATGAATGGGATTGTTACCTGTTGCTCTTGATCATAGCACCAATGTGTAAACGTCAGTTGACGAGACAAGCCTTAGATTGTGGAACTCTTTTGCTTTAGAAACTCAGGGCATGAGTAAGCAAGAAGCTGGAGATCCACAACTGGATCTGCAGGTGTCTTTAGTTTTCTTTGAAAGCAGCTGGGGGGGCGGGGGTGTTCCGGTTTGGATCAGGGCTAGGATTGCCAGCTCCATGTTGGGAAATTCTTGGAGATTTGAGGGTGGAGCCTGGGAAGGGTGGAGTTTAGGGAGGGGAGACCTCAGCGAAGTATAATGCCATAGAGTCCATCCTCCAAAGCATCCATTTTCTCCTGGGGAACTGATCTCTGGAGATCAGTAGTAATTCTAGGAGATCTCCTGGCCTCAACTGGAGATTGGCTGCCCTAATCAGGCCATAGCCTCCTCCCCTACTGGATCCCTTCCCCTCACACCCTAAATGGACATGAGCACTGGTTTGGAAAAACAACTTGGATTTTCTTTTGCCATTTGGCCTAATAACGGCTAGGAAATAGAGCTGTGGTGTGATATGTGTGTGTGTGTGTGTCTGACAGAAGTGACAGCACATCCTTGGACCTCATTTGTGTGTTGTTTCTAATCTGCAAGAGTGAGAGTCACATTTTTATGTGGAGTGTTTGTGCTTCTTGTTCATTCATTTATGTATCTGAGTCAAAATATTTGTATGCCTGCCTTTCTCCAGAGCATTTCGGGATCCAAACTGAGTCTCTCAGGATAGCTTAAAAGATGCTATTCCTTCGATCCAAAAAACGTTTTCCTTTCAGTGACCTTGAATAGTTTGAAACAAATTTCTATAATGTACTTTATGGTAATTTGGAAGAACATAATGGAATTGTGATCACTAAACGTTGTGGCAAAGTGTAAGTCCAGATACCTGTTGAAGGTATTTTTTGCTTCCCTTTGATTTCTTTTTAAAGAAAATTAAAGACATTTGTAATACCGGGCTGAGCAGCTCAAAGGCTTTTTCTTGCTGCTATGTTTTCTAACTTTCTAGCTTCCTAGCTTTCACAACTTCCACTCTTGTGTTTAACTCTTAGCTCTCTTTCGCTAGCAAGTGAAGAAATAGAGTCGAAATAGATAGAAGTAAATAAACTAAATGATAACAGGCAAACAATCAGAGCTCCCTCAGAGATCGACTCAGCCTTCAGGCCACTCCAACCACACTCAAACAAGAGAGGGAGAGGAGGGGAGATTTTGGCACGGAGTCTATAAAACAAAAACAGAAAAATGGAGGGAGAAGGTAAAAACTAAAAACTGAGTAAGATAAGCCTAAATTAACAGAAAACAAAAGACAAATAAAGGACAAAGGACTAAAATAGATTAAAATAAAAATAAAGCGCCCCAAGGACAGAGTACAGCCTCGTAACGTCCTATCGCGTTGGAACCAAAACCGGAAGCCTCAGGTAGAACCAGTCATGGCTCTCTCTTGTAACGGCACACAGTAAACCAGCACCTCTCTAGGCTGACTTTTATTAGTTAAGCAGCCCTGCCTTTCCTTTTTAAAAATTTGGGATATTTTAAGTAATTTTATTGGTCTTTGTGTGTTTCAAGCTGTGTTAATTTGTATGTCCTATAGTGTGGTGGGGTTGCGTTGTATATTTTTAAAGCACACTGTGATTCATCCATGGTGCTTTAGGGTACAGAAAAGTAAATATTCACATAAGTACAATCTGATCATTTTGAAAAACCAGTACTGAAGATTTTTGAACTAGAGGAAAGGGACTTGCCAAGAGTCAGTGCTTATGGAGTTTCCCGCCCACTACATGGAGTAATTCAGGTTAGCTTCCTTTGACTTTTTTCCTCATGCATTATCTAAAGTCAGTCTCTGGTAATATAATGGCTACCATGTTTCCCGTCTGCTCTCGGCCTAATGTTCCCAATCTTCAAGTGGGGCCTGGAGTTCTCCCTGAATGGCAGCTGATCTCCACGTTAGAGAGACCAGTTCTCCTGGAGGAGATGGCAGCCTCAGAGGGGGCAGATTCTCCGGCATCACATCCCTGCTGAGCTCTCCACCCTCCCCAAACTCCTCCCCCCCCCAGGCACTGCCCCCAGATCACCAGGAATTTTCAAGCTGGAGTTGGCAACCCTATCTCAGCCTTTTAAGTTTTCAGCCCATGGGACACAGGATGCTCAGGGAGTCACACCTGGTGGGTTGTGAGCCCCTCCCCCCTCTTTTTTGGCTGCTTTCTGGAAGGACTGGCTTCGAGTGCTCCATGCGCAGAAAGCAAGGGTGTCGTATCTCCTGCCTCTCCAGACACCCACTGGGAAGAGCAGCAAGATGGCGAGGCCAAGTCACTCAGCAATGGATGAGATTCCTCTCTGGCTCTGACCTGACTCTGACCCTTGGCTTATCCCTCACTATGGTACACTTTCTGGTCTTCAGCTTGTGTTTCCTGTCCCTAGTTCTTTCACTCCGGCTGCCATAGACTTGTTGGTTCTGTTAAAGGGACATTTGATCAACAACTTTTTGATGCTTTCAACCAGGAGCTGCCATTTCCCCCTCTTCTTCCCAGAAGGCCAAAGGTTTGGCCTGATACCAGCTCCACTGAGCACCATTTTTTTTCTTTTCAGACTCACCTGGCATTCTACACAGGATGCAGAGAAGGTGTCTGAAGACCATGGCTTGAAACTGTTTGGTTTCCCTTCCCCCTTTTTTGATGTGTTTGAGCAACAAGCTTGATGACGACTTCTAGAGAATTTGAAAGCTTATACCCTGTTTTGTGTTATTCTGGTTGGTCTTAATAAAATGTATTACGTGGATCTAATGTTTAAAATAATCAGTCACAGTGCCAGAAGACACAATATCCATATTTTCAGCAGTGTTCCCACCTTCTGGGCTTTGAAATGGAGAGGCTGACCAACCTTCTAGTCCACAGGATAACAGGAATGAAAAGGTGTTCAGTTGAAGCAAGTAATTTATACTCTACCTTGGAGTTCTCAATGATGTGAGCAGGTGTTTCACTCTTTGGAATAGTGGCTATGCCAGCTTGTATATTAAAGCGGATCAGAATCTGTGAAGACATCAGAAAGGGGAAACTGGAGCTTGTAATTCTTGGGCCTGCACTTTCTAAACTCTTGCATCTGTCTATATAGCATATAAGGAACTCTGATCCCACTTGTCTGGCACCTGCAGTCCACACAGGGACTGTGCTGATGTGATCACTGCAGACTCATACAGCACAACAAAGAAGTCCACAAAAGGGATTAATCCACAAGTCACCTTGGCAATTCATGTCAACAGAGTAATTAACTGTCTTCCATGTAACAAAAGGCTTGCACATTTGCACATGACCCACATGCACCCCCCCCAATATCTTCCTTGTTGGCACACCTTCCTTGTGGTAATCTGTAGTCCTCTTCCTAGTTTAGTGCTCACCTCCACAGCACCGTTATCTAAACACATCCTTAGAGTAACCAAGGGAGCCCTTTGTATATCAGTGCATCAAATTGAGACAGCAAAGGCATGAGGATAAATGGTGCAGAAGCTTCACTTATTATGGAGGTGCACCAAAGCCAGAGCCTGACCATCTTCCAGCAATATTCTAAGAGCTGCTTATAGGGAGGAGGGGATAGAGGTAGGCTTCCAGCAGAGGCTACAGCACACATGAGTTAGCTAATTTTATTGGATTGCTTATGCTTGCTGTTTCTAACCCATGTGAAGACCTACAAGTCCTCCTCAATAAATTTGCATGTACCCAAAAAATTATCTCATGATTCCCAGTTCCCTTGTGACATACACAAGGGCAGGGCTATTTTTGGGCAGGAACAGAGTTCCGGCTGGCTTCCGAGTTAGCCACGCCTACAGCCGAAACCTCTGCGCGTGTGTGGCTACAGAGGGAAGGCTTGGAGAGCGACCTCCCCCTGGTGATTCCGAGGCAAGTGGGCCAGGAGGGGCCTGGAAGTCCAAGGTCCGACTTGCCCGGGTGCCCCACAGTCGCGGAGCGCCCAGGCAAGCCAAGGGAAGGCAGTTTAAACTACCTTCCCTTCCTTTCCCTTAAAGGGTTGGCATGCCCGTGCTTCCCACAGCCGCGAGGCGCCCGGGCATGCCAAGGGAAGGCATGGGGGCGTGGCCTAATATGCTAATTAGCTGTACTGTCAGGGGTGTGGTCTAATATGCGAATTAGTTTCTGCTGTTGGGTGTGGCCTATTATGCTAATGAGTTCCTGCTGGGCTTTTTCTACAAAAAAAAGCCCTGCACAAGGGTATGTGAAAGGTCACCCTAAGATCCCAGCGTTCTACACAAAGATATCCCCCTCTTGAAAGTCACTTTACCTGAGCAGGAGATTTCCCATGCTTCTTAGCAATTTCCTTCACCACTGGGTCTTCCATGCCATTCTTGGGATCCAGTTTACCTGGAGGGCTAGAGAGAGAACACTCGGGTCTTCCAAACTAGCCAGTTCTACTGCATTCTATTTACGCAGTGGACGATTAATCTGGGATGGAAGTTGTTAGTGGCAACAGCAAGTTTTCCTCCTTGGGGCTGCAAATTTGTGTGTACAGGCTTAGGTTTTAGGCTGTTTTGGTTTCAGGGAGTAAGTGTGGAAAGAAATGCAAATACTCAAGAAGGCTTAGCAAAGGAATGGCCGTTTTTGCTTATTAAATTACAGGTCACACTTTTTCTCAGAAGCTGCTTTTACAATGAGGTTTTAGTAATATGCATATACATTTAAGTGTACTCGATTAACCATCTGCCTTTTAACCAATTAATCCCCTAAAACCTTTTTGCCTTTTGATGGTCTGGGTCATTCTGGTTTAGGACATTTTCTGTGCCGGGGCATACCTGTGTGGCACCTTCATCTCTGTAGAGAAAATCAGAGGTCTAGGAAAAGGCTGCCCCAGACTAGGCTGCTGGAGATTTTTACCCTGCTTAGTAGACCATGGAGACAGCCTCGCACACAGTGGCCCTGTTCATTCCACTCTACCCCCTCTGCTCCCAGGCCATTGGCGTAGACTGTCCCAGGCACAGGGCGGCCGGCTCAGCCTGTTTTGCTACCTCAAGCAAAACAGCAACGGTAGTGCAAGCAGGAAAGCGCCTCTATTCCAGTTGCCCTCTGGTCTGCAGCCTGCCTTGAATGCCTGGGTGGTGAGCGTACACACAGACCTCGCCTGCCACCTCCTCCCAGGTGCCACCTCCTGTAGGTTTGGTGCCCGAGTGGCCTCTTGGGTAGTGATCTGGCCCTGCCTGTGCACTCTGTAGGCATGATGGTTACAGGAACCGTGCCCCCTTATAAAACTGCACAGGCGTTGTGTGCTAAGGCAGCGTGGTGGCCAACTCCCAGGAGCTGATAGGTAGGAGGAGCTGCAGAGAAAATCTCACAGGTCTGAGAACAACCAAGAGAAGCTGAAGTTCTTGCAAAAGTGACAAGGATGCTGTGGTGGGCCCGTGAATGACAGAAAGAGAGAGAGCAGAGAAAAAGCACAAGCCTTTGTGAGCGGAACCAGGGCTACTGTTCCAAAAGGGCGCAGTCTTACAAAGGACGCTTTGGGGATGTCAGGGGGCTATATCCTGTGAAGGCCATCCCTTTGGACTTGACGAAGGCAATCATCTTCTTCTGGGTCTGGTAAATATGCCGCTCCAGCTGTTGAGGAGAGAAATTTTTTATAGATTATCATCAGGGGTCATTTCCTGCGGGAGCGCACAGGAACGGAGCTCCGGCAGTAAGGAGCCCAGGGGGGCAGTCACATGTAACAAGCCCCGCCCACTGTTCCCAGCAGCCCTCAGTTGGGCTACGAGGAGCAAGAAGCAGCCAGGTAAGTTGCAGAGCCCCCCCACGGCCCGCCTTCAGGTACAAGCTCTCTCTCCTCTGTGAGGGCAGATCTGCACGTTCTCTCCCCCCCCATACCTAGCAATCCAAAACAGTCAAGTGACACCTTGAAGTCCAAGTTTTATTCAGGTACAAGCTCTCCCTCCTCTGTGAGGACAGAACTGCACGATCCCCCCCACACACCAATAGCTAGCAATCCAAAACAGTCCAGTAGAGCCTGAGTGGTGGGTGTTGCCTATTGACACACTTCCAGTGATGTCAGGGGATGTGGCATATGCAAATAAGTTATGCTAATGAGCTCCTGCACCTCTTTTTCTACGAAATGACCCCTGATTATCATGAAGCCATGAAAGTGTCTCTTTCCCAGGAGGACTAATCATCTTGCCTCAAGCAGTAGCCAGCACAAATGGGACTGAAGGTGTGTGAGTAAAAACACCAGAAGAAATGGGAGTGGGGGACAGAAAGACTTGCCATAGAATGACTATGCTCTAGGTCAGGGGTGTCAAATGTCAGGCCCGCAGGCCAGGAGAGGCCTGTCCATGGCTTTAATCAGGCCCCTGGCTCTTTTCTTCCCCCCTCCTGTCCTCACCCTTTGAAGCTTGAGACGGCCAAAGTTCCCAGCTTCCTCTGTCTTATCTTTGCCTGCTTGAAACTCTTCTGGGCTTGCAAAGTTACAAAGAAAATACGGAATGGATTTTTTTCCATTAAAGTCTCTGCACCCAGATAGACTACTCTGGGACTGTTTCTTACAATAGAAACAGTGCTCTGGCGACTGGAATGACAGCCCCCCGACTAGAATGATGGTCACTAGCAATACAATCTGTCTTCTGGGACTGGAATGACAGCCCTGGGGAGTAGCAGGGTGCAGAGTGGAATGATAGCCTTGGGGAGTAGCAGCAGCATTCTGGGAATGGAATTCCACTCTGAGGGCCCTCATTCCAATCCCAGAATGCTTCTGCTATTCCCAGGGAGTGTCATTTCATTCTGGTGGCTGTCATTCCAGTCCCAGAGTAATCTATCTGGGCCCAGAGACCTTAATGGAAAATCCATTCCACATTTTCTTTGCAACTTTGTCTGTACTGCAATGTATTTCAATGGAGTAGAGCTCAAGAAGTTTCACTTTCCAGTGTTTGTATAGTTGCAGCTGTTGCTTATTGGAGTTGTTTCCTTGCAAATACAGGGTTGATGTTTTGAGTCAGCTCATCTCTGCTGAATGGGCCTAAGAACAAGTGCCTGAGTGAGTACTCTAACCTGGGAACCCACGGCCAAAGCGAGGAATTACACTGGAGAGCCACTGCCAATCTGAGAAGCTTGCGGTGCCCAGCGGTTTTATGCTCCTAAGCTCAGAGCATTTTATATGTTTAGTTTCTGCTGTGACCCTTGTGCTTTTTCTTGATGTTTTATTTTAAAAATTGCATTGCCAAATCCCACTATTCCCCAACCTTTCCATTTTAGGCAAGTATCTTTGGGGGGAGGGGTTGAGCGGTGTCAGTTATCAAAGACTGTTAACTAAACAAAATATCGCAGTTTTAAGCATATTTGTATTTTAAGTAAAAAATAATATATTTAATTGTGTTTGTATCTTTTATAAAGTTTATATCTCTGCTACCAGGCACTTATGTCAGATTTTGCCCTTGTAACCAATGAATTCTACACCCCTGTTCTAGGTAACCTTATGTCTACTGGCTGAGAACAGATGCATAGGCAGAGCTGATTTAAGGCCCCGGTCACACGAGAGGAATTGGGCTGCAGAGAGGGATGGATCGGGGGCACGGCAAATGGGCGCGATCCCACCACAACATCTGGGAAGTGTTGCTCGCCCGTCCCCGATCCGGCCCTTCCAACGATAAGCCGCACCAACGATAAGCAGCATCCGGAAAGGCCGCGGCAAGTGCGGCCGTGGGATCGCCGGCGCGTCTTTCCGCCAGCGCATCCCTGCTCCTGGCCAAACTGCGTCGGTGTGAGCATGCACAGTTCGCCAGCCTCCCCCTCCCACCGTCGCTTTCTCTCTGGCATCTGATCGTGCCAGGGAGCAACGGCGCCGCGGCTCAGGGGATCCGTGGGATGCCACCGCGGCATCTTTAGTTTGGTGCGGCTTTTTTTTCCTGCCGTGTGGCAGGGACCTAAGTTCGCTTTTCACGTTGGTTGCTTCCACACTGGCTATTTGGTCCAGCTTTGATGCTAACGTGAACTATATTTCATTACCTGCTTCCCCACAGTATTGTGGTGCTCTCATGCACCTTTCCGCTTCTCCCTGGCTTTGCTGTGATCTTTCCCAGGCCTGCTTTCCTTTAATCTTTTTGCAGAGATCGCAGCAATGCTGGAGTGGCTGGGATGTGGACAAGAAAGTCTGGATCTTTCCTAGTGCTACCCACATTGGTGCCATTTCCCCCCCTCCATACCCCATAGATGCCAAACACACACACACCTTGCTACCAGAGGGCTTTTCCGGTTTAAAACCCCCCGATGTAATTGAAATATTGCTCTCTAGTGCCCTAACACTAGAGCAGTATATCAACTACCAATTAGAAAACAACTTCCAGTTAGAGAAGACTTCCAATGACATGGGGGGCCCACCACAGAGCAGGGGAAGTGTGGGGCATTGCGACATGTGGATGCTCTGGTGCTGCCATGAATGCCTCTGTATTCACAGTAGCAATGAGAGACCCGTCACCATGTGGAAGCAGCTCTGGCTGTTCCTGCCCATCCCCGCCTCCATACCCCATAGATGCCACACACACACACCCTGCCACCAGAGGGCTTTTCCAGTTTAAAAACCCCCGATGTAATTGAAATATTGCTCTAGTGCCCTAACACTAGAGCAGTATATCAACTACCAATTAGAAAACAACTTCCAGTTAGAGAAGACTTCCAATGACATGGGGGGCCCACCACAGAGCAGGGGAAGTGTGGGGCATTGCGACATGTGGATGCTCTGGTGCTGCCATGAATGCCTCTGTATTCACAGTAGCAATGAGAGACCCGTCACCATGTGGAAGCAGCTCTGGCTGTTCCTGCCCAGAAGCTATTGTGAAAAACAAAATCCTGTTTCCAACTGCTGCCGCCAAATGGTGTTGCAAGAATGTCATTCTGCCCAGCATCCTGCCCACACTAAGCCTCTAAACAAGCTGTTACTTAACATGTTTTCAAGTTGGTAGAAGAAAAGGCTAAGATATTGCATGCACAAAAATTACATCATTTACAGTTATTTTAATTGATATACTGCATGGTCTTTGTACCCGCTGCTCATCTTGTGCCCAAAGAAGAGGATCTTATCCTCTTCTATGATTATGCTGCAGCTTAAATGCTTTCCATGGGCTTTTGGCTAGCTGTTGTTGGAAACAATCCCTGCATCAATGGAAACCCTGCTTCAAAGCAGCAGGCCCATGAATAGGTTCAAATATTCAGAGTAGTGAGTAAATATGAACTCTGACAAGTCCAAGACCACCAGATGCATGCAAGGATTTGAACTCAGGGCTGAGGCTGAGCACTCTCACCAACAGCCTCTTTCTGGTACTAGCTCACACTCTGGAATCAAAGACAGACATTACCTGACAGACATCGGGCTTAATACGTGCTTCAGAGAGCAGCCTCTCCAGCTGACACTGGTTAAAGTTGGCCACCCCAATGCTTTTCACCAGGCCTTCATCCACCAGCTTCTCCATAGCCTGCAAAAAAATTAAAATCACTCAGGTCCAGGGCTGTTGGCTGGCAGCACTTGCAAGGTAAGGGTCAGGGTGTGCCTGTGAAGCTGGGGGGGGGGGCAGAAGGGCCAGAGGAAAGAACTCCAGCACAGGGCACGGCCACGCAGCACCCACAGATGCATCACCAGACTTGCTCCTACCAGATCTCGTAAGTCATCACAGTGCATTTCTGTGCAAGCACAGCAAAACTGCAGAATGTGTGGGGGCGGGGGGCGGGATTGCAATAGTCGACTGCCTGAGAATCATTTCACAAAAACAAGGGTACAGATATATGCTTAGAGGAGTACACCTTGGGACTTGACCTGAAAGGGAAATTCTGACCGATAGAACATTGTAGCAGCCTCTTCTGTGACTAGAAAAATCACAAGAGCGTGGTTTTTTTGAGTTGCCAAAGGGCCTGCTGCGATCTTTTGTAGTGGGTTCGTTGCAGGAAAGCTCAGTGATTCAGCATAGTGACCAGCTCTGCTTATTAGCACACGTACACACAACACTACAATAAGCCCGCGATGTCCTGTATTTATTTGGTCCCTAACCAATCCCTAGCCAGCTCTCCTCTTCCTACTGGTGGGGTTTGAATGTCCACCTAGAGATCCTATTGGTGTTCCGAGGATCCTTGGTCCTTTTGTTATTCAGGACCAAGCTCTGACTAAGGCCCTGGCTCCCTAGTGACTCTCTGCGGACACAACACCCCACTTCAAGTTATATGTAGAAAACAAACAGGAGAGTTTCTCAAAACGTGAGCTGGGCATGGTGGGGCTTCCGTGCTGGGAATAGCACAGCCACTCACCGTGAGCAGCAGAAGCAGAACAAATAATTCAAAATGATAAAAAATGTAACATACAATGTGCTCGATTTGCCTAATCTCTTCAGGTTGCCGATTTACCCCTTTTACTTCACAGAGGACACTGGTGTTCTTTTTCCTCTACCACAAAATTCACACGGAGGCTGTTAGTGCTCAAGCATAGCAGTAGCCATGCGACGGCTACTCTTTAGTGACACAGATGGGCACATGCTCAGTAGCACCGTTAACAGAACCTAGAGCGGCTGGGCTTGTAAGACCTAGACCAGTGGGGCCAGCAGTTAGGGGGGCAGCACTTTGGAGACCTCTCTGCAGAAGTGCCAAGAGGCCAGGGAAGAGTATGAGGGAATGTCAGACCATGTGCGCTTTCTGCCCTCGATGACTGGCAGCCAGCCCCACTGACAAGCAGCAGGTGGGGTGAGGTGTTACGAAAGTTCTGTTTGTGCTGCTGGGTGTGCCATGGCCCATTCACACATGTGGCAGCTACCAAGTCATGAGCAGAAATATGCAAACCAACCGTAGAGTGAGTAGGAGGATGAAACAAAGACCTATGAATGACTCTGGCTTTCTCCTTGGCATCTGGCATCAGTGCAACCTTTTCCCACTGGTTCCAAACTGTGACTTGTGGCAAACGGTGTGATGGTTGCTTCTTACCTTCCACGTGTCCATGTAATCGACATCACTGTGCAGCACTTTGCCGTCCTTCTGTGGCAAAAGGTCCCCCTTGACGTTCTATGGCAGACAAGAACACCCATGAACACACATGATGCTGGTCTGCCAAGTTCATACTGTCTACTGAGACTGCAAGCTATAATCCAGGGTCTCAAGTAAAGGTCTTTCACATCACCTCCTACTGGACTCTTTTAACTGGAATGCCGCAAATTGAACCTGGGGCCTTCTGTGTGCAAAGCAGATGCTCTACCACTGAGCCACAGCTCCTACCCTCTGTGCCACCTGAGGTGGAAAAGTCTCCTGATCATCCCCTCTAGGGAGGGGACAGACCCATACAAAACTTCCCATTGTATTGCACTCCATAGGGCAGACCTGTCCATCTCTTTTACTCTGCTGTCCTTAATGGTTTCCAGATTCCATGGCCTGATTCTCACTTTGTTTCAGATTAGCTTTACCACTGGTAAATCTGTCTGTACATTTTTATATCCCTTCCCTATCTATCTATCTATCTATCTATCTATCTATCTATCTATCTATCTATCTATCTATCATCTATCTATCTATCATCTATCTATCTATCTATCTATCGAAACATTTACATCCTGCCTTTCCTCCCCGCCCCCAATCAAAGCCCAATAGCTTGTTTTACCTTGATGCCCATTGGGGAGTGCATTAGGTATAGATTCAGATAATCTAGTCGTAGCAGCCTCAGGGTTTCCATGCAAGCTGGCTTCACATCTTCGGGAGCATGGTAGCTGTTCCACAGCTGCCAAGAGAAGAACATGCCCATGAATCCAGTTGATTGGCCCCACCCTCCAGAGATGCGCCGACCATGCCACTCACCCAGGGACCAGCAGAGGAGCGAGGCAGTGACGACACCATGGTGACCGACAGTGCCACAGCACGGCGCCTTGCCACGGGAAGCCCCAGGAGAAACGACCATCGCAGACCCGGGGAGATGCAGCCACGCCGGCAGAGCACGTCCCTTCGGTCAGGCACCTCGGAGCTCTATCCCAGGATGCCGCTGGGGGAGGGCTGAGGGCAGGCATGGTGGGAAAACTAGGCCACGGCACTGGCGGCACGGCCCCTGGGCTGATAGGACCACCACCGGCACACCTATGACCACGCCCAGAATGACCGGAAGGCATCTGGGCTTATCAAGGGGGGCAGGCCAGACTGGGAATAGAGGAGGGAGGGATTACAGGCAGCACTGGGACTGGGGCGGCAGATAAAAGGAGAGAGAATCAGATGTGCCAGGGAGGATGAAAGTGCGAAGGAATGAGACGGAGAAGAAGAAGAGAAGAGATTGGATTTATACCCCACCCTTCACTTGGAGTCTCAGAGTGGCCTACAAACTCCTTTCCCTTCCCCTCCCCACAACAGACACCCTGTGAGGTGGGTGGGGCTGAGAGGCAGGTGCACCACTGGGAGAGATTTGGAAGGAGCAAAGGTGACGGATTGTAGATGGCCTGCTGACCGGCCTTTGGTATCTGGTGGCTGCTCCCTAGTTTACATACTCCAGTGGCTTGGATGAGGGTTGAAGTAAAGTATTTGGAAGTAAAAGAGTCAGTGAGGGAAAGAAAAGTGTGGATTTTTCAGCTCTTTGGCAAGTCACTGCAGCTCCTCTTACAAGGGAGACACTGTGGATATCAGTATCATTTCTTTCACAGGGTGAAAAGCAGCGGGGGAGGGAGTAATGCCGAGAAGAGTGCTGGAGAACAGGCTAAGGAGACCTTTCCCCCATCTTCCAGTTCCCCACTCAAGGCAAAAATAGTCCCATGATATTGTGAGGGGAGCAGTCCCATTCTGCCTCAACAGCTGTAATAGATACAGAGGAACAGGGAAGTGGTCGATAGACCATAGATCTCCATTTCTTTCTTGTGCATACCCCAAACTCCTCGTGTTCCAGAAAACCAGGGAAAGGCATAACAAGGGGGAATTCTTTTGATGATGGCAGCCTTCTACGAGGGTAAGGGACTGAAAGTAAACAGTTTTTGCAGTGCAACCACTCCTGTGGGGCTCTCAGCAAACCTAGGTGTGTGGGGGTAGGGACCAAATGTGCAATTGTAATACATATGACTGAGTATCATAAGTAATTTGGGCCTCAATCTTCTCAAGTTATTCCCAAACAACTCTGCAGCACTTATTATTACAGGTTCCCACAGACCAGACCAACCAGAGTGCTTGTTTGTTACTCCACCCACCCCCTCCAACCCATTTCCACCAATTCACTCTGTTCTCATCATAAACTGAAAGAGCAGCTGACAAGCCAGCTCCTCCAATCACAGTGTCTTCATGAATGCCAGGGCAAAAGCAATCCTTTGTATCATATATATATATATTTTAAAAAGTCAGCTCACCTTGCTAACAATGAAAAGATCTTCCCTCTTCACTCGACCCTCCTTCAGGACCTTCTCAAGACCTTCACCGATTGGTCCCTCGTTGCCATAAAAATAAGCACAGTCAATGTGCCGATAGCCATTATCAATTGCCACTTTGATGGCTTCTTGAACAAGACCGTCAGGAGACTGAAATGAATAGAAGACACACACACCCCAGATGGCATTCATTAGAGCAGTGATGGTACAATCTAGAGTCATGAAGCTACCTTATACTGAGTGAGACCATCGATGTCTGTCAAGGTCAGTATCATCTATTCTGCCTGGCAGTAGCTCTTCAGTGTTTCAGGTAGACCTTAATCACATCATCTGTTACCTAGTATTTTTGCATTTGTGTGTGTGTGTACACATGTGTGCGTGTCCATGCCTGAAAGTCATGGACACCTCTGGCGACTTCTACTGGGGCATGGAGGACAATCAGAGAAGTGGCTTGATAGCTTGCCTCTGGGCCCCGGCCCTGGCATTCTTTGGAGGCCCCCCATCCAAGTACTTGCCAGGGTTGGCCCTGCTTAGCTTCTGAGATCTGACAAGATCAGGCTTGCCTGGGCTATCCTGGTCAGGACACCTGTTACCTGATGCTTTTGACTGGAGATTGAACCTAGGAACTTCTGTACACAAAGCAGATGCTCTTCCACTGAACCACATTTCTACCCTTTTCTAGTCCTGAAAGAGATTATGTATCCATAGACTGGAAAGAAGTCTCCATTGATGTGTTTGGAGGGAGGGATGAAATAAAGGTTTCCAGTTCCCCTCTCCAGATTACTAAAACATATGTGATTGTCATAAAGAAGACTTCTGAAGATGAACACCATATTCATTGGGCTGACCTAGGTTTGTAGTGCGAGTGCATCACACCTTGCCAAATTATTTCACTATGATCTGTACTGTGCAGCCAGCACAGAAGCGAAGTAATACCAAAGGAAGGCTGGATGCAGATTCTGAATGTGACACTGTTGTGTATACACAGATGCACATCATTCTTAAAGGGACATTGTAGGGTCTGATCACTGATGCTTTTCAACAGGCAGTGCATCACTTACTGGCCAAGGAAAGATTTCAGAGGGAATGTGTGTGTTTTTTTTCATCCACATTCAAGTAGAGAGGAATATTTGCCCCCCGTCTCAGTTTTCCAGAATTTCCAGTTTTGCTATTAAGATTTTAAAGGTTGCACATTTCAGAGGGTAGCCATGTTAGTCTGCAGAAGCAAAACTAAATAGGAGTTTTGTGTGTGTGTGTTGAAATGCCACAAGACTTAGCTTTCCATGACGAAGCCTTATTTTGAATATGAAATTTCCCCTTTAGAATCCAAAATCTTTACACTTGGCAGGTTTGAATTGCTTTCATGTTGGCAGGTGTCAACCCATCACATGAAGCTCCAACCAGGCTGTGCCAAGACATTCAGTTAATCTGTTGGTTTATTTGCTCTCGAGCCCAGATGCAAAAGGGAGCTCAGGGCCTCTTGAGTCACTCAGCACCCTGGCACACCTTTATGGTTGACACATTTCTTTCTCAGCTGCCAAGCCCCTAGCCTTTGTGCTCCACCTGCAAGAAAGGGGACAGAAACACCACTCTATAATAAGGAACATCGATATGAGAAATAAATCTGAATAGAAGGTCAACTTGGGCCCCAGTCACACGGAGAATTTGCCGCGCAAAAGGCACGAATGCTGGGTGGATTTTCGGGGCATGATCTGGGAAGCATAGCACACCCATGGTCAACCTGTGGCGTGCTGCCGAAGATGTGCAGTTAAAAAGTACCTGGAAAGATCTACTAGCAAATGGTTTGCTACGGGCTGCAGACGGACTCGTTCGGTGTGAGATCATGTCGGCGTGTGCCTATTCCCTTCGGCCGTCCTCTTTGCAGCGCACGCTGAAGGACGAAACCCCGGTGCGTCGCTGTCGTATCTGATCGCATAATGGCAGATCAGAATGTGATGGCACAAATAGCCACGCCTCCCCCCACACACATTTTCTGGCATGTGTGGCCGGGACCTTGCATTGTTAACAGATTTTAAAAGTTTTCTTTTGAATGTTAAACTTAGAGAACTTGGAATACATAGTAAGTTGTTCACAACTGCAGAGGCTGAGGACTGAATTTAGCATCATCAGCATGCAAGGCAGATGTTGTACCAGTGCACCATGATCTCCCCCCATATATAGGTAGCAGCAATGGCATCCCATGTGAGGCAAGCCTCCAGCCGCATAGTTTATGTGGGAAAATATGTTGATATGTACAGTATCAAATGTCATGGCGGGCCTTGCCGTAACTACAGACTTAGTGGGCCTCCCGCAATCTCTAGTCGCTTAGCAGACTGAGTCAAACCCTGTAAACAAAGAGCTGGCTGGGCCAAGGGGTCCTTCCTGAAGGATCAGAACAGCTGCAGCTCTGCCATCAATAAGAGCCACAAGCACCACCTGGAAAGCAGAGCCACGCTTCCCTGTGTCTGGGTGGGCCTTTGCTGTTCAGCCTGGAATTGCGTGGATGGTTTCTTCACTCATTGGCCTATGATGCACTCACAGCCTACTTTGCCATTGCCTATATGTGGCACCTTTGGAATTTGTTTTTATGATATTAACTGTTTTTATTGTCTTAATGTTTTTATGATGCCAATGGCCTTGTAAGCCGCCCTGAGCCTCCTTCAGCGGGGAGGGTGGGATATAAATAATTTTTTTAAAATAAATAAAATTAAATAAGCTTGACTTTGATTTGTATGACTGTGATTTGGGTGCCTGCTGAATGCACCATTCTGGGGGGGGGAGGGGTTTGGTGTGTTTATTCTGCATCCAGAACAAAAAACCCCCATTTTTCTTAATTGGGGTGGGAATGACACTTGTGATGTGTGTGGGGGGGTGACATCCAGTTTTTTTAAATTGCCCTATTGCAGCTGCACAGTAGTATCAACCAAGTGCCTTCCACTTAAATCCTCATGCTTCGGTTCCTTGAGCGAAATGGAACACAGAGTAAGGCAGGGAAGGTTAAAAATAGAAGCCTGAAATTGACCAAGCGACTTTTTGAATTCTCTGCTGTGTTATCAGCCACTGTGAAAAGCAACACGCATGCCTTGGCCAGGCTCTCGCCTGCCTTGCCTAGCTGCACCTCCAAGCGGCCCCAAGGCCACAGCAAGGCACCTTCTCCCTCTTCCCCTGGCCTGCCCCACTTTTTTTTTGGGGGGGGGGGGAATCATCAGCGCAGAATGAAACTGAATGAAATTGACATGTAAAGAGAGACATACACTGGGATGCAACCGGAAGCCCAAAGCTTTTACAACTGTTTTCCCTTAGATCCTTAGGACAGCCATGTTTTTTCCCAGCCTCCTGGGAACCCAAAGGAAATGTGCCAGTCTTGACCCAATCCCTCCCTCCCTCCACCCTTTCAGATCTTGCAAAGAGGCTCCTGGCACTAATTCCCCCCCCCCCAGTTTCCAAGACTAGTGAAAAACTCATTTTGTTAGATTCATCCCGCTTGTATAAAAAAAAATTAAATGGGTATGCAATAGTGGAGCTTATACACACATGAAGGATGGAGAACCACTAGCATTCTGCTAAGATGGCTACCCGAGAGTCAATAGAGACTGAATAATCTCATACTTCAAGAAACACGCCCGGCACGAAACTCACCAATAAGGAGTGGGAGGAACGACCTCAATGTGGGTGGAGGAGTGGCCTCTGAGGGGGCTGGGAAAGGGTGGGTGCGGGAATCCAAGGGAATCTGCATGCTTTTGAATTCCCTTCAGCTTGGAAGCAAAGCAAGGGGAAAGACTGCCACAAAACCACTCTCAAATAACCCAAGTAAACCGCAAATGGAAAGTGAACTGAGTGCTGAAGGTAGAAAAAACAATGCAGAACGACGGGGAGAAATGACAGACATGCACGGTGAAAGCAATGGGAATGCAGAATGACAAAGAAAACCTGACTAACTTGCATGGAGAAAATGAGACAAAACACTAATGCATAATAGGCCATTGTTTTACAGACAATTCAGGCCATCCGGTTGCAGTTCTGTTTTTTCTGTGCGGCTATACCATTTTTCAGACTTGGTCTGTGAACATCTTTTTGTCTTTACTTAAAATGCAACTGTAGAACCATTATGCAGTGAGTTAAAGCCATGTAACAAGTCACAAGCTGTAGCATCAGTTTAAGTCTATACAGCACAATGGCTTTTACACAAACTATCAAGCAAACTACCAAAATATTAAGAGTCAAAACTCTGCTGAGGGTTCTTAGTTACTCGTCTTCCTTTCAAGTGATTTGGAGCAATATGTATAAAAGAGTAGTGGTTAGGCTTTCTATGAAGTAAAACTTAGAAACCTAGTGTGGAAGGATGGGGGACTAACTCTAGAAGAGAGTTGTTGATTCAGGTGGGTAGCTGTGTTGGTCTGAAGCAGCAAAACAAAGTCTGAGTCCAGTGACACCTTTAAGACCAACAAAGTTTTATTCAAGGTATACGTTTTCAGGTGCATGCACATGAGAACTTTGTTCTAGAAGAGGGTTGGTTTTGTTTTGTAAAATAGCACCACTGGAGATAGCTGTAAAAAAAAGAAGAAGAGCAAAAGGTCTAAGATCATAGAGTGGAAAAAGTTATTTTGAGCTTGACTTTTAGGAAGAGGGAGGTAGCAGCAGGCAAGGAATGTGAGTGTGAGGCCGACAGTGGGGAGAGAAGAGGAAAACGATTCAAATGGGATGGGACATACAAGTCAACATTACTAGGATCTCATTGTTGTATGTGAATAAGGAGTTAACAGGTTTAGAATGGAGAAACAGCACAAATACTCCTCTAATTCTGCTTCCTGGTGACTGCAGAAAAGACATTCTTCAGCATAACGGCAACGCAAAACAACCTTTATCCTTGATAGTCCCCTATAAGAAACTTCAGTTCTGTGTGTTCCATGCTGGTGTTGCACTGGATGTTTAAGATGTCTGGTTCCTGTATACAAGTGATAGTCAATGAGACTTTGCTATTACCAAACTCACAGTATTCATGATACCCTCAAAAACTTTGACTGAAACACCTGAGGAAGAGGTTCTGCCTTGAAATAGGAAGACTACCAGACTTTTGTTGTGTGCTTGATATATTTATACATCAGTGTATAAAACCTCTATGTTGTTCTTGTATGTGTTTTGAACAGTTA